GCGGCGCCGGTTCGATCCCCAGCTGCTCCCCGGCCACCAGAGGAGGGTCCCACATGGCGCGCAGACCTCTCCTGCCGCCCGCTGCTCCCCTCAGCAGTGTACTTCGGTCCTTCTGCCTGCTCTGCTCCCCGCTCTGGCTCTGGTGAATTCTCTCACCCTCCCGCGCTTCTGACTGTACCCAGTGCATGTATAAACAAAACAAACAAACAAATAAATAAATAAAACATGCATCTATTTAAAAAAAAAAAAAAAGACCCAAGAGTAGAGTGAGCGATTATAGAGGCCAGGTCTAAGGGTTGAGGCCCCAGGTGCCCCACTGTGAGGAAATCAGGGGAAAGAGAGGAAGGGACCCTATAGTGGGGCAACCAGGTGCAGGATGGGCAAGGGGCCAGGAGGCCAGCATGCCTCCCAGCCCCCAGCGAATCTTGGGCCTTTCTTTTCTCTGGGTGCTCTGGCCTTCTCACGTGGTCTCACCTCTCCATGGTCATGCCGCTCATCCTCACGGAGCTGGTGTCCCTTTTCTGAGTGACGCTGCCCTTATATCGCTGGCTTTTAGGCTCAGATGCTCACACTCATACCCACACCACACTCTAGGTGTCCACCATCAGGCCCACGTGCCCCATACCCATGCTCCCAAGCGCCATCTGCGTCTACACGATCAAGGCTGCAGGTGATGGCCACAGAGGCTTAAGGCGTAAAATGCCTGATTAATTCTGTTTACCCTACAGACCCAAACTGACCAAGAAAGAGCATCTAGAGACTAGGCAGAAATACTAGCAAGTGTGAGTTCTGGAAGCCAAAAGCGGGCGTGGAGGGGCAAGCAGACGGGGGACGGGAGCGCCAGGTAGCAGGCTTGGTGGGTGGTGGAGGTGAGCTGACAGAACGTGTTTAATAGAAAACAAGAGAAGAGAGAGCCAACACTCTAAGTGTTGCTGAGAGCGTTCTACTGGCTTGAGATGCTGGGTCAATGCATTGCAAAATGATCGCCACAGTAAGTCTATTGGCACCTGTCACCATACACATAAGTCACAAAAGTTCTTAAAATGAGAACTTTTAAGATCTAATCTCTTAGCAACACTCAAATATGCAAAATAGACAACTCTTGAGTTTGCTATAAAGGGAAGGTGAGATCTGGGGTGGTAGCCGCCAGGGCGTGTGGGGGTGAGAGAGGACTTTTTCAGATGAGAGGAATGACAGCATGTTTGCTAGTGGGAGCGACCCAGCTAGAGGCGAGCTGATGGCGGGAGAGGAGTGGAGGCTGGTGAGAGGGTGAGAGCTGAATCTGAATTGGTAGGAGCGGGCAGGAGGATGCAGGAGCAGGAGCCTGGCGAGTGGGCGAGTGTGGGGTTCTGAAGTAGGTGTCAAGGCTACCCACTTAGAGTGGGGGTCAGTAAGAAGGGGACTCGGGAAGGTAAGAAGTCACTGCCTGGTCGCGTCCTCTAGCGCGCGAGGACTGGGCGGGCACAGAAGGCCCGCTGAGGACGGGTCCCAGATTGGACTATGGACAGCTGGCCTGAACCTCGCTCCGCCGCTCTCCTCCGGGCCTGCCACTGGCCCGGGGGGATGTCACCGACTGAGCGTGGAGAAGGGTGCCGGGAGGCGAGGCAAGGCTGTGTGCGGGGATGCGTTGTGAAGATGGACTCCAGCATGTAAGCTGAGGGAAGAGGACAGGGGGCGACTGGGTGAGGAAACATGAAATGGGGGGTCATGCGCTGTAGGCCCTGACAGCTCTGAAGGAATATCATTGTTCACTAATGAAAGAGAAAGTGCGGCAAGTTTGAGGAGGTGGTGATCAGAGTCGGGAGCGGGAGGCTGAGTTCTCAGGTGTTGGAGTTACTGGTAATGATGACGTTCGGAGTGTGAAATCATGTGGGCGAGTGACTGACACATGGGTGAGCAGAAGGTCACCGCAAGAGAGGCATCATGGGGGTGGAGGCCAGGGTGCTGGGGGAGCTGCAACCTGGTGGTGGGGAGCGGGGGGAGCACGAGCAGCCCCAGCCTGTCCCTGAGCAGTAATAGGCCATGGACAGCCGGGAGAGAGGACAGTGACCCTGGTGACCTGGCTGCAGAGCTCAGGAGAATGGTGAGGAGAACACGGTGGACACAGCTGTGTGGTTGTAGGAGAAGACCTGCATTGGGAAAAGGGCTCCCAGAAGGCAGCGCTGGGGTTCAGCTTTCAGTTCCAGCAGGTTTCTCACAGCAGCGGTACTGGCATTTCAGCCGGATCATCACTCATTCTGCTGACAGCCGGCAACAGCCCTGGCCTCTGCCCTCCAGCTATGTGCTCTCCCTCCCCCCCACACACACACAATTAAAACAACCCAAAATATCTCTAAATTTTTTAAAAAAGATTTATTTTTATTTCTGCATACAAGAACTGGGGTGTAGGCCAGAGGTGTGGGAGGTGAGAGGACTCACCAGAGACAGAGTGGAGAACAGAACAGGTGGATCTACTGAAATATGCTGCTGAGGGGAGCAGCGGGGAGACAAGAGAGGTCTGCTGTGCCAGGTGGGTAACTCCGGCTGGGGATCGAACTAAGGCTCAAACTCAGGCCGCAGTGGCTGGAGATAGCTTGATAGCGCTGAGACTCAACCCCTTGCGCCACCAGGGAGGCCCAATGTCTCTAAATATTACCAAGTATCTCCTATCCCTGCTATATGTAAACCACATTTTGGATTCTATCAGCATTTCAGATATTTCTTAAATCAGAAAAAGCTAAATAAACTGAGATGAAAATTCAGGAGGAAAACTTTGTCAAGATTTTTGTTTATAATAGAGGTTTCTATAAAAATTCTATGACAGAAGATCAGAATTGCCTTTATTATTTTAATTGGCATAATATGCTATTCTAATTACCAAAAAATAGAACTGTGAAATGTTGTGTTTAGGAGATTTTCCTTCCTTCATTAAACAAATCCCACATTTTATGAAGATAGAAATGGATAAGAAATCTAAATGTAAAAAATAAAATTACAGGACCTCCCCGGTGGCACAGCGGGTTGATTGCAGTGCTATGAAACTGTCCGCAGCCTCTGCAGCACGGGTTCGATTCCTGGCCAGCCAGGGAGATGCCCACATGGCGCGGCAGACCTCTCCTGTCCCTCCCGCGCCTCTGGCCTGTACCCCACCATTGGGTAGGCCAGGAGATCTCAGCTAGGACAGGAATGCTTAGCCATAGAAGAAAAAATAAGAAGATTGTCTTTGACTAGAATTAAAATACTTAATCATAAGATGCCATTAAGAAAATAAATAGGCAAGAAGATACTTACAATGCATATATCTGACAATGACTTGTATAAATAGAGGACTTACAGCTTAACAAGATAAACACCTGAGCAAATGGAAATTTAGAGATGACTAATCAGCAAGTGACAAAGTGCCTGGTATTGTTAGTCGCCAGGCAAATTGCAGCCAAGACTGATGCGCCACGTACCCTAAGAGCCAACCACAGCTCCAGGACTGACCACACTGAGTGATGGTAAATAAGTGGAGCAATTAGCGCTCCCCCACACTGCAGCTGGGGGCATGCCAACTGTACCAACACTTCAGAAATGGGTCTAGCAGTTTCTCATAAACATACACCTGCCCTCAGACCCAGCAATTCCAAGAAAAAGCAAGGTGATTATCCATAGACTTGTATAAGATTTGCAGCTTTAGCCACAATAGTCAAAAACTCAAAACCAAGGTCTCCCTGGTGGCACAAGGGGTTAAGACGCAACCTATGAAGCTATCGGCAGCCACTGCAGCACAAGTTCCATCCCCGGCCAGGGAGCTACCCACATGGTGCAGCAGACCTCTCCTGACTTGCCCGCTGCTCCCCTCAGCAGTGTATTTCAGTCAGTCTGCCTATTCTGTTCCCCACTTGGTCTCTGGTGAATCCTCTTACCTCCCACATCTCTGGCCTGTACCCCAGCTCCTGTATGCATAAATAAATAAATCTTTTTTTAAAAAAAAAAAAAAGTTAAAATTTTAAATTAAAAAAAAAAAAAAACTCAAAACCAAATATGCCTGTTCAGCCACAGGAGAATGGAAAACAAAGTGTGGTTTATTCATAGGATAGAATTCTACTTAGCTTTAAATAAAAAGCAACACGTGACTGAAACACAGCACACCTGTGTGAACCTCAAACATCACCTCTGGCCTAAAGAACCCAGCCAGATTAGTATGTGTCGTAGAGTCCATTATGTGGCATTTCGGAACAGCCAGTCTGTGATGAAAGAAATCAGAACAGTGCTGCCTCTGAGAGTGGCCCAGGGCTGATGGGGAAGGATCGCAAGGGAGTTTCTGGAGCCGCAGAAATGCTCTACATCTTGATACAGATGTGGGTTACCTGGTTGTATACATGTCCCCTCACAGGCCTGCGTATAGGAGGTCTGGCCATTTCACTGTTTCTAAATCAAACCTCAATTTTTAAAATAGTGGTTTGTACAAATTCACTGACCTTTCTCAGACCCTCCTGCTGATCTTTTTACAGTTAAGAAATAATTGTTTAGCCCCACTCTACTTTTTAGGGCTAAAAATACTGGGGTACCTAAACCAGAAGTAGGTTGGAAGGGGAGGTGCTGAAAGGAAAAGACACTGGGGAAAACATTGATCTAAGCTGAAACCTGAAAGGAGGTGCTTGCTGTGTCTGGAAGCAGGAGAGAGCTCCCCGGAAAAGGAGAGAAGGCCAGACAGTGCAGCTAGGACATCGCTTAGAAAGAGGAAGGGAGGCGAGGTGAGCATGGGGAGATCAGCCCACACTCTGGGGTGCTCATACCTGCCTGCCTCTTCTCAGGAGTGGGGAGCACACAGACGCAAACCATTTCCACTTGAACGCACAGCACGATAGGATGAAATCCAGCCTTGGTGCCACTTGATTCTAGTAGGCACAGCACAGACTGGAGTTGTTTGGGGTGGCCAGAATGTCTGTCATGTTCAGGAGTTATTTGCGAGTCTAGTATTCCTTTTGGTCTGGTTTTGGTGGCATAGCTTTGCCACGGTTCTCTCTCGGTTTCAGGGTTCAAAAAGGATTCTTCGCTCCAATGAGATCATCCTTCCAGCCAGTGGACTGGTAGAAACAGAGCTCCAGTTAACCTTCTCCCTGCAGGTGAGAAGCTACCATGGTCATGGATCCGCTGTCCAGTCTGGGCAGCCATGGCCCAGGGAATAAACGCTGCCCCATGAATTCAGCCCAGTGGATTAGCTGCAAGCATGCCTTCAGGTCACCTGGGGCTTCTGGGCTAGCCCAGAAGGCCAAAGCAGTCACTTGGCCCACTGCAGTAAGGGTGCTGAGACCCGGCAGGGCTGCTGGAAAATACGCCACATCCCAGTGCCTCCCTGCCAGGCTTAGCCCATCACCTCCCCTTAGTAATCCACACCGCACACCCCAGCAGAGTGTGCCTCATTGGGTCTTTATGGCCCAGCATTGTACTCTCCACCCCTCCCCTTCTCCCTATCCCTCTTTCTCTCTCATCACACTCCCAGTAGCCATGTTGAAGCACATGGAGAAAATACCTGATCAGATGACAAAGAGAGAGGCCGTCTTGGAACATGGTTGGACCACAGAGTAGGAGCTGGCGCCCAGTACATGCAGACCCCTAGCAGCCGCTTGTATTCCCTCTGCCCACCCCCTTGCACAGTGGGAGACACTGACACCCAGAAAGACCAGAAGCCCACCAGAACCCACTTACTTATAACTATGCCTGGCTGTTTTGTGCTCCACAGTACCCCCATTTCCTGAAGCGGGATGCCAACAAGCTGCAGATCATGTTGCAAAGGAGAAAGCGTTACAAGAATCGGACCATCCTGGGCTATAAGACCCTGGCCGTGGGGCTCATCAACATGGCAGAGGTGAGACAAGCCTGCAGGTCAAAGCTGAGAGAAGCCAGGCCACGGGTTGCCCAGCCCATGGATTGTTTACAAGTTCTTTCTGTTATTGGAAATTCAGGATGTACTTCTTTTTATCAAGTACTTTCACACTCACTAAAATGTGCCTCTTTTTTTAAAAAAATTTCAAACTTATGGAAGAGTTTTAAGAGTAGAATAAAGCCATTCCCATGTACCCTTCACCCAGATTCTTCAGTGTTAATGTATCACCACATCTGTCTCATTATCTGCCTTTTTGCCAGTTATTTTCTTTTCTGAGTTGTTGCTAAGTTGCAGGCAGGACAGCCATTCCTGCTTTATTATCGCTCTATGTAAATTTCCTATCGGTAAGGAGACGCCCCTAAAGAAGGCCCGGCGTCCCGGCCTCCATGTAGGTAAGGACAGGAGCCTGATCAACCCGCAGCTCCCGTCCAGATTGTGCCGGGACAAGACCCCATAGGGCCTGGGGTCTGATCGTGTGTAGTTGTCAGGTGTCGACTCCCCTTCAATCTCAGTTTCCTTTGTCTGTCATGCCCTTTATGGTTTTTGTTTGCCTGATTGTTGCACACAGGCTGCTTCCTTTCATGAATATCCCTCAGTTAGGTTTGTCTGATATTTTCTGGAGGTTGGATTCAGCCTGTGCATTTTGGGTAGTGTTTCTCAGAAGCAGCATTCCTTGTTGACTTGTTCCACTACTGTGAGGTTAACTGTCACCTCTGGGTTAAGGTAGTGTCTGCCAGGTTTCTTACTGTAAAGTTCATTAATAAATATTTTATACTTAAACCAATGAGAAAATGTTTTATAGGGCAGTGTTGTAAGACTATGTAAAGTCTTTTTCTTCTTCACATCTTCACAGCTAGTTTAGCATCTGTTAATGATGATGACCTGGATCACTTACTGCTTTGATGCTGGCCCAACGGGGAGTTCTGATCCCATGATTCCTGCTTTACTAGCTGGATTTCTGTTGTAAGATAGAGTTTTCCCTTCGTCCCCATTTACTGATTGATTCACTTATTTGTCTCACTTATGAACCTGTATTTTCCTCTTTGGGGTTCAATCTGCTGCCATGATCATTTATTTTGATGCTGGAACTATCTCAGATTTAGCCAGTGAGAGTCCTTCAAGCCGACTCCCATATCCTGTCAATATGTCTCGTCATTCTTCACATGCTTCTTTATATCCTGCTACAGAATACGGCAGGGTCACGTTGTACTTTTGCTGACCCAGCCCTGGAATGAAGTGATGCTCTCAAGAGCCTTGGTTCCTTTTAGTGGAAAATGGCCTTTGAAAGTCAAGTTCCGGGTACTTGAAGTGCTCGTTTCCCAAACTGGGGTGCCATTGCTTCTACTCCCAGCAGACAGAGCCAGGACAGACAGGGGCACAGATGCACGTGCTCTGCCGTGTGCAGCACACGCTTCTGGTCCTCCTCTCCATCGCTCACATTCCAGTCAGTTCCTGCCCAGCACTGTGCTGCGTTCTCTGCCCTTTACCCTGTCCATGTTTCTCATTCCCTCTTCCAGTAGCAAAATGGACAGTCGTGCCATTGTCCTTCCGATGTCTGCTCATCTGTGCAGCTGTAGCCAGGCAGATCCCCCGGCCCTGACGAAGGGGAAGAGGAAGGAAACTACAAAGCAGTTTTAAAATGTTGTTTCTGTACCTTGGCAAGTTAAATGGGAGTGATTCAGTGACTGTCCTCGAGTGTTGTATTAGTATGACCGGCTGATGAGAGGGAAGAATGTGGATGCCACCCTGCCCAGCTGTGTCATGCCCCCATTTTCTCATGGACTGTAGGTCCTTTCTGCTGCTCTCAGGCACAGGTGACCACCATCTGCAGGCTGGCTTCGCCCCACCTCCGCCACCACCACGAACTAGTTCTCCATGACCGACTTAACGAAAATGTAGTCCTGGAGATTAGCTGTCACTTTCAGTCTCAAGCCTTGATCGTTCTTTAAATGCATGGCCTGATGGGCAGGCACTTCCAGAGTTAGTTTCAAAGGAAGACCTTGAAGGCAGTGGGGGAACGGCAGGCAGGGACTTGGAGGAGGGGGAGAACGAAAATGCACAAGCAAGACGCCGTTGCCACTGGCTCGTGTGCCCTTTCAATTGTGGAAGTGGACAGCACTGTGGCCCCTCTGTAAGGCATTTCCACGGGCACTCTGGGTCTCAGGTGATGCAGCACCCTAACGAAGGCGCCCTGGTGCTCGGCCTGCACAGCAACGTGAAGGACGTCTCTGTGCCTGTGGCAGAAATAAAGATCTACTCGCTGTCCAGCCAGCCCATTGACCACGAGGGCATCAAATCCAAGCTGTCTGGTAAGAGGGGCGCAGTGTCTGCGCTCCCATGGATCAGCAGTCTGTCCCCTGATCGCCACCCTTGGAAAGCTAGACAAGACAGTGCCTAGAAATTTCCTAAGAAAGTCAAGTTTAGAGTCCCTGAGATCATCTACAGCCAGCCTGGCTGTGGCCCTTTCCTCTGCCCCGGCTGTGTTTCCACCTGAGGGAGCCATGGGTCCAGGCAGCCATCTCTTAGGCCAGATCTTCCCACGGTGGGGTTTTCTTACTGAGGTATCTGCTTCCAGACCGTTCTCCTGACATTGACAATTATTCTGAGGAAGAGGAGGAGAGTTTCTCATCAGAACAGGAAGGCAGTGACGATCCATTGCATGGGCAGGTCAGTCTCCACAGCCTCTTGCGTGACGTGTCTATGAAACAAATCCCAGCCTGCTGGCTTTCTGAACCTCAGTCTGCCTCCTTACCCACTTAGGACCTGTTCTACGAAGATGAGGATCTGCGGAAAGTGAAGAAGACCCGAAGGAAATTGACCTCGACCTCTGCCATCACAAGGGTGAGCCCCAAAGATCTGGGGAATGTTCAGCCAAGGTTTCCAGTTTGGGGGTAGGATGGCCATCTTAGAACTTGGAAGTCTTGGAAAGGTGTCTCCAGGTCTTGAGGGGCCCAAGGTTCTGATATGCCATTCTGCATCTCCACCACCACCACCGAGAGCCACTGTCACACTGGACAGGAGCGCATGCACCCTTAGGTCATCGTCGTGGGGTGGCGGAAGTCTCGGAATGGACAGTGCTTTCTCAGAGAGCAAAACACCTCCCGCAGCCTGGCTCCCTCTCCAGGGATTGCTTCCAGTTCCACGCTGCCCACCCCAAAGAGAAAGCAAGTTCTCTAGGAACGTCACCATTTGTAGTCATTGGTTGAACTTAGAAATAATAGGCTAGTGCTTGGAACTGTGGGTTGGATAAGGTTTGATTATAGTAGCTATGGTCCCTGCCTTCACATGTCCATAACGTCAGAGACCAAAGCCTTGGAGTAAGTTTCCAGTGTGATTTCCTTGAGAGTCACTGTTGTGGGTGAATTAGAGCTGTGGGCTGAGATGCCTACTAGCTGGATTTCTAGATTAACTCTGATCAGTTCTGGAGTTCCCATGCTGGAGTGTGAGAGAGTCAAAAGTGCAAGGAGCTTTTTAGAAATAAATTCAGTTTCACTTTCCCCAGAGGTATTCTGATTCTCACTAGTGCAGAGCAAGCCGGGGACCCTAGAGGCCAAGGATCCTTTCCTCTGCAGGAGTGACGTGGAGGTCAGACTTCCTGAGTCTGCGCTTCTGAGCCTGGCATTCCACTCTGTCATCTCTCCGTCATCCTGAGGTGTCCTTAGTGCTCAAGACTGTGGTCGCTACCCTGGTTGGCACTCCAGAATAGCCGAGCGTCCTCAGGCCTCAAACACTGCCCCACCATGCTGCCTTGGGAGGAGGGGAGGTGCTCTCTGTTGCAGCTCCTTCTGCTCAGTTTCTCTGTTCCACAAAGAGGCTCTGTCTTCTTCCCTTGCAGTGCTCCCTGGGGCTTTCCCAGTCACCACTTCCTGGGGCCTCCTCCCTGGCTTCACCAGAGTTCAGGGCGCCTGTAATAGCTGTGCCCCCAAAGGTTCTGATTTTTCATTAGCTGCAAGCACTTTCCAGTTAGATTTCCAGAGCTAGTAATTGTGCTTGAGGGTCCTTGTGCACACGCGTTCTTCCCTCCCCGCCCGAGAACACTTGGTCTGGGTGCCCCAGTCCACATACTGTCCTCCGAACACAGCTCATGCGTCCTTGTCACTGTGGATGCGGGCTTTTCCCCTGCTGTGAATGACCTTTCCACTTTGCAAGCCCCGCCCTTTTTTAAAGGCCTGGCTCAATCTTACTTGCCACTTAGTCGTTGCCATCCCCACATGGTGAGTGAGTCATGCAGGCGGGAAGGACTGATGGTCACAGGCCAGGCCCCATGCCCGATGGGAGGCACAGAGATAAGCAAGGGCCTTGTCCCTGCTGTCAAGGAGTGACCCTGTGTGTATCTGACCAGGGGACCATTACCCAGCAGCCTCAGCGCCAGAAGACAGAGAGCCTCGTGAGGCAGCTCTGAAACTGAGGGGGACACAGTCCTCTGAGCTAGGAGTGCCAGGCAGCCTCGTGGACAGGGTGCCAGATACGGGCTTCTAAGGGTGGACGAGCTTCACCAGGTGGGCTTGGGGACGTGTTTAGGCCAGGCAGAGGAGTGCGTGTGGAGCTGGAGGCGCGACAGCCCGCTGCAGTTTCCACTTGAGTGAGGCCTGAGCTTGAATGGTGAGATGAGGCTCGAGACGTGGAGTAGAACAACTTCGGACAGACGGCTGACGCTCGAGCTCCGCTCTCTGGGCCGAGGGCAACATGATCATGTTGGCCTTTGGACTGGACAGTGTGGCCTCTGGAGGGAACATGACTGGAGACTCATGGGAACAGACAGGGGTCCAGGGAGAATGCATGTGAGGAGAAAGGCCTGGACAACGCTGTGGCATTCAGGTGGAAAAGAAAAGGCAGGAGCTAGTGAGCAGGGGCTGTGGTGAGAAGAGGGAGTAGCCCCAGGTGTCGACTTGGGCCATGAGGCAGATTTCTGGAGTCAGCAACCAGGACAGGGAGCGCAGGGGAAGGTGAGCAGTCTGTTTTGGCAATACCGGGTCTGAGGTCCTGTATGTGCAGGCAGAAATCACCCAATGACCCCGGGGATCAAAGGACAGGTGGGAGGAACTAGGGATGTGCACTCAGGAGTCGTCAGGATGTGGGTGGGGAAGGGGCCTGGGGTGGGGAGATTTCCTCCCGTCTGTGCCCCCCACACCCAGACCCAGCTGCAGTGTCATGCTAGTGCTCCCCCACAACCCCCCGCTGACTTGACATCCGTCCACATGGGATGTCGTCTGAGAACAATTATGCCACTTGTCCCTACAGCAACCTAACATCAAGCAGAAGTTTGTTGCCCTCCTGAAGCGGTTTAAAGTTTCAGATGAGGTACGAGCCCTTATTCCCCAAGGCTGATGGTGAGTAGAATTTCCTGGGTTTCTACTGGGAGTCAAGATTCCAGGACCCCCATGGGAGAGGATGGCTGGAAAGGTCTTTCAGCTACTTGAAGAGAAAGGCGTTCCATGCAGCACCCAGGGTAGTGCCAGGCCTGCTGTGTGGGACAGCAGCACCATGTGAGGCGGCACAGGTCTTGCCACCAGCCCTTGAGAACTGAGAACTGGGAACTGGCCGTTAACAGAGAAGCCTGCTCTCAGGGCTTCTCTTCCCACAGGCTGCGAAAGGGGTGTTGTTGAGAGCTCCTTTTATCGCCCTGGGCAGTAGAGGGACATGGAGCCGGCCTGCAGGGGCCCGTGCTCACCTGGGCCTCCTGGTGCCCGCTCTTCAGGAGGCCACCTGGGGTCTGGCTCTTCTCCCGGGGGCCAGGCCCAGTGCGAAGTGGGAGGGAGGCCTGAGTGGGCCGGCAGCCCCACCACCACCCTGTGGGCAGGGTCAGATCCCAGAGAGGACTCCTCTGTGAGCATGACACTGTGACTGTCCCTCCAGGGGATGCATGAGGGACACCAGGGGACACCTGTCCAGGAGGAGGGACTAGCACATCCACCAGAATTGTTAACACCAGTGACCCCAAACTCAAAGATTTCTTTTCCCCAACAGGTGGGCTTTGGACTGGAACACGTGTCCCGGGAGCAGATACGAGAGGTGGAGGAGGACCTGGACGAGCTGTACGACAGCCTGGAGATGTATAACCCCAGCGACAGTGGCCCCGAGATGGAGGAGACAGAGAGCATCCTGAGCACCCCAAAGCCCAAGCTCAAGTGAGCCCCAGAGCTCTTCAGTCAGATGCTTCCCAACACCTCTCCCCTTATGCCAGAGCAGTCTCCTAGCCTCCCCCCGCCCCCCACACCCATTACCAGGGAATCTTGGTTCTTCATCCTTGTCCAACCTTGTCGACATCGCTGTCTGGACAGAGACCCTTGTTTTTGCCTCCAACCGACAAGTCCTGCAGGACTCTCCTGAAGGCCTTCGGAGTACCCCTACTTCTCCAGCCTCCACTGTGCCCTTCCTTATCGGGCGTCCTTGACGCCCAGGTTGCTGATCTTCCTTGAACACCAGCTCTAACCCCGCGTTCTGTGAGCTGCTGTTCGGGCCATGGCGGCCACTGACCCTGGCTGTGCTCCTTCACCGCAGGCCCTTCTTTGAGGGGATGTCGCAGTCCAGCTCTCAGACGGAGATTGGCAGCCTCAACAGCAAGGGCAGCCTCGGCAAAGACACCACCAGCCCTGTGAGCAAGACCCACGGCTGTGGGGGTGGGGGAGAGGGGCCCCGACACGTGGGGCCTCACACTGCAGCCTTGCTCTCAGCTCACTTTGTGTCCTTGGAAGACTGGTCTCATCTTGCCTCTGCTTGGGTTGTCCGCTCTAGTCCGACCTGGGAGTTGAGTTCTCTGGCGACGTTGCTGTGGCTGGCCGGGTGCTCTTTGTGGTCTGCCGGGGCAGGGGCCTTCCCTCCCAGGACACACGGTGCCGCAAAGCCTCTCCCTGGTGGTGTTCCGCCAGTGGTGGGTGAGTTTGCACCCAGCTGGGGCAGGAACAGGTGTCAAGGGGCAGGAAGCTCACTAGGGCTGTTCAGGAGGCAGTACATAGCTTTATTCACCTCGGGGGGCAGTGCCCTCACAGGATTTAGAATTCCGTGTGCTGGTCTCCATTTTGCCTGGGCAGTAAGAGAGATTCCCTAGCTGTCTACTGTCACCACCCAGCGTCTCCCGGAGCTGCTGCATCCTGCTGGGGAGGTGCTCCCCGCGCCAGGTCAGAGGCGGGAACCCAGGCCCCTCTTTGGGAACTGAAGTGCCGAAGACATGCATGGTTTCACTGCAGCTGAAAGGCCAGTGCCTTTCCTGTACGTCCAGGAGACTGAATCCGCTTGTCCTTGCTACTTTAACAGAGAGAATACAGAACTCTCCCTGAAAGTAGGCATTGTGAGGAAATGGTAGGGTAGGATATGAGATGTGCTATGATGTGGTGCATGATGTGGTGATAGGAGGTGCTCTGTCCCCGGAGAAGCACCATGTGTCTGGAAGGGCTGCCTGTCCCGAGTCTGCAAAGGGCAGGGACTCACAGGCTGCCTTACTGCCTGCGGCCACCAGGTGGGGCTGTTTCCCACCATATCCGTCTTAGTGGTTAAGACACAGCAAGCAGCTTCTGGCCCAAGACCCTCACACTAAATGGTGTTTGTGAGGAAATGGGGCATGGAAAACTGCACCCCACCCTGAAAATGCTCCAGGACTGATGCCTGCAGGTCCTGCCCTCTCAGCCGCTTTCCAGCCAAGTTCATGACATCTGAGAGGTTTGGATGTGGCTTCTAGGTGCTCTTTCTCACAGGGCTGCTGGCCCTGCTGAACCATCACCGTCCATGTGGTCAAATCATTGACCAGTAGAACCAAAATCCATCTTCAATATAAGTACAAGTGATGACTGTTCTCAAAAGAAACCTGACTGAGGGACGATAGTCGCACGGTGTTCTAGGAGTGTGGGCCCTGGCTGTACTGCAGCTGAGTGGGCTGGACAGTTAACTGAGATACCTCCCCCGGAAGCACTCGGCCCAGCTCCTGACACAGTAAATGCTTGGAATCGTTATTAAATTAATAAGAGTATCTCTTTTATACTATGAAGGTGTTTCTGGGTGACTAGAATTTATAGGTTCTGCTTTAGTCTCGGATATATGTTTTAAAGCATTCAAAGAGAAAAATCGCAACTCTCTGAGTCTCGGGTACCTTATCGCTCAGGTAACGGTGTTGGCATAGGAACCCATTTAGTTCCAAAGTCAGTTGAGTCATCTTTCAATACGATGGTCTTGCGCTTTGGGGGCAGGGAAGGATTGGGCTGAGATCTGTGCTTTGGAGTCAGACTTCTTTTTTTTTTTTTTTTAAGATTTATTTATTTTATTTATACAAGAACCAGGATTCAGGCCAGATGCAAGGGAGAGTAAGAGGATTCACCAGAGACAGAGCAGGGAACAGAACAAGCAGACTGACGAAACACACTGCTGAGGGGAGCAGCGGGCAAGACAGGAGAGGTCTGCTGTGCCATGTGGGACCCTTGCCGGCCTTGGCTGGGATCAAACCTGTGCTGCAGAGGCTGCAGACAACTTCACAGCGCTGCGCTCAACCGCCTGCGCCACCAGGGGAGGCCCTGGAGTCAGACTTCTAAGCTGAATCTTGATGCCACCCCACAGCAGACTGCAACAGAGGGCAGTTTCCCCTTCTGCAGAGGGCATGCAAAAGCCCTTACCTGACCAGGTCATGTGGAGGCACAGATACAACCTCCAGCCTGGGGCTGATGAGCTGCCTGGGGAGCATGGCACAAACAGAATCAAGGTGCCCCTGTTAGCATGGTCTAGTTTAGTTTAGGGCTCCTGAAATTGATAGACTCAAGATGTCTTAGTGAGTCCTGCAAATTCTGGTTACCTTGGCCCAATTTCAAACTTGCTTTGCTGGTTCTCCGTGATATTTCTATTTTGAAGAGCCCCATATGTCTTGATGTGGGTGTGGAACTTTGGAACCCTTTAGTATGGGAGGTACTTTGGGAACCACAGAGCGAAGCTGTGCTCTTAAACAAAGAACTTCCAAATGTATCAGGAAAGTGCCGAGACAGAGGCCACGTGGGCGCGTGCGCCTGCTGCTCAGCTTTGTCCTTGCCTCTCGATTGCCTGGCTTCTTTGTCTGAGTCTTCCTTTTTGTTCCCCCAAATTTCAGAGGATTCAGATTATCACTAGAACCAGAAGGAATTTCTGCTGGTACAAATTATTATGGTTGTGCTTTTCCCAAGATTTGTGCACACAGCAGCAACATCCTTTGGTTCTACAAGCTGATGACAGTGCGCCCTGACGGCACAGCACAGGCGGCCAAAGACCGTTGCGGCGGGTCACTGTTCCCACAGCACTGCCAGAGGCCGTTAGATTGTGCTCCATAAAGTGACAGCCAAAATACAGCCTCTCCCCTACCCCGAGTGTGTCCATCCTCTGTGGCAGTCAGCCTGTCCCCACAGGCACAGGGCTCCAGACCCTGGCACCTGTCTTCAGGGCCACACAACCAGACAGACGCAGCTACTGCCCTGCCAGGTATTCCAGGACCCTGGGGTGGAGCGCACCTGCATGTTTGTGGGGACAGGAATAGGTTGGAGAAGGAGTTTGCTCCTAGTGGGATTGATTGGAACATCTAGAAGAGTCAGGAAACACCCTAGTCCGAGGTAAAGATCTTATCAGAAGTTGCAACTTGGCTGCGAAAATGCTGGGGCTGTCCTAGGGCCAGAGAACAGACCATGCAGCTTGAGAAGCTCCCAGCAGAACTGGATCATCATCCTTGCACACATGCTTAATTCCTCTGTCATGTGGAGACGCAACCAGGGCAAACACCTCTCCACCTGACCAGGGCTCCTGCGCTCCTGGATTGTGGCTGCCGGGTCTTCACACAGGCCAGGTGTGACCAAACTAGCTGTGTGTTTGAAGGTGGCCTTTGCTGGGGCCTGAACCAAACCATCTCAAGCTTGGGGGTTCACAGGGTCTGCTACAGTGGGGGAAAGGACGTTGGCCTAATCTTGCAAGTGACTTAGAGCACTGGTTCTCGACCGGAGGTGATATTTGCCTCCCAAGGGGCATTTGGCAGTGACTAGAGACGTACTTGACTGTCTCAGGGGATGTCTATGGGGTACCACTGGCTTCTAGTGGGTAGAGACCGGGGAGTGCACTGAACATCCTTCAGGCACAGGTGGGTGCCCAGCACAGAGTGATCCTCCCAGATGGCACTTGTGTCAAGGTGGAGAAACAATGGTTTAGAGTGTGGCACAGCCCACTTTCATAATCCTGGTTCACTCATTTGCCAGGTGACCCCAGCAGCTAATCAGTCTGATGTTCCCCAGTGCTGTATCGTCCGCGCAGGGAGAGGACTTTGAGTACTTGGGAGGAAGTGGAATAGCCTTGCTCTTTTCTGACTCCCTGGCTCCCCTAGGAACCAAAGCAATTCACTGAGCCCAGGCCCTTTCCTGCATCCCAGACCCACCAGCCTGCTCCTGGTGACGTGTGTCCAGAGAGCCAGAAGCAGTATTAGCAAATACGGAAAATCTGGCTCTGTGTCTGTATTTGCAATGTAAAGTTTTAATATTTATGAGAGAAGCTAATAAGAGTTAGGACAAACGGAGAATTAATTCATGCCTGAAGGGCTTGACATTGGGTGTCTTTTTACTTAGCATATTCGCTTTAAGCATTTGGCTACCATGGACTTCTTCAGTCTCAAAATTAAAGATTTGAACAATATGATCCTCTTTCTTCTCAGCAACTTCCAATAAGCAGAAGAGGCAACCGTGTTCACAGGTCTGGCCAGGGCCTCACCGACCCACAGCAGCGCCTCTTTCCCAGTGACCTTTCTATGAGAGTCAGAACTTCTGGTTCTGCATGTCACTCAGTTGCTGGTTTAATAATCACAAAATAACCCACGCCTCTGGGGCTTACTTTTCCCAAGAGTATATTCCTTACAATGTGAAAATCCCAGATGAGAGGAAGCCTCTCAAGCTCCTGAGGCACCTAGAAGACAAGCCAGGGCGGCAGCTCTGTGCACTGGGGTGACTAATTATTATAATTTTTGCAGATGGAATTGGCTGCTCTAGAAAAAGTCAAATCTGCTTGGATTAAAAATCAAGATGACAGCTTGACTGAGACAGACACCCTGGTATGTATGGTTAGCCCCGTTTCCGCTGTTTAAAATAGTGTTTGTGCTTTAGAAGTAAAGGGCAGAGACCCTCTGCACCAGACTGGAAATTCTGCCCGAACCTGTGATGTCCTATGTTCTTTTTCTCCCGGGATCTTCACCCTTAGAATCCAGCCCACCCAGGAGACTAGGTTCCCCAAAATAGCAAGCCAGAGATGTCCCCGTTCTGCCCTTTAATAGATCTGATCAAGTGGCAACTTGGATGATTCCTCGCTCTGCCACCCTCATTTACTTCTGAGAGGTGAGGGCGGTGTCATTTACTTCTGAGAGGTGAGGGCAGACCTGCCCCTGCTGCTGCTCTTGCCCTGGCCGGGCAGCCCAGCCCAACGCTTGACAGCAGGAGGACCAGTCACCCCCTCCGCTGAGCCCTGTGGGAGCTGCCTGGGGTGCTGACCAAACCCGAATGAAATGGAACAAATTGACTGGGGTGCCCAATTTAATAAACATCAAATTGTACTCACATTTACTGAGCAATTATGTTGATCTGAGCCCTGAAAATGCCTAGAAGAGTGTGGCCGTCACATCCCCGTCCTCAGAAAAGCCGGCCAGTGCAGTCTGGCCAGGCTCCAGGAGGCCCAGGGAGGGTACGCCACCCCTTCTCTGTGGAAATGGAGGCTGGACATGGGATGGGGGGTGGTGCAGAGCTTCACAGAACACCGTCTGGGGGTGTGCACGCACCCGCCTCATTCTGAGACCTTCTGTGGTTGGATGCAGTCCAAGAAAGAATTATTTTCAGCCTATGTTTCCTATAGTAAATAATGCTGCATTAAAGCTCAGTGTACAGCAGAGCGTTAGCTTGAGTCAAGATTCATTTAAAGCTTACGGTGCCGATTCGCACCTTGGCCTCCCCCGTCGTCTGAGGGGCCCAGCGTTTATCTTGCCCCACTTTTTACTGCAGTGGTGGTTTTGGAATGAAGTGCCAGTCGAGTCGCTTCCCAGTTAGAACTCTCCTTCCCGCCCAGGAAAGCTAGGTCATCAGCCAGGTTTGCGTGTTGGTGAGTAGTTTGGACATGTAGAAGACAGAGTTGAGCAGCAACATGCAGTGCGGACTCAGCAGGGCACCATTTGCTAGTCAGGGGAGGTCAGGTTCTAGAACTCATGCCTCCAGGCAGGAGAGCGAATGACCTGCTCCTCCTTGTGGTGGTGAGGGGCCCTGGAAGGCCTCCATCAGGCTCCTGGCTGATTGCTGAGTGAGAAGCAACCTCTCGGCTTCCTTTCCTCCTGACAGGAGATGACTGACCAGGACATGTTTGGAGATGTGAGCACGAGTCTGGTTGTGCCAGAGAAAGTCAAAACTCCCATGAAGTCCAGCAAAGCAGATCTCCCCGGCTCTGCCTCACCCAGGTACTCAGCGCAAAAGCGCCTCCTGCGACAGGGTGGAGTTCAGGGCCAAGCAGCTGGCGCAAGGCTGTGGCCCACGTAGCGAGGGTTCCTGGCCTAGGGAAGAGCAGCTGGCTGGGGCCTCGGGGCCAGCGGGGCTGCTCACCACCTCCTCGCCTCTCTCCGGCAGCAAGGTGGACGGAGCGCACACCCCCCGGCAGAAGAGGAGCACGCCCCTGAAGGAGCGGCAGCTCTCCAAGCCCCTGAGTGAGAGGACCAACAGCTCCGACAGCGAGCGGTCCCCTGACCTGGGCCACAGCACTCAGGTACCCCACCCCCCGCGGAGGCTGGGACCCCCTCAGCATCCCTGGACCTTGCTTTCTGTGGGGTGCCCTCTTTGGGCTGTTCGGTGGAAAGGAGAGGGGGAATACTTGGAAATGCTCTGAGTGGAAGCCTGGAAGACAGATCTAAGCCAGAGAAGCCAGCCTGTTTGCTACTGGTGACTAGCGTGGAATTGACTTTGACTTTCTGATTTATGGGGGGCCAGAGGAGGACGCCAGCGGCACCAGCGCTGTCCTGGCCTGCATCAGCCCCAGTGGCAGTTCCACGCTGGCTTGTTCTGCCGCCTCAGCCTCTGTCACACCCGGGTCTGGAGAGCGCTCTGTGACTTGGGGGTGCTGGGCGATGCTCACGGGGCCTTCGGCGTTGCCATGGGCACTCTCTGTGAGCTCAAGCTGGCAGCCTAGCCGCGTTGCCCTGCTCTGAGGGACCTAGGAGTGGCGGGGATAGAAACGCAGAAGGTGGGTCTTGGAGATGGAGTGTTCTCTTTGAAGGCCAGCAGTGTCCAGGGCCAGGGAAGGGCTTTCTCTAAGCTGACATCCCTCACACAACCACTGTTCTTCTCAAGCTGTCAGCAAGTTTCTTCATTTACCTGAAAAAAAAAAAAACTCTGAGAGAAAAGTTTGCGTCGCTGTGGTTCTGCATTAGGCGCCATTACCGAGCTGACAGGGAGCCAGAGACTAGAATAGCCGGGTGCCCGGGGCCAGGTATTGTCCCCCTTGTTAATCACTGTTCCTGAAATACCTTCAGTTCCCTTCGAACCGCGGGGCTGCCCATGCAGCCTGTACTGCCCCTCTCATTCTTTCTCTCCCCATCGCCCTCGTTTTCGTTTCTGTACGTCCCCCCCCCTCCTCCCTGCCCCTCCGCGCTGCTCTCCTGCTCACCACGTCGCTAGCCTGTCTGCCCTGCCTCCACCAGGACGGCCGCTGTGGCTTTGTTCCTGGTGTGTGAATGTTCTCTAAGGACCCTACGCTTTTCCTTTAGCCTCCTCCGTACTAGTTTGGGCCGGCCAGCAGGCTGTTGGGTCTCTCTCCGGCATAAATTCCTAGTTTCCGTTCTCTCTGACTAGCCGCTCCCAGAACTGCCTGCCCGCTAGGCACCTAGCTCACCCTCCTGCGCCCTGGTGGCTGCCTAACGGGCACGGTCGTCCTTGCAGATCCCGAGGAAGGTGGTGTACGACCAGCTGAATCAGATCCTGGTGTCAGATGCGGCCCTCCCAGAAAACGTCATCCTCGTGAACACCGCTGATTGGCAGGGCCAGGTAAGAGTCACAGCCCTGGGAGAGATGCAGGGGAGCAGCTGGGAGCAGGAGGTACCCCAGGTGTGGGTTGCGAAAGTTAGGGCCTAGGGAAACAGTCACTGAGGCCCTTGTCTTGAGTCCCTCTTCCCCCTCTGAGCTCTGGGCTCCAGTCCCAGTTCTGCTCTTTTCCAACCTAGGCGACATTAAGTCACTGACTTACCTTTTCTCCGTTTGCTCCCCTGTAGAAAAGCAGTAATAATGCTGTTCTGCATTCTTCCTTCCAGGGTGGTTGCTTGTTGGGCAGCATAACAGAATGCAGGCACCTGGAGAAGTGCCAGGTGCTGTAAATGCCAGAGGTTGGCCCAAATTTCCAAGGTGGCAGTTGAGAAGGGGCAGAGCGGTCTCCACCCACCCTGCTCACCCCTGCCCACCCACTTAGATCTCGCGCCAGAATCCCTTGTCCCCAGTGGCCCCAACACTATAAGCTAAAGATTGCAGAGAGCAGATACTGGGATCTAAAGCTTCCTCAGCCTTCGGGCATTTTCCAGTCAGGACATCTACATGGGGCCTGGCCCTACCTTCTCTCATAGCCAGAGACCTGACCTTTGCCCAGCGTTAGCCTGAAAGAAGACTGGGCCCCGCAGCTCAGTCTGGGCCTTGCCTGCCCGCTTAGTACCTGTGGGGAGCAGTCCTTGCCATGTGGCCTCATCTGTGTCCCTCCCACCCCTAGTACGTGGCAGAACTGCTCCAGGACCAGCGGAAGCCTGTCGTGTGCACCTGCTCCACCGTGGAGGTCCAGGCTGTGCTGTCTGCCCTGCTTACCCGCATCCAGCGCTAGTAAGGACTCCAGCTTCTCTCTGGGGTGCCCTCTGACCTTATCTCCTCCCCACCCTGGCTTCCAAGTAGTGAGAGGACTTCTTGACTTCAGCAGACTGAGAACCTTGGTCAGGCAGCAGCAACATGGTGCCTGATGGCTGTACTGGGCCCAAAGCACCAGGGCGTGGAAGTGCCACCTTCCTGCCCATCTCTTCCTGCTTGGACCCCACCATCTTCTTCAACCCACAAAGAAGGCCAAGGAGAGAGAGCCTAGGGTTTCACAGCGCCTTATACTCCCATCTCCTGAACTGGACCATGTTGCTTGGCATCCAGAATCAGAGCTTGCCCTCCCCAGGGTCTTCTTGGAGGGACCCAAAATCCCTGCCTACAGGAGAGAAAACTTCGGGCCTCTGGGCATCAGCACCCATGCCTGCCACTGCCCCAGGGCACCACAAGTTACCTCTCCCTTCTCCTCAGACCGTCTCTTCGTGCTGGGCAGTGGCCACCCTCTCCACCCTGGACTTCGCTGTCCATTGCAAAGCACTGTAGCTTGTTGCCTCTCCCGCTAGTATTTTGTTCACTGGCTTGTTCTTCCCCTGTGGGTTGTTGAAATCAAGCCAGGTCAGAATTCAGGGCTGGATCCTGCTGAACCTCCTAAGTGTGGTTTGACTCCCCTTGCTCCCCAGCTGCAACTGCAACTCCTCCATGCCCAGGCCGGTGAAGGTGGCGGCGGTGGGAGGCCAGAGCTACCTGAGCTCCATCCTCCGGTTCTTTGTCAAGTCCCTGGCCAGCAAGACCTCCGACTGGCTCAGCTACATGCGCTTTCTCATCATTCCCCTCGGTGAGGGCGGGGCAGATCCCACCCTGAAGAGGATGGTGGGGTTGGGTCCGGGAGTGGCAGTCAGGGAGAAAGATGGCCACATCATCATTCATGCCTTCACCGCTCACCTTCTCTGGTCTCCTGTCCACCAGGTTCTCACCCTGTGGCCAAGTACTTGGGCTCCGTTGACAGTAGATACAGCAGTACCTTCCTCGATTCTGGCTGGAGAGACCTGTTCAGTCGCTCGGAGCCCCCAGTGTCAGGTAATGGCCCCTTGCAGGGACCAAGGCCCGGTGCGCTGGTGCATGTAGAGCCGGCCAGGCCGGGGGCAACCACTGCTACTCCTCTGACTCTGCCTCCTGACCACTCGCTCTTTGAGAAGGTGCCCACGAGCAGGACGCTGTCCAGCCCTCCCCTCGGGCTGCGCTAGGCGCTGCTATCTGCTCTGCCCTGCACATCTAGATACAAGGAAGGCTGGGGGGGAAAGGCGGGGGGCGGTGTATCTAGTCAAGAGATGGCGTATGAGGGTCTGAGAATGGCTGCTCGGCAGTCCACTGATGACTGGATGGCACTGCCCCAGCCGTGTGTTCTCTGAAGTGCAGAGCAAAGCAGTGACCCAAGTGCCACAGGGCTGCCAGCTGGTGAGGCTTCGGCCAACCTGCAGGGGCGGAGGGCGGAGGGGTCCCCTAGGTTGCGGGATGGCAGGAACCAGTGGGCGTGAGATGAGGACCGAGGCGGCCGGAGTAAGAGGAGCCCCGGCCACACTGGAAGGGAGAGGACAGCAGTTTGGTTCCCGGCTCCTTAGATGCCAACCGGACGCTCTGTAGAAACTTCTCTCTCCCAGGCCTTCTGCCGCGTCTCCAGAAGGGGGCCCTCTCCGGCAGGGCTTTCGGGTTTGCCTGCTGAAATCAACAGGCAGTTTTCTCTCGGCTTTTCCGCAGAGCAACTGGACGTGGTGGGGCGGGTGATGCAGTACGTCAACGGGGCGGCCGTCACCCACCAGCTGCCCGTGGCCGAGGCCATGCTGACCTGCAGGCACAAGTTGTGAGTCTGACTTGGGGGATTTCTTCAAAGCAGGCTGCGGGGGCTAGATAAGTCTCGAGCTGTGTGCCTTTTCACATTTTCCCTCCCCATGCCGTTTCCCTTCAGGGGCACCCAGAGGAGGTGAGAAACAGAGTGTATTTTCTTAAGGCCTCCATCCATCCTTCCTGACCTGGGCCTCCCGCCCAAGTGGGTACCCCTCGTACAGAGAAACCCAACCTCAGGACTGAAACCCAGGCCTGGAAGCCGGGACAGTGTGCGGAATTGGTCTTCCGGCTCCTGGCACTGTCCCAAGACAGGGAAAGAGGTCATGTGGGGTCTGGTTTCTCCTGAAGCCTCAAAACAACAGAAAAGCTCACTGCCCCCAGCGCGCCACGCCATCTCCTGCTCACTGTAAAGCCTCCTGTCTCTCCCAACAGCCCCGATGAGGACTCCTATCAGAAGTTCATCCCCTTCATCGGCGTGAGTACCAACTCCCCTCACCTCTGAGCCCCACCCATCTTCCTGGCCTTTCTGTTCTCTCCCTCACCCCCCAAATACACACAAATAAGACTCATTTCCACAGTGGTCCTCATCCAGCAGTGACTTTGCCCCAAGTTTTGGGCATCGGACCTCCACCGTGGAGGTCCAGGCTGTGCTGTCTGCCCTGCTTACCCGCATCCAGCGCTAGTAAGGACTCCAGCTTCTCTCTGGGGTGCCCTCTGACCTTATCTCCTCTCCACCCTGGCTTCCAAGTAGTGAGAGGACTTCTTGACTTCAGCAGACTGAGAACCTTGGTCAGGCAGCAGCAACATGGTGCCTGATGGCTGTACTGGGCCCAAAGCGCCAGGGCGTGGAAGTGCCACCTTCCTGCCTGTCTCTTCCTGCTTGGACCCCACCATCTTCTTCAACCCACAAAGAAGAAGGCCAAGGAGAAAGAGCCTAGGGTTTCACAGCGCCTTATACTCCTTATACTGGCAATGTCTGGAGACCTTTGGGTTGTCAGAGCTGGGGGTATGGGCACTACGGGTGCTAGCGGGCAGAGACCAGGGGTGTGTGTGCCTGACGTCCCGCTAGCACAGGACGCCCCCCGACAGAGGATTGTCCGGCCCCAAATCTCAGCTGTGCGGAGGTGGAGAGAGCCTGAGCTAGCTAGTCCTGCACTCTTCCTCCCAGGGCCCCTTTGCCAGGGCTATGGAACTCCCCAGGTCACCTCTGGTGTCTCACATGTCACACGTATGAGAACTGTGCCCCGGCCTGGGCACACTGAGCAGAGCCAGGTGTCAGGGACAGAGCAGCCTCAGAAATGTGGGTGCTGGCATCCTGAAGAGACCTCTGAGAGACAAGTCAGAGACCCTAAAGACCCCCACACGTGAAGTCTGTCTTCCTTCTCCTAAATGGGGAGCATTAGGAGAGACCATTCGAGGGAAAACCTCGGGTGTCTTTGACCTCAGGGGGTTATGGCCTTTGGCAATAGCTGGGCCACGAAGCCAAGACCAAGCAGGAGGGGCGCCAGAGGGGACAGACACGCACACGCTCAGCTTCCACTTGCCAGGCGCTCAGATTTCCCTTCCCTGAAGCTCCTGTCTTTGCCTGCAACCTCTTAGGATCCCTCCTAGCTGCCGGAGCAAGGGCATGTGGATGGGAGGGGCTCCAACCCCGCTGTCCCTCTTCTCCACTCACCCTAGGTTCTGAGTGTTGCTCTCTTTTTTAATTTTTTTTAAAGATTTATTTTGTTCACCCATACAAGAACCGGGGTACAGGTTGAATGTGCAGGAGGGTGAGAGGATTCACCAGAGACAGAGCAGGGAACAGAACAGGCAAACTGACGAAACACACTGCTGAGGGGAGCAGTGGGCAAGACAGGAGAGGTCTGCTATGCCGTGTGGGACCCTCGCTGGCCAGCCGGGATCGAACCTGCGCTGCAGAGGCTGCGGACAGCTTCACAGCACTGCCCTCAACCGCCTGCGCCACCAGGGGAGGCCCCGGTTCTGAGTGTCTTGAGTGATTTGGGGAAGTGCCTGAACCCGGGGACTCAGGAGCCCCTGCTCATGCCTTGCCCTGCCTCCCACCTGGCCAGTCCCGTCAGTGCCTGTCAGCCACTGGGGCTGCTCCCATGGCCACGCTGGGGGTCCTCGCCCCGGCCAGTGGTGTGGCTGGCAGTTTGACTCACCTCTTCATGGAGCTACGGTTTGCTGCCCACTCTAGCTTTGCAGCCGAGATATATATTTAAAAATCAAAAATTCAAACAAAGAAGCTGGCAGCTTCATTGATGCCAGGGGAGCCAGAAAAGTCCAGGTTGTCCAGGGAGTCAGTGTTGTGTTTTACTTTCCTGAAATAAAGCAAGGCTGCCTGGAGAATTGGGGACAGACTGCGCTGAGGGCACCACCGGGGCATAGTCTCCACTCCATGCCAGTCCCCGAGTCCACACCCCAGTCTCGTGCTGTAGCCAGGCGTGAGGCCCCAGGCGGCTAGTCCTCAGGTCTCCCCTGTCACTTGGAGCCACCATAACTGGCCGCTAGCTGTGCCCCTTTCTGGCCACTGGGGGGCTCCCTACTCCTTCCCAGACGTCTTTATGGGGAATCTACAATTCTTTGGAAAGCTGACATTGACACTGTTGCCAGCTGAGACTGGGGGTGCCTGGGCCCCCTCCTCAGCGGTATTCCTCCAGATTCCAGGAGGTCTGAGGGGGGTGCCGGTGTCGCCCTGGATGCTGTACTCACGGAGCAGCAGGCAGGCCTTGCCCGGGGAGCCCCGCCCGCGCCACCTGTCTCACCTCGCTCTCGGGGGCACTTGTCTGCCCAGGACAGGAGGACGGGGCCTGCTGGCCTCCTGCCTGTCGCGTACAGGAAGTGACATCAGGATACGAACATGTTTCGTGCCTTCATTCAAGGTGGCTTTGCCCCCTTGAAAGCTGCAAAGGTTTTTCCACTTCTCTGGGCTCCTCTGGATTTGCCAAGATTCTGAAAGCCTGTGAATAACTCGCAGTAGCCGCTGCTGTGCCCGACCCTGTTCCCTGCTGCTTCCGACCACGTCCAGCTCGGGGGCGGACCTAACGCGGTATCTCCTTCCTCGCAGGTGGTGAAGGTGGGTCTGGTTGAAGACTCTCCTTCCACTGCAGGTGAGCCCAGGCCCTTCGTGTCGGGTGGGGGCTGGTCAGCTTGCTCGTTTGTCCGGCAGACGCAGAGGTGAAGGCTTTGGGTGTCCTTGGTGACGCTAGAGTTTGAGCAGGAAGACCGTGAGCACCCACTCCCATGTTGCAGCACGGCGGGGGTGGTGGCGGGGTCTAAGGCCGAGGACAGGAGCACACTGTAGCAGAGACGGGCCCCTTGGCTTTTGGCCACCAGCGGCTCAGAATGGCTTCCCCAACCTGGCAGGTGACGGGGACGATTCACCTGTGGTCAGCCTTACCGTGCCCTCCACATCACCGCCCTCCAGCTCGGGCCTGAGCCGAGACGCCACAGCTACCCCGCCGTCCTCCCCGTCCATGAGCAGCGCCCTCGCCGTGATGGGGTAAGGCCTCGTCCATTCTGACTTTCCGCCCCTCCCTCGGGGCCCGGCAGGAGCTGCTCTGACTTCCTTCAGCCCCGCACTGTCCGGCGGTTTAGAAAGCACGCTGGTTTAGAAAGGAGCAGGGCAGCGAGAGCCCTGGGCCAGGTGGCCAGGTGGTGGCTGCAGCCCAGCTCTGCACAAGGGAGGGTGCGCTCCACCCGGTGCCTGTCTGTCCCTCCCAGCTGCCCCTTTCACCTCCCTGCATGGTCTCCCGCCGGCTCACCTGGAAGGGGCGGGCTGGGACAGAGATTGGGGACAGTCACAGATGCCCCGGGGCCTCACAGTGCCCACCCTCTGGGGAGATCTGGGGATCAGCCCTTCCCTCGACCTCCTTTTCCATCCCATTTAAGCCTGTTTTTTAACGGAACCGCCGAAGCCAGGCAGAGAGGAATGTCAGATGCCTTTTGTAGCCCGTGTACCTATTGTGTCTGACGCCTCCTTTCAAGGAGACATCAGCCCTTTTTCCCCTCAGAGCTAAAATTATCCCTGAGCTAGAAGTGCCATAAATAAGAGACCGCCGCAGTCAGCCCCACCGCTCGGGGCTGCTCTGCCGCTTGGGGGCCGCAGGTGCCTCCCACTCTGCCCACCATGTGGCTCGGCCCTTGGCTGGGTTGGGCCCAGACTCGGCACACGTGTGCAGTTGTATGTGAGTGTGTGTGTCTGTACACACCCTGGCTGCCTCTCCACTTCCCTCGCCCTCCTGTGCCTGTTTGGTTCCCTCTTGTGTCTTTCCCGGCCAGTGGCTTTGCCCTCCACGCAGGCTGACCGTCCACTTCCGCTGGAACTGATTCTTGATGGAGGGAACCCCCCAGCTGCCTCCCCTCGCCCCCTGCACCCCCACCCCGTCTGGCCTAGTAGTGGGGAAGTGAAGGCAGCGCCTACTCTGTTTCCTGCTGCAGGAGCCCCAACAGCCCATATGGGGACGTGATTGGCCTCCAGGTGGACTACTGGCTGGGCCACCCCGGGGAGCGGAGGAGGGATGGTGACAAGAGGGACGCCAGCTCCAAGAACACCCTCAAGAGCGTGTTCCGCTCAGTGCAGGTCTCCCGCTTGCCCCACGGCGGGGAGGCCCCACCTTCTGGCACTATGGCGATGACCGTGGTCACCAAAGAGAAGAACAAGAAAGGTGAGTGACAGCTCAGGCCTCCCCAGCGCTCTCAGCACCTGGGACAGACGCTGCTTCTGGGAAACCTTGAGTGAGGCCGGAGCAGTTCACATACCCCATAGTCCAGCATGGAGCCTGGGGTCCCTGCCGTTCCTCCTGCGATGCAGAAACCTCGGTCAGGCCTACTGAGCCTCGGCGGTGGGGCCCCATGTGAGCACCCCCGGAGGGAGGGGCCACCCTCAGGATGGGCCATGTGGCCAAGGAGGACATCTCTGTGCCACAGCTGTGGTCACTGCCCCTCTGGAGCTGGGCACTCGCACTCAGGGCAGAGTTGTTTTTGAAGAATCTGAGGAGAATCCGCCTTTTCCAGAGGAGAGAGGTAGTGCTGGGTCTTGAGCTCTGGCAAGGGAGCAGGGCCCCCATGCCAGGCCAGCACCTGCACAGCGCTCACTGCAGACCCGGTCGTGACCCGCAGCCTGCACACCTGCACTATAGGTGCCTCGGCCCTCATGGCCCCACCAGCTGTCTAGGAAGGGGCTTCCTCCCTTCTCTGGGTGCTCCCAAGGCAGCTGGCATCTTTCTGTCCATGCCCCTCTGCACCATGGAGTTCCCCTGGGGGCTGCACCAGGCCTGCACCTGGTGCCTGGGCTGGGGTCGGCACTCCCAACCGGCTTCCCAGCCAGGACTCAGAGCTAGGATACACACTGCTGCATTGCTCCCAGCACCTCCACCAGCGCAGCCCGTGTTACACATGAAGACCTCCAGGCCCGGGGATGGGGTGGTTAGCCCATGTCCCCAGACCAGCGCTGGGTCAGGGCAGCAGCTTGAAGTTCCCAATAAGCCACTAAGCTTGGGGAGTAGGGGTGAAGGATGAGCTTTCTTTAGGTCTGCTCCACTTTAAGAGGGGCCCCTGTGGGGTGAGGAAGGGATCGCTGTTTGCCAGGGGCTGCACCTGAAGCTTTCCTCTTGCTTCCCAGTTCCCACCATCTTCCTGAGCAAGAAACCTCGAGAAAAGGAGGTAGACTCCAAGAGCCAGGTCATCGAAGGCATTAGCCGCCTCATCTGCTCTGCCAAGCAGCAGCAGACCATGCTGAGAGGTGCCAGCGGGGCGGGAGGGGCTCAGTGGGAGGAGATGGTGCACCCCAAGGGACCCTGGGAGGTGCCCTAGCAGCCCTGGTCACCCCTCCTCTTGTCACCCCAGTGTCCATCGATGGAGTCGAGTGGAGCGACATCAAGTTCTTCCAGCTGGCAGCCCAGTGGCCCACCCATGTCAAGCACTTTCCAGTAGGACTGTTCAGTGGCAGCAAGGCCACCTGAGGGTGCTGTCTTCTGGCCACGCTCCCGCCCGGCACTGCCACCAGCCTCACCGCCTGCGGGCAGGGGGAGGCCGGCAGGCCCGGGCGCAGCATTCCCTTTCCTGGCCCTGCAGCCAGCCTCTCCCTGCCCAGTCCTGAAGGATACTGCCACTGGGGACCTGCTCCCCTGCCCCAGGCCCATTCCTGGTCCGCCCCTTCCCTCCCTGCTCCAGGCGGCATGTTGATTTTGCCTTCTGGGCCTACCTGGACTGGGTCGCTGGGCCTGCCTTCACCTGCCTTCCAACCTTTCCCCCAGGTGATGCCATTTCTCTTCCTGGAAATAGGAAGCCTGGAATCTTGGTCCTCCCCGTCCTGCCACTGGGATCCCTCATGTTTTTGTTTTTGTTTTTCTTCCTAAAGCCCAGCTGCCATATCCTACTCAGCCTGCACCCCTAAGTGGGGACCAGGCAGGTGGGCTACTTCCCACTGCTGCGGGGTTCTCACAGCGAAAGGGGCAACCCCCTACCCCTCCACAGTCCCAGGGGCAGCTCCCTCACCCCCAGAACACTGTCTCCATGGCAGTGCCATACGTTTCTGGGGAGGGAGCGGCCTTCCTGGTCTCCCCCATGCACGACTTCCTCACCGCCCCCCTGCAGGCCCTGTAGATGTCACATGGGTCCTGGAGTGTCTCTTCAGTTCTGCACAGCCGTTCTCTCGGTGGCCCCGTGTACAGGGCCTGCACACAGGTCCCTGTCCTTGTGGCCCCTCCTCGTTGATGATTGCCTCTTCCTGAAACTGAACTCGGGGAGATGGAGGCAGACCCCCACCTACACAGTGTGTGTGGCCCCTTGTGCCCTGGTCCCACTGTCTCTTCCTGGTCTGTTCCTCCCTCCTCGCTCCTGGGCCCCTGGCCTAGGCTGAGACCCCATCCTCCTGGCCAGGTCTCCGGCAGGCTCCGTGTCCTCGCTTTTGCCGCAGACTTGGGGGTCTGAGCCCCTCAACCTTGACCACCAGAGTTCTCAGGAGAGGCTGAGCCCATGAGGCCAGGCCTGCCTCGGCCCTCCCGCCCCCGCCAGCACCACCAGGGCTTCACCGTTGTCCTCTCACCCTTTCTGGATGTTTTTGCACAGAGCTTCGTTTTGAAAAGTATTTTTCTCATTCTCCATACCTCCCCCAAACTCCTCCAGCCTTTACCCCCAGCTCAGCCCTGCCGTCCAACGTGTCTCCTGGGCTGGCCCGCTCTCAGGCCGGAGAGAGAGGAGGGGCGGGAGGGACTGAGTGATGTCGGGTTTTTCATTCAATAAACTGGTGATTTCTTACCACCTAGCAAGCCTTGGGCATCTGTGCCTCTCCCTGTGACCAGCCCCTTAACAAAACACAGCCAGCTCCACTCAAAATCCACTGGGGACAGGCCAGAAAGCAGCAATCTCCCATTTCTTAGTCATAGAAGAGAGGTGTGGAGGGGTCTTGCCCAGAGACGGCAGGTTCCCAGTGGAAACCTCTTTTCCTCCAGGGCCCACCGCCCAAGCCCGCCTTTCAAGGGCAGTTCCCGCTGTTGTGACTGGAGATTAGATTTAGCTCTCTCCCCGTAATTTCTCGAAATGCGTGGTCTGAGGACAAAGGGGCTTTGCCTTTGCGGGTGGAGAGGGTGGGGTGGAGTCCGTCATGCGGTTTTCTTTCCTGCACTTTTAACTGGGAGGTACAACTCAGCCACCACTCCCTGCCAGCCTGGTTCTCCTGCCTCAGGACATGCCACACCGCCGCCCTTGAAGTGCCCAGATGGGGGCTCGCTTGGTGTCTTCGTCCACAGAGGAGTGGAAGGCCAAGTACACAGGCTGTCTCTGGCTCCCCAAGCCCCGTGGCCAGATGACCTCACGGAGGGAGGCCCTAGGACCCAGCACGCGGTGCTGTGCGCACTCTGAGACTAGAAAGTGGAAATAACTCGGCCGCCTCCGCACAGGGAGAAGCCCATGAAGTCTGCGAAAGTGGCCCAGAAAGGCCATCTGTACAAGGTGGACAATCTGGCAGGTGAAAAAAATCAGCAGGCCAAGTCAGATGGTGTCAGGTAACTAGAAAGGAAGTAAGAGTTGTCGGGGCAGTGACAGTGCCCACGAAGGCCTTGAGGAGCCGGCAGCCAGGAGGGGCCTCCGGGGGGGCCGGGGCTGTGGGGACCTGGAAGCTAGTGGGAGGGTGTGGGAGAGGAGAGGGGGCAGGAGGCGTGAGCTCCACCCGACCTACCTCTGATGCCACGTCTCACCCCCGCCTGTGGCCATCAGCCTTGTCCCGGCCTCACCCCCGCATCGCCCCCTCTCTCCCCTGGTGAGAACAGTGAGCCTCCTTGACTCCAGATCTCCACCTGCCACGCCGCGCCTCTGCTTCCCTACAGCGAAGTTCTTCCAGGACTTGCTCACGCTCCCTGTCTCCAGCTCCTCCCCTCCTTCAGGCGTTTGTCCTCACGACTCCATCACGAGTTCCCTTACCAAGGTCACCGGGACCTGGGGGCAGATCCAAGGTCAGTTCTCTCATCTGACCCACGGCAGCCGTGGATGCCTGTATCCTGCCGGACCTCCGTCTCCGCGCGGCCTGTGGCCAGCACTCAGCGCTGCCTGCTCGCTCTCGGCCTCCCTTACTGTACCCGCCCTATCTCCCCCAGCTCAGGGCACGGGGAGGTCAGGGTGGGGACCGCTGGCAGCCTCTCCCCAGGCCTGCCCTGCAGCGTGGAATCTCCTCGCACACAACTTCTCCCTCCATCCTCTGGCTTCTGAGATCAAAAGCTGGAGTCATCCTGGACGCGCTCGTGCCCAACACCGTCCGCAGCAGCGCCTCTGGCTTCCCCCTCGGACAGCCAGAGCCAACCCTCCTCACCCCTTTCTAGGCTGCTGTTATTTTGTCTGGGTCATGTAATCACTTCCGAATGATCTCTGCTTCCACCTACTCTTCCTGTGGTCTGTTATCCACGCAGTAGCCAGAGAGTCTTTTAAAATGTTAATCAGATCGCGTTAAATTACCGGTCCAGACTGCGCGGTGGCTTCCCATCTCGCTAGGAATGTAACCCAATAACCGCCCAGTCCTCATAACCGACCAGGCCCGCCAGGCCCGCCTGATCTGCCTGGCTAAGCGCTGCTTGATCAGATCTCCCTCCCTCCCGCCCCAGCCCGCTGGACTCCGGCTGGGTACCTCCTGCCCCAGGGCCCTTGCACAAGCCCTCCCTCTGCACCTCCCTGCTCCTGCCCCAGATCCATGTAGCTTGTCCCCGCATTCATGTTTTGGCTCAAATGTCACCTCAGAGGCCTTCTCCAGTCAACCTGACTAAAGTCGTGTTCCTCTTACCCTTCTTTCCCTTATTAGCACATGCTCACTTGTGCGTGTCCCCCCACCCCCCAGAATGTTAGCACTGAGGAAACAGGAACCTTCTCACTCCCTGTCATATCCTTGGCACCCAGAAAACTGCTCGGCTCATCACAGGTACACAACACGCAGTGACGGCGCTGCTGAAGCGGCTCCCTAGCCCAGGTGTGCTGCTCCGGCTGGCGCCTCGCCCACAGCACAGCTGCATCTCCTCGCAGGCCCGAGCAAGGAGGCAGCCCCACTCTGAGCAACAGGAGGAAGCGGGTGCACGGGAACTGTTCCTAGGATCCCAGTCAACTCAGGGGGAAGGTGTACCTGGTGTGAGGGTTTCTGGGTCACTCTGGGAAGTAAAGCCGGACCAGAGCAGAACTGACCAGGGGCGGCCAGAACATCTCTGAAGGCAAAGGGGTGGCACAAGGTGGGGAGGGGGGGTTGGATTTTCTTTTAAAATCTTTAAAGACAAAACTAAACACCTAGTACCACCATGAGCCCCCCCCACCCTTACCCCCACCCCCATCCCTCAGTTCAGTCATCAGTGTCCATTAGTTTGTTTTGTCCCTTTAGCTTTATTTCCTTAGATTGCACATATAAGTAAATCATTCAGTGTCTTTATCTTTCTAACTTTGCTTCACATAATCCCGAGTCCCTTTCATTTAGCTGTAAAGAGTAACATTCCTTTTTTCCTTGCAGAGAGTAGAATAGTATCCCGTTGTGTGTAAACCCCACGTCTCTCTCCAGTCACCTGTCAGTGGGCCCCGGAGGGGGCTCCCCTAGTTTGGCATTTGTGCATACCGCTACTGTGCGCGTGCCGGTGTGTGTCACACTCCCAGTTGATGCTTTCATGTGCTTTGCCTGGATACCCAGGATTGGGGGTGCTGGGTCACATAATAGCTGTAGTTCTAGGGTTTTTTTTTTTTTTAAGATTTATTTATTTATGCATACGGAGCTGGGGTACAGGCCAGAGGTGCTGGGGGTGAGAGGATTCACCAGAGACAGTGGGGAACAGAACAGGTGGATCCACTGAAATCCACTGCTGAGGGGGCAGCAGGGAGACAGGAGAGGTCTGCTGCAACATGTGGGTAGCTCCCTGGCTGGGGATGGAACTCGTGCTGCAGTGGCTGCCGATAGCTTCATAGTGCTGAGACTTAACCCCTTGCGCCACCAGGGAGGCCCTCATTTTAGGTTTTTGAGGAAGGTCCGGACCACTTTCCAAAATGACTGCACCAGTTTCCATCCCCCAACAGTGCATCAGGCCTCCGGCTTCTCAGCATCCTCACCAGCACTTGTTAACAGTCTCTTTGACATCAGCTGTCACAGGTGTGAGGTGTTCGCTCCTTGTGGCGTTGATTTGCATTTGCTTAGTAAGTGATGATGAACATCACTTCATGTCTGTTGGCAGCTGGATGTCTTGTCTGGAAAAGTGCCTATCCAGACCTTCTGCCCGGTTTTTAATTGGGTGTTTTGTAAGTTGATGACTCCTTTCTATACCTTGGATAGTAATGCCTTGTCAGAGGTGTGATGTGCAAATGTCGCCTCCCATGCAGTCATCTGTCTTTTTAGCCTGCTGATTTGTTCTGATTGTTGCGGTAACGCTGGTTTACAGCCAGTGTGTGTTTTGGGGTAGAGGCTCACACAGCTACCGACGGGCACCATTACATGCCCGCTGCCACGCCACTGTTTTCTCTTGCTGTGCAAGACCTTTATAATTTGCTGCCATCCCAGCGGCTTATTTCCATCCCTTACAATTGGGGTCGAGTCCCCAAGGCCATCTCTGTCACGGACATCATGGTCCAAATGGCCTGTGTTTTCTTCCGTGTATTGTACAGCTTGGGCTCTTACATCTAAGTCTTTAACCCATTTTGAGTTTATTCTTATGTATGAAGCTAGAGAGTGAGCCAGGTTCATCCTTTGTGTGTGGCTGTCCAGTTTCCCCAACACCAGTGGTGAAGACATTTTACCTCTACATTATGTGGTCATATCTCCTTTTCCAAAATGAGGTGCCAGTGTATGTGTGGATTTATCTTTTTTTTTAAATGTATTTATGCATGCAAGAGCTGGGGTACAGGCCAGAGGATTCACCAGAGACAGAGTGGGGAACAGAACAGGCAACCGACCGAAATACACTGCTGAGGGGAGCAGCGGGTGAGACAGGAGAGGTCTGCTGCGCCATGTGGGTAGCTCCCTGGCCGGCAATCGAACTCATGCTGAAGTGGCTGCCGATAGCTTCAGAGTGCTGAGACTTAACCCCTTGTGCCACCAGAGAGGCCCCATGTGTGGATTTATTGCTGGGCTATTGCTGTTCCATTGACCCACATGTCTGTTTTTCTTCTGATAGCATTTAATTTCTGTTGTTTTATAATAAAGTCTGGTAATATGACGCCTCCATTTTCTTTTTTTCTCAAAATTGCTTTAAGCCATTTGGTTCCATGTAAATTTCTGTATTTGTTGTTCTACTTCCTTGAAAAATATCATTGGAATTTTGATAGGGATCGCCTCAAGTCAGTATTGCTGTGTCGGATGGCCAGTCCCTAGCGGCGGGGTTGTGGGGTTCTGACACAGGCGGAAACGCCCGTGCGGCCCGCACACAGCTCCGGGCGGGCTTCCCTCCTCACTAAAACAGTCATCTGCTTCAGCTGCAAAGCAGAACAAAGAGCTACTGTGTGCCCCTCGTCCTGGGTCTCCTTTGGTTAACAGGTTAAATTAATAGGGCACTTTTATCAGAACTAATACAACTCATAAATGTCCATATATTATTATTAACCAAAATCCATAGTTTTTCCCTACTGTCCTTCCTCCAGCCCAGAATCCTATCTGGGGTGCGGCGCTATGTTTACATTCCTTTGGGCTGTGGCATTTTCTCAGACTTTCTCAACTATTGGCAACCTCAACGGTGCTGAGCAGTACCGGGCAGGCATGTGTGGAAGGCTCTGCACGGGGCCTGGCAGACCGTGTCAAGGGTGCAGCTGTGGATGTGACTTTGCTGATGACCCCCCCTTTCCATAAGTGCTCCTCTGAAGCACAGCCACACTTAGGAGTGAGGGCCTCCCCTCCGCTACAGGAGGCTGCAGATGAGTGTTTTTAAATGTTTTTCTTCATCGTGCACCGCCGTGTCCAAGGACTGATGCGTCCATGCTCTTGCAGTCCCACTGTCCCCCTGCAGGCCTTCCCTTCCGGCCCCGCGGCTGCTGAGCACTTCAGCTGGTTAATTTCAACGGCTGCACAGAGCCGCCCGGGAAAATCCAGTCAGCCGATCCTTTCGTCTCACCAGGGAGCAAGCCAAAGCTCTGAGACCTCCCCTCCCAAGCTAGACTCTCAAGTCCGGCCGTCTACTCACACACGCCTCTAGCCTAGAAGATGCCTACTGGCAGGCCTCTTGCACTGCCTCCAGCCTCCCAGTCTTAGAAGCGACACCAGGGCCCATTCTCTTACTCAAGCCAGACACCACTGAGTCGCCCTGTGTTACCTCCCTGGCTCCTGGCCACAACCTCCAACGCCAGCCTCGTAAGTCAACCTGAGTCCCTGGCACTGGACGTGGTTCCCTAATGTCTTTGAACACAGCCTTGGTCCCTGGGACCTGCGCAGCCAGGCCCGCCCACCTCTCCAAGCTCACACCCACCTCCCCTGCCCCACAGCCCTAAGCCACACACCATCTTTCGGTCACCAGACCCCTCCTCTGTGCACCGCCTCAAGTGCTGTTCTTTTCACCCTAAAAGCTCCTCCACCCCACGGAGCCAGCAGCTCCTCTTCCCCTGAGACACAGCAGGTGCTTTCCCGGTCACTCTACCAGAAGGTGAGTCTCCTCCTTGCCCTTCAGTCAGTCAGGGCGTTCAAGGTGACCCACGAAAACGTCTCTGTTCCACGTTAGAAGGCGTGATCCGGAGGGCAGGGCTGCCCCTCCATCCACCACTCCGGAGATGGCAGCCAGCGGAAGGTTCGGTAAAGGAGTGAGAGAGGGGCTAAGCCACTTGGCCACCACACAGATGGGCTGAGAAGGAGCCGGATTTCCAGCCCAGGTCACCTGCCTCCACCATCTCTCAGGGCCTACGCGGATGCCAACTTCTCCGCCAGCCACACATGCCACCTGTGAGCACCAGCCAGTCCCAGCCTAGGTCTGGTGTCAGGGTGAGCCCAGGGCTGGGTCCCTACCTACATGGGCATTCAGACGAGCAGGGGAGACACTCTAACAGAGCTCTGGCACACAGCATGGCAGGTGGCACAGGAGCACATGGGGGGCAGCTGGTCAGCGGCACAGTGGATGCTTGGGAAACAGCGAACTCGAGAGACAGGAGAATCTGGCCTGTTCTGGGGCCACGCGTGGTTTCGCGTGATGGAGACACGATGGTGAGTGACAGGGCGGGAGAGGAGCCGCAGGCAGGCACCGGGGCGGCTGCGCTTATCCTGAGACCGAGGGAGCCAGCCCCGGGGCTAGGCATCTAGTCAGAAACTTCCCTACAACAGGCGCGAGGAAACAAGACTGACGCCCAGAGGACAGGAAGGGCCTTGTGGCGGCGGAGGGTCAAGATGTGAGGACAAAGACCAAGCAGTGGGTGAGGAGGTGGAGAAAATGGAGACTTGAGTGCCTGGCAAGAGGTCGAATGGCTAGGGGCAGGAGGCGGGTAGGAAAACAGGGCCGAAGGGAGCGCGCGAGGCGACTGCCCTGGGAAAACAGGCAGATGGTGGAACACCCCGGAGGAGATCTGGGGGGACGGAGGAGATCTGGGGGGACGAGGGGGGTCTCAGGGCGGGGGTGCGCTCTGCAGAGGTGTGTGTCCCCTGGGCCTGGGCGGAGCACACAGCTGTCGGTGGAGCAGAGGACAGAGCAGGGCGGGCTGGGCTGGCGGGAGGCTCAGGCTCCCTCGGCGCCCGGGGAGCTGGCTGAGGGGCGGGGGGCTGCCCCAGCCGCCTGTCCTGTCGCATTCGGACTCTCCCTGCCCTTTGGGGCTCACTTGTCGCTCGATTTCATTCTGGAGGTGTCTGCTCTGCAACACCGCACGCAGAGGCTGCGCACATTTCCTGTTCTTTTCTCCTCACTCTCCACTCACTTCCCGGCCTCGGAACGGGAAGCTCGATGGCGACGGCATCAGAACAAACGACGCGTAACGTGTCGCCTGTGCGAGGCACGACGCTAAGCTCGGCCACGTCATCCTGTCGTCCTGAGGACCCGATGGGTGGGTGTGAGGAATCCCATTTTACAGACAAGAAAACAGATGAAGAGTCTGCCAGCGCCCCAGGGCTGGCAGGTGGAGAAGCTCAGCTTCGACCTCGTGTGAGCCTGGCCCCGAAGGCCGGGACCCGCCGAGAGGGCAGGGCCCCTCCCAGTCCCACTGGGCCCCCCAGTCCCACTGGGCCCCGCAGCCACCAGGACAGGGCCCCGGAGCCTCGGGGGAGCTGAGAGCAGCCTCCGTTCTGGCTCGGGGGCAGGAAGAACTTACAAGCAGAACAGGACCCCCTGGAAGGGGTGAGCTGCGTCAAGTTGGGGAGGCGTGATCTGTAAGGAGCCTCCAGCCCAACACTCAACGCGTGAACCTTCTGAAGGGGCTTCAAGGGGGTAATATGCTTGGCCAGAGTGCCCTTGAGCGTTTGAAAGGAATGGAAAAATAAAATTTTCAAAAGCAGCTTTCAGTGGCATGAGCGAGTCAATGGGTCCCCGGGGATCGGGCAGGCGCAATGGAGTGATCTGAGGTGGAAACAATATTGAAAGTAGCGAGAGCAGCTTCCCGGGCCTGGGACTGGAGGGGCCAGCCGATGAGCTCTGCGGAAAATGGCATAAGGAGCTGAATCACCACTGGCACAGACTCCTTCCTTTCTTCCCCACTAGCAGCACCCATCAGCAGCCTGGCAGGAGACCAGCAGCTGCGGGGGGAGTGCAGAACAAGTGGGCTGGAGTAACAGTCCCTTCCCTTGGGGAGGCACAGTACAGCCCTCAGAGATAAGATAAAAAGCCGAGGGGCTGAAGAGGTGGAACACAGGCAAGGTTCAGCATCGAGAGATAAGAGCATGAGAACTGGCGGGAGGGCCCGGCCTTCCTCTGCCCTGCACAGGAGGAGGAGCAAGGCCAGAGGCGTAAAAAAGTCACAAAGACACCACAGAAGCCTGAAGAGAGCAGGAAAGCCTGAGCAAGAAACCAGCGGAAGTCAGAAAGGGAGGCTGAAAAGCCTTCTCTCCATGTGTCGGGGGAAAAAGATGATAAGAAAAATGTGCTTATTTACTGATAGAGAAAGCGCAGGGAAGAAAGCAGAGGTTGTGCGTTTGCTCTAAGGTGTCCACTGAAGGCACATACCCAGTCCTGCACAAACACACACACGCATGGAGGTGAGTGCATTAGCAGGTACAGCGGGTGGTGAGCACCTGCCTGCAGCTGAGGGTGTGTGTGTGTGCGTGTGTGTGTGCTTTTGTGGGTGTGAATAAGCTAAGTGCTCGCCTTCTCTTGACTTCTACTCCACACAGTCAGTCTCCCTTCCCCACAGGGATAAAATGACTGGGGGCGGGGGGAGGGCTCTAGATTAACAAAGAACACTGACCTGGAAGCCTGAGCTCCTGGGAACAGCAGGCACAGCGGCCTTCCTAGCTCTTGGCTGCAGTTTCTTTACCTATAAAACAAGGGCAGTTCAGCAGTGGCTTTCTTTTTTTTTTTTTTTTTTTTTTTTTTTTATAGAGGCATGTTTTTATTTATTTATTTATTATATTTGTTTGTTTGTTTTGTTTATACATGCACTGGGTACAGTCAGAAGCGCGGGAGGGTGAGAGAATTCACCAGAGCCAGAGCGGGGAGCAGAACAGGCAGAAGGACCGAAGCACACTGCTGAGGGGAGCAGCGGGTGGCAGGAGAGGTCTGCGCACCATGTGGGATCCTCCTCCGGGGCCGGGGAGCAGCCGGGGATCGAACCGGCGCCACGGAGGCTGTGGGCAGCTTCGCAACCCAGCGCTCAACCGCTGCGCCACCGGGGAGGCCCCAGCAGTGGCTTTCAACCCAGAATGCACAGCATGAGCAGTTGAAGTTTTAAAACAAGAGATGCCCAGGACTCACCCTGGCACCAATGCAGCCCACTCTCTGGACAGCCTCTGACAGTCCCAGTCCCAGACCCTCCCTGAAAAATGAACACACGACCCTGGTAGTGTAACAGGGTGGTCCCCAGGAAAGGGGGAAGTTCCAGGTTCCCTGCCCCACCCAAGGGAGGGTGGAGCTGAGCAGGAAGAGGAGAAGCTGCAGAAGAGACTGAGGAAGGAAGCAGGATGGAGCCAGGAGACCTGGAGGAGGCGCATGGAGCCTAGAGACACGTGAAGAAACTGCGCTTGTCTTTTGGTCGTGGACTGGGTGACACAGATGTGGGTGAGACCCGTGGGGAGGTGACCATGGCAGCTTTTATCTTGATGTTGATTTTGCTCTTTTCCTTCCGGGCTTGTCTGGTTGTTTGTGACCCTTTTCTGTGGGTCCCCACTGGAAGATGCTTTAGACTTGTGGCAGGCCTTGGGGCCTTGTTCTGGGCCAATCCCATTTGGATGGACTTTTACCCACGAGGGGACGGGTAACTCTGGATGCTTCATTTAGAAACTAGACTCTTTGCCTTACCTGTATTGTTTCCTAGTTTTATTAAAGTTCCTTCCCATTAAAGTCTTCTATGTTTTGTGTTGATGCGGCGGATGGCAGAACCCATGTAGAATAGGCAGGTTTGCGGGGTTTGGGCTGCCCCTCTCCCTGTCCTATAACAGTAGCAGCAGGTGCCTCTGGGGAGGGAGATGCGTGGCTGAGCACAGTGATCAGAGAAAGAACTTCATTTCGTTGTAACTGGTATGTGCCATCTGAATTTTGTATCATGTGACTGCATTAGCTGCCTTTAAGACTCACTGGAGAAAAAAATCATTGGCAAAAGCACAGGGTCAGGGAGAAGAACACTGCTGGTATCACTGAGCTACCCAGAGTCAGCCTCACTTGTGGGCAGGTGGAGTTCTCAGGGGCACTATCCCTCAGCCATCTGCACAGGCCATGTCTGTCGGGGTCCTGAGGCCCTGGGCTGTGCACCACATTCTCAGCAGTGTCTGGGTCCACATGTTGAGCTACACCCATAAAAGCGAGAGCAGGATGGGGAGAGCCAGAAACAGCGGCAGGTGTGGGTGAAGGGTCAGCCCCGCTGCAGGGAGAAGTTGGGGTGGTGCCCCCCTGAGGTCTCCTAATAGCTTCATTGACAAAGGGAGCAGGAGCCAAGGGTTCTTCCTATAGACAGCCTCAGCTTGGTGTGGGGAAGATCTCCAGGAAGGCACTTTTGGGGCTCAGGAAAACCTGTCTCACAGCACAGGACGCAGAGCTCCATTTCTGTCAAAGGTGGTGCTGAGGGGTCATCGCATCCACCAGGAAGCTGAAGCCAGCCTGACTCATGGGACCTATGGGCGCCCAGTAGGCCTGGCTGTGCCGGTGTGCCCCTGGGAGTGGCTCACCCTTCTGCCCTTTTCGAAAACTGACATTTACTGAGCGCTGCCCTGTGGCTGGCCAGGAGCTGTCTAGGAGTGGAGGAGACACACGGGTTTGGCCTGCGGTCTGGAGAGGAGTCCGCCAGGAGAGCTTAGGCCGCAGATGCCATGGCGAGATTGAAGTGGGTGCAGGAGATGGACTGGCCTCCAGGAGGGGCTGGGAATCAGGGAAGGTCTGAGGACAGGACACTCAAGCAGAGCCCGAACGCCATCACGACGGCCCAAAGGCACTGCCCGGTCTCCGACACGGCATTTGCCGAGGCCTTCGCCCGCAAGGCAGCGCTGATTCAGCAGAGGCCCCGCCGCCCCCGGCCACCCCTCCCTCCTCTAAGTCAGAAGCTGCCCGCCCCCTCCTGCCGCCCCCCATCTTAGAGCCCTAAGATGCTGTGAGTCGCCTCCAGGGCCACGGGCGGCCCCGAGGAGCGGGTGGGGCGGGACAGTCTCCGAAGACAAGCAGCTGGGCGCGGGGAGAGGCGGCGCAGCGCCCGCGGCCCTTGGGTTTCCTGAGCGCTTCGAGACTTCGCAGGCACCAAACTCACCAAGTGCAACGACCTCAGTACATGTCAGGGGTCGCGCTGCGACCACCGGGCCCCCCGCCGCGGGAGCCCGAGCACGCCCGGGCGGCCTGGGCCGCGGAGAGCGCCCGGGCCCCGCCGCAGGTGCGCGGGGGCGGGGCGGGCACCTGAGCCCGCGACCCGGCCCCGCCCCTCGGGGCCCCGCCCACGCGCGGCCACGCCCCCGGCTGCCGGGCCCGGGGGAGCGCCGGAGGGGGAGCTCCTTTAAGGCGGCGAGCGGGCCGAGAGGAGCGTTTCGCCCCCTCCGACGCCGCTGAGGTAGCGGCTTTACCTTTAAGGCAGCGCGGGGACTGCTGGGAAGGCCGGCGGGATGGAGGCGGCGGGACGCGCGCTCGGCTGCGGGTCCGGGTGAAGCGGGGCGGAGCCGGCGCGGAGCGGGAGCCGGGCCCGAGCGGGAGGCGCAGGTCCGCGCGCGCTGAGCGGGCCGGGAGCGGCGCCGCCAGACCCAGCGGGGCGGGGGCTGCGGAGCGGCCTCGGGAGGGGTCGCCGTGGGCGCGGCCTGCGCGGGACCCGGCCGGCCCGCGGGGAGGGGGCGCGGCCCTGGCGGGGCGCGGGGGTCCCCGGGCTTCGCTCCGGTCTCCGGGGAAGCGTCGTCGCGGGCGCGGCCTGAGGGGCGGGAGGGAAGCTCGAGACAGCGCCTCGGCGGGGCGGGTGCCCGGGGTCGGCCTGCCGGGAGGAGGGTCTCCGAGGCCCGCCTGCCCCTGGGCGGGGGCCGCTGCGGGGCCTGGGGCCGCGTCCCCGGGGCCCGGGGCTGCCGCGCGGGAGCGAGCCGCCGCCACCTCCGTGGGGCCGCCCTCCGGCGCGCGCTGGCCAGTGTGGAGGAGTCCCCGGGGGACCCCGAGACTGGGCAGCCGGAGCCGGCCTAGCCAGTGGTCTGGGCCGGATCCGAGTCCAGCCGTACCGTCTGCACCGCATTGCGTCTCCCCGGCGAGACGGGCCGGGCGCGCCCCCTGTAGGCCGAGCGCGGGCACGGTGCGGACCGCCGCGGGGGACCCGGGCGCCCCGGGGACCTGGCGCGCGCGGGGATCGGAGGTGTTTACCTAATCCGGGGCGGACGGCGGTGTGGCCCCAGGCCCGGCACCCCCTGCCCGCCCCCTCGCCCTAACAGGAGGCACGGCCATGGCCACGATGGTGCTTCCCCGGGAGGAGAAGCTGAGCCAAGATGACATCGTGCTGGGCACCAAAGCTGTCATCCAAGGGCTGGAGACCCTGCGTGGGGAGCACCGTGCCCTGCTCGCTCCCCTGGTCACTCATGAAGCCAGCGATGCCGAACCCGGTTCCCAGGAGCGCTGCGTCCTCCTGCGGCGCTCTCTGGAGGCCATCGAGCTGGGGCTGGGGGAGGCCCAGGTAGGCTGGTCTGGGGTGCTGAAGTGGGAGGTCACGGGAGGAGTGGAGCCTTCCAGGGGGATCCTGGCAGTGTAGGAATCAGAGCAGGGAACTATCTGTCCCCTGAAACCCCTTGGTAGGCCCCTGGTAAATAAATAACTGTTGAAGAAATGAATGGGCTTTGGAGGCCCAGCTGTGCCATTGCCTCCCATGGGTGAGCCTGATCATCCTGCAGCCCCGCCTGAACTCAGCCCCGTTACTGGCTTCTCCGCTAGGTAGTAGACTGCAAATGTCATAGGAGAACAAAAAGGAAATCCTTAAGAGAAACCCCCATCAATTTTTTTTTTCCTCCAAATTCATTCTTTTAGTCATTCATTAGCAGGTGCATTATGAAGTGCCTTCTATGTGCCAGACAATGCATTAGATGGCAGGGATACCCTCCAACAAGGCAGACAAGATCCCTGCCCTAGTCCAGTAGGAAGAGAGAAAGAAACACACATGCATTTATTACAAATAGACAGAAGTTCTCTTTAAAAAAGAATAAGCTCTTGTGATAGTTTGTTTCACGAGGTCTTATCTATTGTTAGACAAGACTTGTGAACTAATGACATTTAAATCAAGGTCTGAAGGAAGGAGTGAACCTGCCTCCAGAAAGGCCTTGAGAGATTGCATGTGCAAAAGTCCTGAGGTAGAGAGATCTTGTCGTGGTGGGGCAGTGGGGGAAACTCTGTGATCATGGGGAAGGAGAGCAAAACAGAAGAGGTCTGTGCAGAAGGCCAGGGCCAGGTCATGTTGTGCCTCATCAGTGTGGATTTATTCTCAGGAAATTGGGGAGACCTTGGAGGCTGACTTGGGTTTTTAAAATTTCCTATGACTGAGATGTGGAGAATGAACTGTAGTGGGTCAGGCCAAGGTAAAAGCAGGCAGGAGTTCAAGTTCAACTGCTGGAGTTCAAGTGGTCAGTGGTGTCTTGGCCTACAGGGGTGGCCATGAGGGTGGAGAGGAGACCTTGAGCACTGGAGGTAGGTCCAGCAGGATGGCGCCCGGGAGGCGGGGGGAGGAGGGGGCAACTCCCAGGTTTGTGGTGTGAGCATGTTTGAGAGATGCGAGAACTGGATGGATCAGGAGTTCTGGTGTGGCTGTCTTAAGCTGGGGAGTCGGGGGGATATGCAGATGGACACACCAGGGGATAGTGGGGCATAGAAGGAGCTGGGCTGGGGGAGAGTCTTGGCCGCTTCCGATCTTGCTGAGACACTGACTGGCTGAGTCCCGGGCAGGTGGTATCATCTTGGTTTCCTTGTCTTTAAAATAGGGATCATGCCATCTGCTGCATCTACTTCCAGGCTGTTGAGGGATCATTATTTTATTTTATTTTTTTTTAAGGATAGTGTTGTGAGAACACCTGTCACTTAGGCATTGGCTAAGGTCCCAGGTCCCGGGCGCTCTGCAACGGCGACGCATTGGTCATTCACTCCACAGCTGTTTGGCTGTCAGGTGCAGAGATGAACATGTCCCCCTTCTGGGGTCCCCCTTCTGGTGTGCACAGCCACCCCCACGGATGGGGAATGGGGTGATCTGGCGGGGCAGGGGAAGGTGCCTATTTTCCTGGGGCCGAGGGCATAAGGGGGAAGAGGCCTCAGTGCAGAAAAGGCCCTGAGTGCAAAAGGTGGAGAAAGGGCAGAGCCTGTGCGAGGTCCCGAGGCAGGGAGAGCAGGAGCTTGGGACAGGAGTCAGGGGAGGGGTTGCTAAGGTCTCTGGATCTCCTTCCTGTTTCTGTGGTTCCCCAGATCACAGGGGGTTTGGGACACACACCCCTCCCCTCCCTGGGAACTGCAGAAGGCCGGGGACTGCCCTGGACCCTTGGCTAGTTTCTGGTGCCCTCAGCTGCATGATCAGGGCTCTTCGGGAAAGCGCCCATTTGGGGGGGGGGCAGTGTTATAGGGCGTGGCTGCGGGGACGTCATTGTAACCCCCAAGAGGGAAAGGAAGAGAAGCCCCAGTGCCGGGAAAGCACAGCACCCCACAGTCCCAGCAGCCCAGCAAGGGAGCAGCCCGTCATTGTGGAGATGTGCGGGGGCCCAGGAGAGGGCGGGCTTTCTCAAGGCCCGCGGAGCCAGGGTGGGAGCTCTGACCCTCGAAGGAAGTTGTTGGGGCTCCTCGGGCCTCTTGGGTTTGGGTCTTAGTCTGTGGTCTCTTGGACCCATGGGGGCCACTCCCTTGGCGAGAGCAGAGCTTTGAGGCCCCCAGCCTTGCGGCTCCTCAGGCATGCCCGGCCCAGCTCTTCACAGGAGCCCAGTGCTGGGGCCCCCAGGCCGAGGGGTGGACGGGGCTCTGGCCTTCACCCCGGCCGCCTGCCACAGGTGATCCTGGCGCTGTCGAGCCACCTGGGGGCCGTGGAGTCGGAGAAGCAGAAGCTGCGGGCTCAGGTGCGGCGCCTGGTGCAGGAGAACCAGTGGCTGCGGGAGGAGCTGGCAGGGACGCAGCAGAAGCTGCAGCGCAGCGAGCAGGCGGTGGCCCAGCTCGAGGAGGAGAAGCAGCACTTGCTGTTCATGAGCCAGATCCGCAAGCTGGATGAGGACACATCCCCCAACGTGAGCCCCTGCCGCCGCCGCCCCACCCAAAGGGGGCGCCCGGGAGCAGGGAGGGGGCAGCAGGAGCAGTTGGGGGGGAGGGGCGGCCACTCGACGTGTCCTTCCCTGATGCTCTGTCCTGTCTCTTCCCCAGGAGGAGAAGGGAGATGTCCCCAAAGACTCTCTGGATGACCTGTTCCCCAACGAGGAGGAGCAGAGCCCAGGTGTGGACGGGTAGCTGGGGGGGGCGGCAGGAAGGGCGGAGTGTCTGCCCCTCCTTTCCTGTCTGTCTTCTGACCGGAACGTCCAGCACGTTAGCGCTTAACTTAAAGGCAGGTTTTACCAGTTGCCTCTGCCCTCCCCCGCCCCAGCTCTCAGAGGGGCGAGCACCGCTGTCCGTCTGGGTCAAGTCCCTCTGGGCCCGTGGTTGCTCTGAGCATGAGTAGAGTTCCCGCCCCACCCCCAGCCTCCGAGGGAGAAAGAGGATGCCACGGGCCGTGCTGAGCCTGCTCGTGGGCCGTGGGGGCCACCGGAGCCTCGTTGTGCAATGAGGAGGCTGAGGTTCAGAGGCTGGCGGACTGGCTGGGGGACACACAGCTGGAAATATTTCAGGGCGCCTACCCGCTCTTTCTGTGGGGCGACTCTACAGCTGGGGAAACTGAGGTGGAATAGTTAGTGACTGACTTGGGACCTCATGTCGGGCAGGTCACAGGCGTGGCTGGCAGGGTCAGCGAGCCCCAGGCATCATCGGCCCATCTGACCTCTTGCCCTTGGCCTTGCAGCCCCCAGCCCTGGAGGAGGGGATGTAGCTGCCCAGCATGGGGGCTACGAAATCCCAGCCCGGCTCCGCACCCTGCACAACCTGGTGATCCAGTACGCCTCGCAGGGCCGCTACGAGGTAGCCGTGCCCCTGTGCAAGCAGGCCCTGGAGGACCTGGAGAAGACATCGGGCCATGACCACCCCGACGTGGCCACCATGCTGAACATCCTGGCGCTGGTCTACCGGTGAGGGCTCCTCCGACCCCCGGCCCTGGGCTCCCGGAGGCTCCCGCCTTGGCCACACGCCCTCAGTGCCGCTGTGCCCGGGGCGCGGCTGCATCAGGGAGTGAGGCGGAGAGAAAGGAGCTTGTGCCCAGAGGGGTCTGGCCCACATGGTGCCAAAGCGGTGCCTGGGCAGTGTGGGCCGGGGCTGTGGACATGAAGCAGCCTCAGTCCAGTGTGGGCAGCACATGAGGACTCCAGGTCCCCTGGGAGGCGGCACAACTCAGGCGCCAAGGCTTAAGGAGGGCCCTGCGGGAGAGATGCGCTTGCCCAGAACACGAGAGGGTGGGAGACGAGCAGCGTGAGCAGAGGCACTGGGGACTGGAGAACAAGGAGCACCGGGCATGAGGCGGTGGGGTCTGCTTGTACCCCGCCTCTGCATGCCTTAGTGGTTGTGAACTGCCCAGAGTCCCCCCAGCTCCTGGCAGGCAGGAGCTGGGCACATCTCCCCAGGCTCTGGGTCACACTGTTGTGCCAGTATAGATAAGCACGGTCCCCATGGGACTCTTGGGCCCCTAAGGGCAGGGCCTGGGCTGGAGGACTACCTCACCATCCTCCTGCCCGCCTACAGGGACCAGAACAAGTACAAGGAGGCTGCCCACCTGCTCAACGATGCCCTGGCCATCCGCGAGAAGACGCTGGGCAAGGACCATCCTGCTGTGAGTGAGGGCAGGCGTAAGTGGGGCTGCCCCTGGGTTAGTACCCAAGTTCCTCAGTCCCTGCCATCAGGGTCCCTGATCCTGGAACCTCCATCCTCTCCTCCGTCACCCCCAGGTGGCTGCAACACTGAACAACCTGGCGGTTCTGTATGGCAAGCGGGGCAAGTACAAGGAGGCCGAGCCCCTGTGCAAGCGGGCATTGGAGATCCGGGAGAAGGTAAGGCCTGGCAGGTGTGGGCAGGACAGGTGGATTGGGCAGGCAGGGGCCTAAGCTGGCTCTGAGCCCAACCCCTGGCCCGGGATCCCATTCCAGGTCCTGGGCAAGTTTCATCCAGATGTGGCAAAGCAGCTGAGCAACCTGGCCCTGCTGTGCCAGAACCAGGGCAAAGCTGAGGAAGTGGAATACTACTACCGGCGGGCGCTGGAGATCTACGCCACCCGCCTCGGGCCTGACGACCCCAACGTGGCCAAGACCAAGAACAACCTGGTGCCGTGGGCGGGGAGGGGTTGGGGAGGGCCGAGGCAGGGCAGGGAGGAAAGGAAGAGGACCTGCTCACCCCTGGGCCCGCCCCTCCAGGCCTCCTGCTACCTGAAGCAGGGCAAGTACCAGGATGCAGAGATCCTGTACAAGGAGATCCTCACGCGCGCGCACGAGAAGGAGTTTGGCTCTGTGAACGGTGAGCAGTGGCCGCGGGTGCCCCGGCTCGCCCAGTGCGGGCCCCTCGCTCCCCCGCAGCTGGGGCAGATGCCTCCCCAGCAGCTTCTTGGAGCAGGGACCGGCAGGTAGCCCAGCCTCACCTTTGGGTGCACATGTGAACGCACACACCTACCTCACAGCCACCTGGCCCTTCCACACCCTTCGATGCACGCGCGGCTGTAGTCTCTTCCCCTTCTCCACCAGACAGCTGCTCCCCCGGAGGGCCTACTCCAGTATCTCCTCTGGGTGGTCGCTTCCGGCCCCGATGCCTGTCATTTCCGGCTGAGTGTCAGGTGTGGGTGTGAGTTGTGCAGGGGTCCCCCCTCTCTGTGCCGTGGTCACCTCGGTTCCAGAGGAGGGTCAGTAGTAATGTTTTCAAAGGTCTGTTTTTTGTTCATTCATTTCCTCAACAAAGCCTCCCCATGGTCCTCCGTGGTCCACCCTGGTGCCCCGGAGCCCTGCCCCAGACCCCAGGCCTGTGTGCAGGTCCCACCAGGAGGGCCGTATGGTTGGCTGGTGACAGCCTTGTTTCTCCCCCAGGGGACAACAAGCCCATCTGGATGCACGCAGAGGAACGGGAGGAGAGCAAGGTAGCTCGGTGGGGCGGGGGCGCTGTCGGGGACGTGTGGGCCGAGGGCCTTCTCCCACCTCCGCTGACCGTTCTTTCCCCCAGGATAAGCGCCGGGACAGCACCCCCTACGGGGAATATGGCAGCTGGTACAAGGCCTGTAAAGTAGATAGGTGAGGACTGTGGGGCCGCAGCCAGGCTCAGCGCCCCGTATCACTTAACCCCTGGCCCCCCCAAAGCTCATCCTTCAAGGACTGAGTCTCAGGCTGCCTGTCCCGAGGCAGCTTCCCGCCCTAGGGCAGCCTGATTGTCCCTCAGTAGCATCACCCCGCCTGGGCAGTGGACCAGATCCCCAGCCCGGGGCCGCTCCCCAGGACAGGAGAGTCCAGGCGGCCGAGCACAGCACTTGACCCGGAGGAGGGGCTGGACACAGGATGGGCCCTGGGTCCTGGGGAACGCTAGGTTGAAGCTGACGTCGTCCCATCCACAGCCCCACAGTCAACACCACCCTGCGCAGCTTGGGGGCCCTGTACCGGCGCCAGGGCAAGCTGGAGGCCGCGCACACGCTGGAGGACTGTGCCAGCCGCAGCCGCAAGCAGGTGGGGCAGGCAGTGGGGTGCACAGAGGTTTGTGTGCTGTCCGTGTCTGGACCTAGGCTCTGCCTCATACTCCTGCCCTCCCTCAGGGCCTGGACCCTGCCAGCCAGACCAAGGTGGTGGAATTGCTGAAAGATGGCAGTGCTGGGCGGGGAGACCGCCGTGGCAGCCGTGAGGGGGCCGGGCCACGATCTGAGTCTGACTTGGAGGAAACAGGGCCTGCCGCTGAGTGGAGTGGGGTGAGTTTGGGGGTTGAGGGGGAGCCAGGAGGCTTTCAGCCAGCAGGGCTTAAGAGAGAAACCTGCCTGCCCCACAGGATGGCAGCGGCTCCCTGCGGCGCAGTGGCTCCTTTGGGAAGCTCCGAGATGCTCTAAGGCGCAGCAGCGAGATGCTGGTGAAAAAGCTGCAGGGTGGTGGCCCCCAGGAGCCCCCTAATCCCAGGTAAGCCCCTACTCCCAGTGAACCCCAATCCTGGGTGAGCCTTTCAAGATTCATCCCAACCGCAGAGGAGTCCCTGGCCTCTGAGGTGAACTTCCTCATCTCTCAAGTACCACTACCCACCAGATGTGCTCCCGCCTCTCGGCCTCTCCCCAGCCCCCATGCTGGAACCCCCAGTTCCATCACGAGCAAATAAATCCCTGTCATCTTTCCCCTTAGGATGAAGCGGGCCAGTTCCCTCAACTTCCTCAACAAGAGTGTGGAAGAGCCAGCCCAGGTATGGGTGGGCGGGTCAGGGCCAGGCCTCAGACCCCAGGTCTGCATGGCCAGAGTCACCCCAACTTGTCCTCCAGCATGTCTTCATCTGGCAATAGTGCCTGTCTCTGTCCCAGGCCTGGCTTTGGGCTGAACACTGGGGAGACAAATGAAGACATGCGACTGGCTGGGTGGGAGTGTCAGCACCCAGTTGTGGGCCTGGGCTCTGGCTGGTCGGATCCCTCTGGGGCCAGGGAAGCACAGCCCTGCAGCAGCATGAGGCTGAGCCACCCACCCCCTCTGCCCACAGGCTGGAGGGACAGGCCTCTCTGACAGCCGCACCCTCAGCTCCAGCTCCATGGACCTCTCCCGACGAAGCTCCCTGGTGGGCTAATCCTGAAGGCGCCACCAGCGCCAGAGCCTCCTCCCGCCACTCTCCCTACCCCAGCCCTGCGCTTGGGCCTGCTGCTTGCCCGCCTGTCTCTCCCAAGAACCCGTCTTTTCTGTTCAATCTCAGGGTAACCTCCTCCCTTGTCATTTCTGCCTGAGCCCTGGAGGCTGGGCCTGCCTGTTCCAGCTCTGCCCCTTATTTATTCCTTCCAGCAGGGCCCCCTCTTCCCTAGGTTCAGGGCCATGGGAGAGGCTAGCCCTGGTCTCCAAGGTAGACACTCAGTAGCCCCCCTCGCCACCCCCGCCCCCACCCCGGGCCAGGAACACGAAGCCCCCGCGTCCTCCAGCACCCCTGCCCTCGGCCCATCGCTTCTGTATATAGAGAAATAAGTTATTGGCCGCGCCCTCCCCTCAGTTCAAGGTGTACCTGCCTCACCCCGCCCTTCTCCAGTGGTACCGCCCAGGCCTTAATCACCCCCATTTCGCGTGGTGGTATCTCCCAGGCACCACCTTTCCGGGCGGCGCCTCCCCCAAGGGTCCCTGGGTCTTCTCGCGTCCCTCCTGGCCTCCGAGGGGCACCCCGCCCCACCATCACCCCTCGGCGCCGGGCCTGTGCACTGCCCGCCCCCAGGCTCGGCCGGGCGCTGCGCCTCCCACGCCTGCTGCTTCGCGAGGGGCGGGGACGGCCGTGCCGGATGGGCCGCCCCACTTCTGGGGGAGGGGGTGTCAGGCGGTCGCTCTCTATTTTCAAATGTTGCTGTAGAAATAAAGACGGTTTGAATCTGAGCCAGGCGTGTTTGGGGCAGAGGCCGAGGGCTCGGCGTCTCCAGGCTGGGGCGGGGTCGGGAGGTCGGCGCGCGGGGTGCGCGGGAGCCCAGACACCCCGCCCCGTCCCGGGATGGTTAGGGGACCCCCCCGGGTTCAATTTTTTTACTAACAACTTCGACCTCTGAGATGGTAAGGCCGTGGGCTTGCGGTGAGCTCTGCCCCGACCAAGCGGCTTGACCTTGAGGGAGTTGTCGCTGCTTCATCTTTAAAACGTGGGTGATGACACCGTTCCGGGCTGTGACACGAGCACGCGAAGAGCCCTGCATAAATTGACTTTACTAATGCTCACAACTTCTGGAGGTGGGAGGGGAGGGGTGACGGCCTCTGTCAGACAGATGTGAAACGTGTCAACTTCAAATTGAGCTTCCAACGCCGGGACGCCTTCGCACCCGGGAACGCAGTCCTCACGCCCAGGTGCGTCTGGGCGGCGAACTACAAGCCCCACAAGGCAATGCGCGGCGATGAGGAGGAGGGTGTTGGCGAGGACGCGCAGGTCTCCGGTTACGCCTGCGCAGCGGGGACCACTCGGTCAGTGTAAGAAGACTACAAGTTCCAAGAAGCAATGCGTCCAGGCCCCAATGGGGAGTGTTTGCGCCTGCGCGTGGCGGGCGGGGCCTTTGGGGCGGAGCGGCCACCATCTTGGAACGGGAGGCGGAGCAGAGCCGACTGGGAGCGACCGAGCGGGCCGCCGCCGCCGCCATGAACCCCGAATAGTGAGTGAGCCCCGCCCGCGCCGTCCGGCGCAGCCTCGATCCAGAATACGGGGCTGTACGCTTACCGGGGTTGTCCGGCTTGGGTCAGGACAGCGCGGCGCCCCCACATCCGGGTCCCTCTTCCGCTGACCCCCTCCCCTCACATCCGGGTCCTGCTCCTCCCCTCCGGGCCCCCAGGACCCGGGCGCTACACCCCAAGTTCTTGCTCCGGTGGCCCAGTGACTGCGACCCCAAGGGGCACTACCAGGAGTCTGAGGCACCGACCCTACCAGCCCTCATCGGTCAGGTGACCCCGCAGCCCTGGTCCTCAGGCCTCAGTTTCCCCACCTGCTGCTCAGAGAGGCGGTCTGGATGCGGACGACTGCCCCGACGTTTTGGAGCCCGTCGCCACGTAGTTTGTGATCTCGGGCCCTTTAGATCGGACCGCAAACCCCACTGCCCTTCCCGTTCTCCCGGAATCTTCTTCCCGGGCTGACCCAGGGACTGGTCAGGCGCGGGAGGCCCCGACGCGCCGCTCTGGGTCGCTGCCCCGCGGATACCCCCTCCAGGATTGCCGCTCTGCCCCTTGCCCGGGTGGCCCGGCGGCTTGGCGGCGGCTCTCCTGCCGCCCTCTCCTCACCTCTGCGAGGCCCCCAGGGCTACCGTCGCACCCCTCCCCTCGCTGTCACCCTGCCGATGGAGTTTAGAGGAACGTGGCGTTTGCTTCTCCCCTTCCAGTGGGATTCTGCCTCTCATACTCGCTTCACTTCTTGGTCACTCCCCCAGCGAGTAGGTGGCCCCCACCTCGTGCACTGACAGTTTTCCCAAGTGCGGTTATTTTCTTCCTCTTCTGCCACTTCCTTTTTGTCCTCGGATCCAGGCTTCAGATTTCCTTGGGGAAAGGGCAGTTCTGAGCTGGAGCAGAAAGAGCAACAGAGTAGGCAACCAGTAGTCTCCCACAGAGACTTTGAATTGTGAACAATTTTTGCCAGTCTTAAAAGTTAACCATGACATATCTTAGGACAAGTCGCTTCCTTTCTCCTACCTCTAGTTTTCACATTAGCTGGAAATAAAAACACCCACTTTTTTGGACTGATGTGAGGCTTGGGCAAGATGTACTTAGCATAGAAGTACTTAGCATGGGGCCAGCACAGGCAGGAGCACCACCCATCCTAACTGCCCTTGTCACTGTCACTTGTTGAATGTGTTAATGGCTTCCCCCGAGGCTCTTTGTATAGATATTCACTGTTGGGGTGGCTTCGCCTCCCCTGTGAAGACAGGCATTCACAGGGGTGTGCAGTGAGGGTTCCTTTAGTAGCTCCTGTGGACCTGAATCTCAGGAATCAGGGTGTAAGATGTCCAGCTCTGGTCTCTAACTGGTTGTGGTCCTTGGCCAGTCACGTCCCCCTTTGGGCCTTGGTCTCTTTCTCTGTAAAGTGGGACTTCACACTCAGCCTTTCGGGCCAGCAGTGTCAGGGTGCTGGTCAACCTCCCGCTCCGGGGACTAGTGGGAGGATCCTGTGAGCGCCTTCAACACCCTAGGCCGAGGCCCACCTCACAATGCAGGGAAATGCTGCTACTGTGACTCCGGGGTGTCGGCACGTTGGGCTCCCTGCCTGCCTTCACGCCTTCCCCTCCTTTCTCTCTAGTGACTACCTGTTTAAGCTGCTTTTGATTGGTGACTCTGGTGTGGGCAAGTCATGCCTACTCCTGCGGTTTGCTGTGAGTAAGAAGCCCCCCTGTCATCCCTGGGCTGCTGACGGTGGGGGTGGGGCAGGAGGGAGAAGAGGCAAGCCATAAGAGAACGGTTGTAAAACCCAGGGGCCCACAGGTGAAGTGGCAGGACCTGCGAGCACCGCATCCGACTCAGCCAGGGGCACAGGGCTGGCAAGGTGGAGTGCCGAGGACTGGGGCGTGGTGGTTAGGAGAAGATTGGGGCGTGAGCCATGAGGGAGGTTTTCCCGGTGGGTCTCGGGCCTGTTCGCTCAGGCCATCCCTTGGGTTCCCGGTCATCCAGGACGACACGTATACAGAGAGCTACATCAGCACCATCGGGGTGGACTTCAAGATCCGAACCATTGAGCTGGATGGCAAAACCATCAAACTTCAGATCGTGAGTGCAGCTCCCCCCAGAGCCCCCGGTGTGCACACACCACCTCAGGAGGGCGGGCTGTGTCTTGGGCCCAGGGCTGACCTGCCCCTCTCCTGTCTGGTAGTGGGACACAGCTGGTCAGGAGCGGTTCCGGACCATCACTTCCAGCTACTACCGGGGGGCTCATGGCATCATCGTGGTGTACGACGTCACTGATCAGGTACTCCTGCGCCCCCTGTCCCCTCCGTGGCCTTTTCAACCCCAAGGCTTTGGCTCTTGTTTTTTCTCTTCCCACTCTCTCTTTCCCTTTTTTATTTCTGTGTGGAAGAACCAGAGTGCAGGCCAGAGGTGCGGGAGGTGAGAGGATTCACCAGAGACAGAGTGGGGAGCAGAACAGGCGGATCTACTGAAATCCACTGCTGAGGGGAGCAGCGGGCGAGTCAGGAGAGGTCTGCTGCACCATGTGGATGACCTCCCTGGCCAGGGATGGAACTCACGATGTAGAGGTGATAGCTTAACCCCTAGGCACCTGGGAGGCCCTACATTATCTCTCTGATGCTGCCTGGGATGGAGAACGTGTTCAGCTCATTAGAGGGGAGCAGCTACGGGGTGGGTCCTCCCAAGGCCCTGCTGCAGGGTCTTAGCAGAACCAGGTCTCATACCTCCCTGCCAGACTTGCCACCTTCTGAGAGACCCGCCGGGCCCTGGTGCTTGCAGGGGGTTAGTCAGCTGACTGGTTGCACTTCAGAGCACGTGGAGGCCTCACCAAGGCAGCCAGGGGCCTGAGGCCGCGTCAGGTGCCTGGTCTCTGTCGTTGGCAGTGGTGCTGCTGACCTCCATAGTTCCCCCCACCTTAGCATTTGCAGAACCTGTTTGCTGCCTGTGATGCTTATAGCACCCTAAAGAGGCCGCCTGTGTCCCTGGGTGACGGGTAGGGAAATGGGTCGGTGTGGTGAGCCGGCTCCTCAGGGCCGGGCGGTTAGTCAGCGGTGGGACAGAGATGGAATCTCTGCCTTGTGCCCAGCCTCGTAGCTGACAGGGGCCAGCCCCCAGGGTCCAGGATGCAGCCCCACCCTGAGGCCTTTTGGCTCCCCAGGGTTGGTGGTGGCCTCTGGGCAGCCAGCTGTGGGTGAACTGTGTGCCACTCGGACAGAGGTCACCTCCGCCTCTCGCTGCCAAATCCCTGACCTTATTTCAGTTTTCACCCCACCTGACTCCTCGGGGCTTTTAGCTCTGTTCTCTTCTCTCTCCTTGAAAAACTTCTTCTTTGCGGTGGCTCCCCATTCCCGCCGCGTCCTTCTCCTTCAGAGGCTTCTTACTGGCTTGCCCTGGCTGCCCCTCACACTCCCAGATATTGGGCTCCCCAACTCCAACCCCTGCCTCTCCCGGACTGCCCTGCGCCCTTCTGGCTGCTCCGTGATTTGACTTCTCCGGTGCTCTGACGGCCTCTCCAGGGCGTCGCGGTTCACCTCCGCCCGCCCGCCCTCCGGCGCTTCTTGTCTGGTGGACCTGATTTTCACGGTGTTGCCCGGTGAACTAAGTGTCGGCGCCCCTGTTTCCAGAGGAGGAGACACCCTTGGCCAGGCGTTAAGTAACTTGCGCCTGGCCTCACAGTCAGGAAAAGCAAAGCTGGCATCTGAACTTGGGGTTTTAGGCTCCCAGGCGCCCCCTCTCCTGCCCCTGGACAGCCTCTCCTGAGCTCGACCATCTGCAAAACAGCATCTCTTCCCAGACCAGCTTCCTCCCCGTCTTGGTAGCAGAGTTCCTGCGCCTGACCAGAAATGCTCCCCTCCTCCATCTAGTCAGCCCCAGGGCTCCTCTGCTTCCCCTCATCCCCCTCGTAGCCGTCCCCTCGTAATAATAGCAGTGATGAGGATAATAGCAGCTCCTGCTAATTAAGCACTTGTTATGAGACAGGCCGGCATTCGTTATCTCGGGCTCACAACAGCCCCTTCCGGAGGCACTGTTTTGTGCAGTGAGGAAACTGAGGCTGAGAGAGGTCAGGCGCTGAGTCTAGGCCCTCAGAGTGCGGCAGAGCCTGGGCCTGACCCCACCAGTGTGCCTCTGAGTCCTCAGCTCTTCGCTGGCTCAGGGCCCCTCCTCCCCGCCTTGCTCTGATACCTCCCCGTGGGTGTCCCTTCTGGCTGGTCTGATCTGGTCCCATCTCCTCCCGGACTGTCACCCCAGAACAAAGGCTTGCTCCTGCCGTTCCTTCCTGAGGAACCTGCTGGCCCCTGGTGGTCCGAGATGTAGCCAGGCTGACCCCTCCGTGCTCTGGCCTGCCTGCCCTCCACCCCTGCCCAGGGCCAGCATCCCAGCCACAGTTCTCTCCCCGCCCCCCAGGATATCATGCCCGGCACCCTTCCCATCTCTGACCTTGCTCCCCCGCACGATGGGTTCACACTTGTGGGCTGAGGCTGTTCTGCGGCCCCAGCAGCTCCTGCCTGCAGCCCACCTTGTCATGCCCACGGCATGGGCTGCCCTGGGCATGGTGTGCTCCTTTGTCCCCTGCTGTCTCGGCCCTTGTCCCCTGTGCCTCGCTCGGGGCCCAACCTGAGGCGTGGCTGGAGGTGCGAGTTTGAGCCAGTGTGATGTCGCGTTCCTAAGAAGGGAAAGTGGCTCTAGCTCGAGCCCTTTCCTGAAAGTTCTGTCCTTGGTCCATGTATGGGGTTGGGCACTGGCTGGACTGGGGAGCCTGACTGAATGTGGAGGCGGCTGATACCAGAAGCATGCCAAACATCGGGCTGTTTCAGGGCACCTGTCTCCCTCCTCGGCCCGGGTTCCCTGCGGGGGCACCGTCCACCTGCGACAGATTTTCAAGCTTAAAGGGATTTGAGCGCCACCGCAGGCGCTTGCGGCTCTCGCCAACCTGTTACTCTCTGCTTGTGTCTCTTCCTGGCTTGTCTTTCCTGATGCCAGGTGTCTGGTACCCACCTGAGTTGGGCTGGCCCGTTCCAGGTCTGGGAGCGCCGAGGAGCTGCAGGAAGCAAGGCTGGCGGGCCTTGAGGCAAACTGCCAGGACTCTGGGGGTCTCTAGATGGAGGAGGGCAGGGAGGAAGCCTGCTTAGGGGGGGCTTCCTCAGGGTCCTGAGCTCAAGGTGCCTGTCTCTCTCAGGACCAACCTCTTCACCCCAAAAAGCCCTGTTTTCCGGGCCTAGGGTGGGGTAGGAGTTGGGGAGCAAAGTAACTTTGGACCCTGGCCGCTCTAGGAATCCTACGCCAACGTGAAGCAGTGGCTGCAGGAGATAGACCGCTACGCCAGCGAGAACGTCAATAAGCTCCTGGTGGGCAACAAGAGCGACCTCACCACTAAGAAGGTGGTGGACAACACCACAGCCAAGGTGAGTGGGGCCCGGGCCGCCGCCCGCAGAGGCTGGGGCCCCCACCCGCCCCTCACGCTTGCCCCTTCCACGCCCCTTCTCTCGCCCTGCAGGAGTTTGCAGACTCCCTGGGCATCCCCTTCCTGGAGACGAGTGCCAAGAACGCGACCAACGTGGAGCAGGCGTTCATGACCATGGCTGCTGAGATCAAAAAGCGGATGGGGCCTGGGGCCGCCTCGGGGGGTGAGCGGCCCAACCTCAAGATTGACAGCACCCCGGTGAAGCCGGCTGGTGGGGGCTGTTGCTAGGAGGGGCGTGTGGGCTGGGACAGGATGGGGCACCTTCTCCAGATGATGCCCCTGGAGGGGGCAGGAGGTGCCTCCCTTTCCTGGGGCATTTGAGTCTGTGGCTTTGGGGTGTCCTGAGCTCCCCATCTCCCTCTGGCCCATCTGCCTGCCGCCCTGAGCCCCAGTTCTGTCAGGGCCCCTTAGGGAGGGGACCTAGGGCTGGGCTGGGGGCGGGGGCTTGCTCTGCTGCTGCCTCTGGGTAACGTTAAGAGATACCCTAGCACACACCTTTCTTTGGGACGAGGGCTCCTCCGTCTGTCTCCCTCCCCTGCCTCCCACGTATGCTGCAGCGGGTTTCTCTCCTTACCCTTTTTCCTTTCCTCCAAACCTCCCCTGAGAGCTGAGGGCCCCCCCCCCCCCGGCCTCTGCTGCCGCTGACTGCTGTCTGTGCCAGGGCCAGGAATGGGGCTGGGGATCCAGGACCTGGGATGCGGTGCCCGGGCCTCAGGACGGCCATGGGGGCCGCAGGGGCCCGGCAGCCCTCCTCGGCTCTCTGGCGTGCCTCCTCCCTCCCACACCTGTCACAGCTCAGCCGTCCAGCGTGGTGAGGCCTGAGCACATCCGGGGCAGGTGGGCGGGCAGCCGCACTGGGCTAGTGTTTTGAGCCCAGAGGGAGCCTGCTCCTGCCGCCCCCTGCCCTGCCAGAGCCAGGCCCATGTGCTGCCTGCCCACCGTGCCCCTTTGTCCCCGAGGCAGGCGGAGGCGGAAGGCCCACCCGGCACCAGCCTTAACCCTCAGCCTGCCAGCACCTCCTCCCTTTCCCAGGCGGCAAGTCTGGCTTCTCCTTACGGCCCTTGGAGCCCATGGGGGTGGATCCTTGCCCCCGTGGCTACTTCTGTGGGGAATGCGGGCACAGCCCAGGGCTGGGGGCCGCGCCACTCCCGCCCTCCCACCCGGGACTTCCGGCAAGGCTGCTTCCTGCGGGAAACCAAACCTTAGGGCTCCACCCCAGAACCCTTGTGCTGTCTCTGGCCTGCCCCACCTGTGCCCTGCCCTCCAGCTTGTATTTAAGTCCCTGGGGTGCCCCCACTCCCAGGTTCCCCTCTGGTGTCATGTCAGGCATTTTGCAAGGAAAAGCCACTTGGGGAAAGACGGAAAGGACAAAAACAAAACCAATAAATTTCCACTGGCCCTCCGGTGAGCCGAGGGTTTTTGCAAGGAAGTTGAGCGGCTGAGTGTGGTCTGTGGGCCGAGCCCCCGGGGGTGGGGCCGTGGCGCTGCAGCCCCGGGCGCGGTGGCATGCGCGGGGCCTGCGCGGGCTCCTTGCCCCGGGATGGCTGTCGAAAGCCCTTGACCCACTTCCTGAAGCCCGGCGAGCTGCCGGCTCCGCTCCGCGCTGGTCCGCCCCCGGGCCCAGTGCGGCTCCGGCCGGGACGGCGCCGGCGGCCTTCGGCGTGAACCTGCGAGCCGCGCCAGCGCCCGCTCCCGCTCGGCGCAACCAGGATGTGGCCTTGGGCGGCCGCCAGGGCCCGAGCCGCGGGCCGCAGACGCCGGCCTCGCCCCTCCCCGCTCCGCTCTGGGGCGCGCACAGGTGCGTGCGGCCCTCGGGACCTCGGCCGGGCTCCGGGCCGTGGGTGGGGCGCGGCGCGAGCGGCCGGGGGGCGTGCGCCCACGAGCGGGCCGAGCGTGGCGGGGGGGGCTCCGGGGCGGCGGCCGGGAGGGGGCGGCCCCGCGGGAGCGCCCGCGCCTCCGGGGCCCCGAGGCTGGGTGGGGGTGGCGCCGGGCGGCCCGGCGGAGGGGCGCGCGGAGACCCAGCCCCGCCCGAGGCCGCTCGCGCGCGGCCCCGCCCCCGGCTCCGCCCCGCCGGCTTCGCGGGCTGGAGAGCGAGGGAGCCGCGGGCGAGGGAGCGCAGGATGAGCGATCGGGGCCCGGGCAGCCGGCAGCGGACGCGCCCCCGAGCCCCCCGAGCCGCGCCCCGCGCCCCCGCGGCCCCGCGGCCCCGGCCCCGGCCGCGCCGCCCGCGTCCCCCCAGCCGGCGCCCGAGCCCCGCGGGCCATGCCCGGCCGGCCCTGAGCGCGGGCCGGGGGGCGTCCCCTTGCGCCCGGGCCCCGCGCTGGCGCCCCCCGGGCCGCCGCCCGGCGCGGGGGCCATGGCGTTCACCTTCGCCGCGTTCTGCTACATGCTCACCCTGGTGCTGTGCGCCTCCCTCATCTTCTTTGTCATCTGGCACGTAAGGCCGGGCTGGGGCTGGGGGCGGGGTGGGGGCAGGGGGCGCGCGGGGCGGGAGGGCCCGGGCGGATGGCCTCGGGCCCGGGGAAACTTGGAGCCTCCTCGCCGCTCTCCGCCCCCGGCCGGCGAACCTTCGCCCCCAGCACCCCCCATCGCGGCTGCCGCGCCGGGCGCCCCCTTCCTCCGCCGCCCCCGCCTGTCTGTGGGCATGTCAGCCGCCCCTGACCCCCTCCCCTGCCCCGGGCGGCCTGGGTGTGGGGCGGGACGCCGGGTGCTTGCGCCAACCCCCCAACCTCCTCCATCCAGTCGCCCCCGTTTGTCCATCGGGCAGTTTGTCTGTCTGCTCGCCCCTCCACCCTTTGTGGGTTTTTCCAGCTGGAGTGATGGAGCCGGTTGCTATGGCAACTGCATCTGTTTACAGGACCCACAGATCGCAGAGCCCATTAACCCTTTCCCTCCCCAACCCCCGCCCTGACCCAGCAACTGGCTCTAAGCAGCCCCGGAGACCTGACCCCTCCCCCAGCTCGCCGTGGGCTCCCCGCTCCAGCAGCTTCCTCCCCACTTTCCAGCTTCCCTCCTCTTCCTGCCCCCACTTTCTCCTTGGCCTTTTCCCCCTGGCCTGGCCTCCCGCCCTCAGAATGTCCCTTTCTCGCTCCTTATCCCGACAACCTCACACAGAGGGTCCCGCGCCCTCATCCTCTTTCTGGGGCCCTCTCCTCGGCGGCCCCTTTGCTGGGCCCTTCCTCTCCCTGGGAGCTGCCCTTCAGCCTCCAGCTCCTGTTTGGAGCCCTTGGCCCCCCTGTGCCCCCTGAGCTAGCTGTGCCAGCCCCTGCACCAACCTGACCTTCGTCCCTTTGGGGGGGGCGTTACCCTTCCAGTCTCTCCCCTGCACCCCCCTCACTTCCTCCCGTTGCCTCACCTGCTCAGTCCTGGCCTCCCCACTTCCTCTCCCTTCTTTTCCTGGGACCTGCTGCCTGCTCCTCCCTGGCCCTTGACCAGTCACCCCCTTATCCCCTGCAGCCCCCTCACTGCCTGTCTCTTTTACCTCAGGATTCTTAGAGAGCCCCACAGGCACCTTCAAACCCGTTCCCCCTCTCCAGCCCTCACCCCGGCTTTGCCCTCTCTCTGTGGGTCTCAGCGCCTTTTTCTTCTGTTTCTCTTGCCCTCCCTCCATAGCCCCTGGGTCCATCTTGGTCTCTGAGTCTCCCATCTCATCCCTAGACCTAGGACTGTCCTGTGGGGACAGGGCTGGGATTCAGGAAACCCCTTTCTAACCCCTCTGTGCACCCAGGGCCTCCTACTACCCCTGGGGCACCCGTATCCTGATTCCTGAGGACCAGGGTCTAGGCAGCTTTTGGAGTCAAGGTGAAGACTTGGGCTTGACCCCTGCGTGGCTGCTCGGTGGGAGAAAGGGCCCATGTTTTCTCAACACGTATTTGTTGAGCACCTACTATGTGTCAGGCGCAGTGTGTGCTCAGCTATTGAGTGGGCTGATCTCAGCAGTCCCTTGTCAGGAGTCTGTCAGTAAAGTGAGCTGGTCGTGGGTACATCAGTCAGATGCCCAGAGCCGGGCCTGCCAGGGAGGGTGGGGGGCGGGGATAGAGGAGGTGTGGTCCTCCACCCAAAGCTGGTGAGAATTAGAACCTTCCAGGACAGGACCCCCGGCCCTGAGCCCAGGGCCCCACTGGTCGCTAAGCAACCCTGGTGGTGAGTGACGTGTGTCAGCTGTCACCGTGGGGGATTGTTTGTTCCAGGGGGCTGAGTCAGCGCCAGGCAGCCTGGGGGGTGGGAGGCGCGACACCCGCCGCCTGCTGGTGGTGCCAGCTCTGGGGCAGACAGAAGGCACCCTTCCGCTCCCTGCTGGACCCTGTTGCTGTGCCTGGCAAGCAAGGGGCTGCCCAGAGTCAATGGGGAGTGGGGGGACTGCTCCAGATGGCCCCAGCTCCCTCCAGGAAGCCCATGTTCTCTCCCTCGGAGCCGTCTGGGGTCTGGGAGGTTGGGGGCGGTGGGCTCATGGCCTCATTCTGGCACTGGTGCTGAGGCGAGGGGACCCCAGCAGGCTTCTCTGCCAGCCGTCCTCCCCTGTCCTCCCTCCTCCCCCCCCCCCAGGTTGTTCCCATCACGCCCTCAAACACCTGCTCCCCTTGAGAGTTCCCCATCCCGGTGAGGACACTGCCATGCACCGATACCCCCAGCCGGAAGGCACACGGGCCCCTCTGCCTCCCTTGCACTGCCGCTCAAGCCCTCTGGAATCTGGCTCCTAAGCTGTTCTGGAACCATCCACACCTCTCCACCCCACTGCCGCTGGCCTTGTTCTGACCACCTTCCATGCCTCAACCCTTCCCCGCACATTCCCACAGTCCTGCCACTGGCCCGGCCCAAGTGCGACCAAGTGGCTGGCCCGGACCGCCTCCGAATCCCCGCTCGCCACGAGCTGTGTGCCCCGGACAAGTCACTGCACCTCCTCTTCCTCATCTGTAAAACGGAAATGGGATACCAGCCCCCGCGTCGTCAGGTTCTCACAAGCATTAAGCGAGTTAGTAAACATAGAGACTGAGCAGCGTGTATGATTTGGCCGGGACCCGGAGCCCGTTTTACCGCTCTGCCCGTAAGCAGCCTGACCACCCCACTCTGCTGCCCTGTCCCGCTCCGTGGCTGAGCACACACCTGCTGTCCCGCCCGGCCGCCCTCCGAGCCGGTCCTGCACTGCCCCTGCTTCCGTCCCACGTGCTCACACTTGAGCTCTGGCCCCGGGGAAGCTGCGGCTTCCTGAATGTTCCCTATTCTTCCAGCCCTCTGCCTTTGTACCTGCTGTTCCCGCTGCTCAGACTGTCCTGCCCGCCCCCATTTGTTACTAGACAGACACCCACTCAGAGCCCAGCCTGAACCCAGCACCCCCTCCACGCTGGGTCCCGTCCTCTGGCCTGATGGCCTGGAATGCGGTTCACAGTTCTCCCCAGCCGGGGCGGTGTCCCCGGGCAGGGCCCAGGGCAGGGGCGCTCAGGTGTTCTGGGTGGAGACCGGCGGAGGGGCCCATCCCCGACTGTGGGGTGACCCGGGGCCGGCCTTGCTGCTCCTGTGCCTCGGTCTCCATCTTTGCAGCAAGCTCCCCGAGTGTGAATTCCTAGCCCGCAGCAGGACAGGTGGGGGGGCCAGAAGTTGCTGCCCAACCCTGACGGGCGCGCGCCCCTCCCCCAGATCATAGCCTTTGACGAGCTGCGGACCGACTTCAAGAACCCCATCGACCAGGGGAACCCAGCGCGGGCAGTAAGTGATACATGTGCTGTGCCGAGGTGTGTCCGTCCGTCTGTCTTTCCATCTGTCGCGGGCCGGGGTGGGGATGGGGCCGGGGACGGGAAGGCCGGGGGTGGCAGGCGGCGGCGGCCGTGCCCTTCCGCCGCCTGCCCCGCCCCCCGCGAACACCTGGCGCGGGCTCCGGGCTCGGGTTGCTCCTGGCGGGGCGGCCGTTGCCAGGTTTTGGGCCGTTGCCGTGGAGACGCGGGTGAAGGTCCCTCCATGGTGACGGTCGCCATGGGGATGGCGCGGCTGCGTCCCCGCCGCGCTACCGCAGAGGCTGCTCTGGCGCCCCCTGGTGGCCACGTGCGGAGGGGGCGGGGGGCCCCCAATGTCCACTGCTCTGCTCCCCCCGCCCCAGTCGCGGCCTTTTTCTCCCCCTACAGCGCGAGCGTTTAAAAAACATCGAACGCATCTGCTGCCTCCTGAGGAAGGTCAGTGTCAGCGCCGGGGGGCCCCGCGGTGGCCCGGCCCCCGCGCCCCGGGGGCTCCCGCCGGCGGCCCCGCGGTGACGCCCCCCTCCCGCAGCTGGTGGTCCCGGAGTACTCCATCCACGGGCTCTTCTGCCTGATGTTCCTGTGCGCGGCGGAGTGGGTGACCCTGGGCCTCAACATCCCCCTCCTGTTCTACCACCTCTGGAGGTGAGAGCGAGGCTCGCGCGGGGCGCGGGGCGCGGGGCGCCCGGCAGGAGCCTTGACGGCGAGGGTCTCGGCCCAGGTACTTCCACCGCCCCGCGGATGGCTCCGAGGTCATGTACGACGCGGTCTCCATCATGAACGCCGACATCCTCAACTACTGCCAGAAGGAGTCCTGGTGCAAACTCGCCTTCTACCTGCTCTCCTTCTTCTATTACCTGTACAGGTGAGGCCGGCGCGGCCCGCAGGCCAGGGGGGAGGCCCCCGCGGCCAGCCTCAGCCCAGGCGCGGTCTGTTCCGAGTCCCTGCGCGGTGCCCGGAGGCCTGAGGGCCCCCCACCCCGGGTGAGGGGCGGCGACTTGCAGCGGGGCCTGCCGGGGCCTGGGCTCACTGCCGCGTCTCCCCGCAGTATGGTTTATACGTTGGTGAGTTTCTAAGGGGGAAGCCGGCCAGGGAGCGAGCCCAGAACGGACCGGACGCCTGTGCACCCCCAGCCCCGCCCCTCGGCCGCAGAGGCCTCAGCCCTGGGGAGGGAGGGGCACTGGTGCCCCCAGCCTCCTCTCCACCCCCCAAACTGCTGCTGCGGGGACCTCCCGCCTTCAGAGCCCCCCTCCCCTTGGACTAGGGTCGGGCAGAGCTCTAAATAGGGGCAGGGGCTCCTCTGCCAGCCTGCGGGCATGGCAGCCAGGCCTGGGAAGGGCGGGACCTCTGGCCTTGTCCACTTCAGGGGTAACTTGGGCCCTGCCAAGGGGCAGGGCTTGCCCCTGGAGGTTCTGGGCCGCCCCCCTCCACCCCCACCCTGAGGCTCCCCCTGCAGGTGGGGGGGTACCCACACCGGGAATGAGCAGGCTCAGCAGGGGGCAGCCCCACCCCTACTCTGCCCTCTCCCCCCCCCCCCAGGCTCTCTCTCCAGAACCCTCCCTATTTCCACTTGCCCAGCCCCCCGCCCTGTCTCTTGGACCTATTTTCTATGTTGCCTGGAGGAGTCCGGCACCCCCTCCCCGGCCATTTGTGACAAAATATGAATAAACTACTGCGAACACGTGGGCCCCGCCTCTGCTCCTGAGACTCGAACAGGAAGTAGGGGCAAGGGGACCCCTAGAGGGTGGCCCTGAGCTAAATCCCCTGCCTGGTGAGTTCCCCCACTCTCCACAGACCCCTCTGAGGACTCCCCCCACCCCCGATGGACCAGAGGCCTTCAAGGCCTCCTTGGCCGCTGCCCCTTTCGTCCTCGTGTACCCAGCCGTACGAGCAGCTGTTCCCGGTGAAACCCTTCCCAGAAAGCCCTCGGGTCCCCCTCCTAGACAGCCCAAGCCTAGCCCCCCAAGCAAGGCCCAGGCCCAGGCCCAGAGGTGTCAGCGGCTGTCCCGCAGGCCCCAGAGACGAGGGTCAAACAAAATCAAGGCAACCAGATCTTCAATGTAAGGAGGGCAGTGCCCGCGAGGCTGGGGGTCACCGCACGAGGTGGAAGGTCAGCCAGTAGATGATGAGGGGCTGGAAGGCTGCGGCCCCCAGAGTCATGTAGAGCTGGAGACGCTGCCGGGGGGCCGGGTCCCCCATGCCGCCGGGCCCCAGGGCTGCTGTTCGCAAAGAGCGCACCTGGAAGAGAGGGGCGCTGAAGCCGGGTGGGAGGGGTGGCTGGGCCCCGGCGCCCCAGCTCGGCCCCGGGGAGAAGGGGGGAGGGGAGCCCCAGACTCACGATGAAGTACATGAGCGCGGACGACGTCCAGGCCAGTGCCACGTAGTAGCCGTCGCTGCCGAAGAGCAGCCCCGTGAGCACGCTGAGGATCATTCTAAGGGGGGTGCGGTGAGGCTGGAGACCCTCCCACTGGCCAGTGAGTGGCTCCACCCACCAGGGCTCCCAGCCCCTCCCAGACCCCACCCGCCACCACCCAGTCTTGCCGGCCACCTGCTCCCAGAGACCTAGACTCAAAGGAACCTGCCAGGTGCGGGCCCCGGCCCTGTGGCCTAGAGCTGAGACCCCAGGGCTGCACAACTCAGCTCTCCTGCCCCACGCTCCCAGGGGACGCCCCATTCACTCCTAACGGACACTACACAGGCCCGCAGGGTCCCCGAATAGAGAAGAACTAGAGGCTGAGAGGGGACGGAGGGGTCCAGGGTCAGGCCAGGAGCCCAGGGCCCGCCTCCCGCCCAGCCCACAGCTGCTCACCCCACATATTTGTAGCCGCTGTAGGCCAGCAGGTGGAAGGTGCTCAGGTCACTGCGCACGGTGGCCAGGTAGACGCCCAGGAGCAGCGCCAGCACCTCCATCACAACCCACACCAGTGCCGTGCTGGCGCACAGACCCAGCACCTCTGGGGAGAACCTGTGGCCAGATGGGGGAGTTCACAGCCTGCCGTCTTGTGGCAGGGATGGGCTTGGGGCTGGCACAGATCCCCTGGGGAGGTGAGGGCAGGAGCCAGAGGGGGGGCCGGGGGGGATGAGGGTGGGGGGAACACTGACCTTTTCTGAATGCCCAATGCCATCCCAGCCAGCAGCACGTAGGTGATAAAGGCCATTGCTGCCAAGAGCCAGAGAGAAGCCGTTGGCCTGGCTGCCTGAGCAGTGACCCCTCCTCCCTCCCGCCGCGGGCGTTCAAAGCCACGGACGCCCCCACCCTTCCTTCCCTGCAGAGCCCAACATGCTGGGCCCCTACGCGCAGCTTGGGGTGTCTGCCCCACTCGGCCCTCTCGCCTGTGTAAATGCCCCCCGATCTGGGCCACCTCCTCACTATCCCAGTGCCAGGAAACTCCCGCGGTCCCTGCCAAGGCCGCTGCTCATCCTCCTCGGGCAGGCGGGGGCCAAACTGACCTCAGGCAAGACTACAGGGCCCAGATGCGGGCTTAGTGGGCACCCCAGGAGGCCCCCGGTCCTGGGTCCCCAGGATGACCCCACCTCAGCCAGAAACCGTCCGGCCACCGGCACTGCCCGTGGCTCTGGCCTCCCTGCCTGTTCCAGAAGCCCCGGTCTAACGCGCTGTTCTCATGAAAGCTCAGCCACGAGAACTGGCTCTCACAGCGATTCCAGCGCTTCAGTCTTGTCCTCTGCCCCCTGAAGCACACGGCAGGGCCGAGGAGCCCACCAGAGCGCAGTGTCTGGGAGGCAGGGACCAGCTCTGTGCCCTGAAGCCGCGTGGCTAAGAAGACTCTGAGGCCTGCTGGCAACATGGCAGAAGGGATGGCAGGACACGGGTGGCTCAGAGACGTGAATGGGGTAGAGGATGGAGGGCCGGTGAAGCCCGCAGAGCTGCTGGCTGGGCAGAGGCGCTGGGCTCCAGTTAGACCCTTAGGCTGTGGCCCGGACGCCCAGGGCGATGGAGCTGGCGGCCTGGCCGCCCTCCTGGCAGAGAGGACAGAGAGGAGTCGGAGTTGGGGCCTGCAGCCACAGCACAGTATCTGTGTTTTGGGGGGGGGTGGTCCCGACCTGCGCTCTGTGGACAAGCAGTGGGAGAACCCAGAAGGGAGCGACCACTTGCTCAGAGATGCTGGGGCAGGCCGGGGAGGACGAGAGCGCCGACGCTGACAGCTGATGGTCACTGTGTGCTCCTTGAGTGCCCGGCCTGTGCCCGCACCGCAACCTCCCGAGTCCCAGCCGCTCTCAGGGGTGGGGCTTAGCAGAGAGTGAAAGTGGGCAGCCTGAGGTCCTACGGCCGGAAGTTACAGAGCCCAGGGCTATGGTCACGTCAAGGACGGACACGGTCATGTCAAGAGGCAGGACAGCCTCAAAAGGACTCAGTACCCTGAGGGCACAGATGACACATCCAGGGACTCCTCACTGGTCACCCAAATCCGTCTCCTTGGTGTCCAGTGATCACCACACGCCAAAAGCACATGAGCAGGTCCTGAGTTAACCCACAAGCCTCTCTCCTCACTGGCGCCTCAAGGCACAAGTCCCCCCTGTCCCCTAGCCCAGGTCAAAGACTCACTGGGGATATAGAGGTCCGGGGCGTTGAGGTCTTGCCGTGGGGGCAGAGGCACGTCACGACTGTACTGTACCTCCCAGTTCTGGCAGTGGCGGCAGGGGCCGGTCAGGAGGGAAAGACAAGAGAAAAAAGAGGGTTGAAGTCTGGGGGCCAGCCTTGGAGGCAGGACAAGGAAGGCAAGGGGGCCCGCCAGTTCACCTGGTGGGCGGCTCACCTGGTGTGTATAGGGGAAGACCAGCAGCCCTAACTTCTTTGCCACATAGGCTGTGTCCACAGCGAAAAAATACTTGAGTTTGTTGACAGACACAAAACGGTGCAGCTGGGAGGGGAGAGAGAAGGGTGGGCAGACTGCACCCCGAACCTCAGAGTGCTCCTCTGCGTGCTCCCCACCAGAAGGCTGCAGTAAGGGCTAGATGGGATCCCCTGAGCCCCAGCCCTGGTCAGAGGTCCTGCCACCCTCACCCTGGGGAGGGGCCACACCTCCTTGTGCACCATGTCCTTCCCTTGGGATGCAATGGAGCTGCCATAGGCTAGGGCCACGTTGGCCATGGGGTCACCAAGGAAGTGGTTGACGTTGAAGGCCACCTCGGCTCCGGGGGCCGGGTATCCCCCTGGCTGGCTGGAGTAACCACCGCTTGTGTCATCGAAGAGGGGCGGGGGCTCGGCAGCCGCCCGGGCCCTGTGCTTGGAGCCTGTGGGTTTGCAGGCGCCAGAATAAGGAATAAGGAAGACCAAGCATGAGTCCCAAGCACAGCCCCTTCCCCAGGCTGGGCGGCCTAGGTCCTGGGCATCAGGAAACCCTGGCTGACCCCAGGAAGAGCTGATGAGGGGTCCTGAGTGAGAGGAGCAAAACGCAGGGCAGGAAGAGCTGCGGTGGTGCCGGCGGCGCGCCCGGGCGCCTGGAAGCCCGCTCGCGGGACGAGGGCTCAGGGAACGAGACTGAGTAGAAGGTCGGAGATGGAGAGACTCCTGGGGGCACCTCCCCCCATAAACAAGCGAGGACAAGGCGGCGGCCGGGTGCGCGCAGACCCTGGGCCCTTCCGCGGTCGCCACGGGACAAGGGCGTTCCGGAGGCAGCCCCCGCCGTGCCGGGGCCGGGCCTGGGGACCCAGCTGCGCCGGAGCCGCCCCGTCTCGGGATCGGGACGAGAGGGCGAAGTCCGGGCCGCGGCGCCGCGGCGCCCGGGGCAGAACCCGACTGGCACCCGCCGCCCTGGGCAGCGCCCCGGGCCTCCTCCTGCCGGCCCGCGCCCGCGCCCCACGCACCGTGGGCTCCGTAGCCCGAGTGATACGCCATGGCCGCCACGCTGCTGTCCCCGAGGGCCCGCCGCGCCGCCGCGGGCGCGAGCACTAGTCAGACGGCGGCTCCGAGCGCCGAGCGCCGACCGCGGATCCCGAGCGGCCCGACACGTCCCCCGGCCGTGCCCCCGCCGCCGCCATGCCCGCCGCGTCACCCCCGCCGCCCGCCATTGGCTGCGCGGCCGCGCCGACTCGCCCCTCCCCGCTCCCGATTGGATCCCGGGGCCCGGCCGCCAAAGCGGATTGGGCACCGGGCAACTTCCGGGCGGCGCAGCTCGGGGCGCGCTCGGATTGGGTCCTGGGTTCGCGAGCTCGCCGCGGGACAGCCAATGGACGGGCTAGGGCAGACGGGGCGGAGCGTTGCTTCCGCGCCTGCGCAGTAGCGCGCCTGACGCTCGCCCTGCCACGACTGCACCGGGAGGAAACCCGCGGGGGCCGGCGCCGCCGGGTCCCGGACGCAGCTGCCTCGCCGGGGGCACGCCGGAGGGGGGGAGCGGCGCCCCGGCCCCGCCCCTCTCTCCCAATGCTCGTTTTCCTCCCCCGACCCCGCGCCCCGCCGAGTCCTGGCGCCGAGCCGGTGCAGCCTGGGGGGTGTCGGGAGGGGGCCGGGCCGGGCAGGGCCCGGGAGCCCCGGGTCGCTGACTCCTCCTCCAGCCTCCCGCCCGCCTTTCCAGCCGTCGCAGCCGCGCGGTGCTGTCCTGAGGCCTAGTGCTGAAATGCCCTGCCGCCCTCCTGCAGGACCCCGGGGCTGCTGCCCGGAGGCCCGGTTCCCCGCGCACCCGCGCGCTGCACGCACTGCACAGCTCAGGCCCAGACGGTTTAGAGTTCCACAGGCCGGATGATACAGTGGGGGCAGGACCCTGCACCGGGCCTGTCCGTGGACGCTCCCCCGCCCAGCCGATTTGCGCCGATGGCCTCCTGAAGAGGCCTTGAAACGCCTGAGTCATGGCCCACCCTGAGGTGCTCTCCCGGTGAAGCCCCCACGCCTCACTCGTCGTCCCAGGGTCTCCTTTGCACCCACCCAGTTGTGACCACGCGCGAGAGTCGTCTGAGCCGCCCTTCTCGCAGACCTTCGCGTTGCTTCCTAGAGAGGAGGCCTGGGCCTCTGCGACCTGTCTCTAAGCAGCCACCCAGTGTCCGGTTGCACCAGGTGACCTTCCTGCTCTGCAAGCTGAACTCCCGTGGTCCAATTGCTGTGCCTTTGCCCAGAAGTCCCCTCCACCTGAGATGCCCTCTCCGAGATGCCCTCTCCCCTGATGTCCACTTGCCGAAACCTTTAAGTCAGTTCAGCTTATGCCTCTCCGAGAGACAAAGGGAACAGAGGCCTGGCCCGGTTTGGGGTGGAGACTGGAAGTGGGGTTCCAGGCTCCCTCAGGGTACACCGGTTTACCCTGGATGTAACTGCCATGAGGACAGGCCTGGTACCATTCTCCACGCCTACCCTTGACTTCACCGTGCGAAGCACAGTGCTCTGGATAGAAAACACCCGATAAACATCGGTGCCCAATGCATAAAGAATAAATGGGTGGAGCCACAGAACAGTTCCTTCCTCTGTCATTTCAGTTACTTCATCTTAAATGGGTGGGGGGTGTTGAGCCAAATGGACTTGGAGTTGCCCTTCCCCCCCCCCCAATCACACACAAAAACCCACCCACCCTATAGCTCCCTGTGTCCCACCCGCTGATTGTGTAGCTTGGGGGCAAGGCCCAGACCCAGGGGCAGGTGCCCTCGACTGCCAAGGAGCAGCCCCAGGACGAGAGGAGCCGGGACCCCAGGGGCCCCCTCCCAGGCCCGGCCCACCCCCCTCCCGCACAGGGAATGCTTGTGTATCGCCCAACACCTTCCATTCCCATTTCCCAGATGGGCAAACAAGTTGGGGGGAAGCGCTCCCCCGAGGTCAGGTGCCCGGGCGTCCGCCTTGGCCTACGGGTCTAACTGGCGCCCAGCGCCTCTGCCCAGCCAGCAGCTGCGGGGGCGTCACCGGCGCTCCCTCCGCAGGAGACGCGTCCAGATGGGTCTGGGCCTCCCCTCCGCGAGGGGCCCGCGGGGTCGGCCCTCTGGGTTCTCCCTCCTCTCTGCCGCGGGGGACAGTCGCGCCCTGCAGGGCAAGGACTCGCCCAAGGTCGCGAGCGCGGCGCGGGGGCCCAGCGCCGCCCCCAGCCCGGCCCGGGGGGAGCGCCCGCCGTGCCAGGCGCTGCCGGCGGCGCCGCCGGTGCCGCGGGGCGGGGTCAGCGGAGGGCGGGGCGCGGGGCCCCGCGGCCGCCGACGCCGGCGCCGCGCTCGGGCGGGAGCTCCGCGCACTCCCTCCGCGGCCGCCGAGCCGAGCGGACGCCCTCCCGGCCGCGCCGCAGCCGCGCGCTGCCCCTATCATGCCCGGAGCCCGGGCCGGGGCCGGCGCAGCAGCCAGGACACCATGCCTGCGGGCGGCGGCGGCGCGGAGGGGCCCGCGCGCGCCCCGGACGGCGAGCCGGCGCGGGAGGAGGTACGGGCGCCGCGGGGGCCGGGCGGGCGGGCGGGGGCGGCGGAGGGGGTCCCGGAGTCGGGGCGCCCGCGGGCAGTGACGTCAGGGGCAGCCGGCGTCCAGCGCGGGGCCCCGGCCCCCGGCCGGCGTGGGGGCGCGGGCGGGCGGCGGGGAAGGGCTGTGGGCGGCGAGGCCCGCCCGGGCGCCCCCTCCTCCAGCCTCGCCCTCCTGTGACGTCAGCGCGCGGCCCCCGCGGCCCCGCCGCGCCGCCCCCCCCCCCCCCCCCCCGGGCCGCGGGGTCAGCCCCCCGCCCGGCCGCGGCTCCCTAGGTGGCCGGGCGGCGCCTGCAATGCAGCAGCCGCCGGGCTCGGGTGGGGAGCGGGGGGAGGGGCAGGAGGCCGGCCGGGCCGCCGTTCCCCGCGGTGAGGCCCGGGGTCCCTCCCGCCGGCTGGAACCCCCAGGCCGGCTCTCCTCAGCCCTGGCCAGGACGGGGGTGCAGGCCCGTGGGCGCTGCGTGCGGTGCTGGGGCGATAGGAGGGGAGGGGTCTTGTGCGCTGGGGCGAGTGCAGCTGCGCGTGTGCGCCCCACTCCTTGGGTGGGACCCGTGAACCCGTGGCCAGGTGAGGGTCTGGGGCCCTCGGCCGGGGCGAAGTGGTGCTGCGTGCGCGCACGTGGGTGGGCCTCTCCAGGTGGAGTCTGTAGGGTGTGGGTGCAGGCTGCGGTAGGGGTGGGGGCAGGGATGGGCTGGGGATCAGGGGAGGGTCCGGGGTGACCCTGAGCTGCAGGCCGGGTAGGGTGTACGTGCGTGTGTGTGCTCCGTGGTGGTGGGTGGGTCTGTGGTGTGCGTGTGTGGTGTGTGCCCGGTGTTACGGTCGTTGGGGGGCTGTGCCCTGGGCACAGATGATGCCCGGGTGTGTCTTAGATGAAAAGGCAGGATGGACGTCATGGTGGGTGGGTCTGCGAGAGGAACACAGGAGACGTGGCGAGCGGGGTGTCCATCTGCCTGGCCAGGCTGGTCAGCGTGGTGGTGGGCCCCTGTGGTGGGAGATGGAGGGCGAGGCAGGCTGGGAGGGGGGTGGTCTCTTGGTCTCTCAAGGCCTGGTAGGGCTGGGGTGGGAGAGGTGGCCTCTGAACCCCACCTCTGCTGTTTCCCCCAGGCCGCCCCTCCTTCTGCGCCCTTTGGCCCCTCCTCTGCCCGCCTCCTCTCTCCATAGGCACCTGGGAGTGAGGTGGGAGCCAGGCTGGCAGCCCTGCCGGGAGGGTAAGCCCTCCGGGGCCAGGGAGTTGCCCCTGCTGCCCAGCAGCTGTGTCCCGCCCCCTGGCTCAGCGCAGATGGGGAGTGGAGGCCGGCACTCCATCTGCTCCCCCCGACTCACAGACTCACACCTCCCCCGTTCCCAGCTCTTCCTCTCTCGCTTACTTAAAAGCCTCTCCCCAGCCTGCTGCCGTCCCTAGTGGAAGCGAGACCAGAGGGAGTTCAGGGTACAGTGAGATTTCTCTGCACGCCGACCCGGCGTGGAGAGTTCACACGTGATCGAGTCGACGCCTCACAACCCAGTTTACCGGGGGGACGTTGAGGCCCAGGGAAGACGGGGACCTGCCCAGGTCAGCATCAGCGGTGGAGCCGACGCTGCTCTCGGTGCCGGCCTCCAAAGCGCATGGCTTCCCCTCCAGTCTCCCCAGCACCCGGCCGCCCGCCCCCCAGGCCCAGGCCAGGCTCGGGGAGGGCGGAGATTTGGCCAAATCAGGGGCAAAGCCATGAGCAGAACCCGGTTCTCTCCGGGGCACTCGGGCTTCTTCCCTCTTGGGGCAGAGGTGGGTCTGTGTTGTCCTCAGCGCCCTGGGCTGAGGTACCCGAGCTGGGGGGGGGGAGGCGCGGGCCAGATGTCGGCTGGGGGGCGGGCTGCAAGTCGTTCCACCCCTCGGAGCCTCTCATTCCTCTGTAAAGTGGGGCGCACAGCACCCCCTCCTCCTGGGAGTGGCGGACTGGGGAGCAGCTCCCCCCTGACCCAGCCCCCCTCTCTTTGCCCACCCTGCAGCAGCGACCCCTGAAGCAGTCGCTGGGAAGCTCCCTGTGCCGCGAGTCGCACTGGAAGTGCCTGCTCCTCACGCTGCTCATCCACGCCTGCGGGGCCGTGGTGGCCTGGTGTCGCCTGGCCACCGTGCCGCGGCTGGTCCTGGGGCCCGAGGCCGCCCTGGCGCGGGGGGCGGGGGCCCGCCGCCCACCTACCCCGCCAGCCCCTGCTCCGACGGCTACCTGTACATCCCGCTGGCCTTCGTCTCGCTGCTCTACCTCCTCTACCTGGCCGAGTGCTGGCACTGCCACGTGCGCGCGTGCCAGGCGCCCCGCACCGACGCGGGCACGGTGCTCGCCCTGATCCGCCGGCTGCAGCAGGCGCCGCCCTGCGTGTGGTGGAAGGCCACCAGCTACCACTACGTGCGCCGCACGCGCCAGATCACGCGCTACCGCAACGGCGACGCCTACACCACCACGCAGGTCTACCACGAGCGCGCCGACAGCCGCACGGCCCGCGGCGAGTTCGACTACTCGGCCCACGGCGTCCGCGACGTGTCCAAGGAGCTGGTGGGCCTGGCTGACCACGCGGCCACGCGCCTGCGCTTCACCAAGTGCTTCAGCTTCGGCAGCGCCGAGGCCGAGGCCTCGTACCTCACGCAGCGCGCCCGCTTCTTCGGCGCCAACGAGGGCCTGGACGACTACCTGGAGGCGCGCGAGGGCATGCACCTGAAGGACGTGGACTTCCGCGACTCGCTCATGGTCTTCGCGGACCCGCGCAGCCCGCCCTGGTACGCGCGCGCCTGGGTCTTCTGGCTGGTGTCGGCCGCCACGCTGTCCTGGCCGCTGCGCGTCGTGGCCGCCTACGGCACGGCCCACGTGCACTACCAGGTGGAGAAGCTGTTCGGCGCCAGCTCCCCGCCGCCCGGGGCCGTGCCCAGCGGGCCCCCGCTGTCCCGCGTGGCCACGGTGGACTTCACCGAGCTCGAGTGGCACATCTGCTCCAACCGGCAGCTGGTGCCCAGCTACTCGGAGGCCGTGGTCATGGGCGCCGGCTCGGGCGCCTACCTCCGCGGCTGCCAGCGCTGCCGCCGCTCTGTCAGCAGCAACTCGCTGCCCCCGGCCCGGCCCAGCGGGCCCCGCCTGCCCTTCAGCCGCAGTCGCCTCTCTCTGGGAGCCGGGGGCCGGGCCACCCCCGGGGTCTTCCGAAGCCTAAGCGGGGGGCCGCTGGGGCGCCACGGAGAGGACACGGAGCCCCTGGAGAGCCCCCCCTGCTACGAGGACGCCCTTTACTTCCCGGTGCTCATTGTCCACGGCGACAGTGGCTGCCGGGGGGACGGGCAGGGCGCGCTCTGAGACCCCCGCGGCCCCCCGGAGCGGCTCCCCTCCCCACCATCCCACCAGGGGCTTCGATGCCCCCGTAACTGTTGTCCCAGACAGGGGGGATGGAGACCAGCTTGGCGGGGTGGGGGCGGGGTGGAGCCCTCAAATGCAGTGACCCGGGGTCCTCTGGGGGGTGCGTGGACACCACCAAAGCTGAGTCTGACCCATCCCAGCATGGCCCCCCACTTCCACCGTGTTCCGCCCCCTGCCTTGGCAGATGATCTGTCTTGGGGACCTCTCAGGCTGGATGGGGGAGGAAGTTTCCAGAAAGCCAGGGGAGGGGGAGGCGTCCTGGGGAACAGCCGTTGCCTCAGCAAAAGGCCATCAAGCCCTCATGCCACCCAGAAGCACAAATTGGCGGGCTGGGGCCACGCCTAGCCCCGCTGGCCTCCATGACGCTGACCAGCGGGCGTTGGCAGCACCATGGCGCAGCCTCGGCCCCACCACACGCCCAAAGGCCCCGACTCCTCCCCCAACGGGCCCCTCCCTGCCTGCCCTGCCCCTGGGGACCCCGGTGGTCAGACCTCGTAGTGGGCCCCTTGAGGGGGAGCCTGGTTCTTGGAGCACAGCCTTGCCCCACCCCCATCCCTGCAGTTTTCCCCGGCGCACCTCCCCGACATCCAGCCCCGCTTCAACCCGGGGCTCCTTCTCAGGGCCCGCCTCAGTCCCGCACCCTCTGGTCTCTGCCTGGCCCCCCGAAGTCCACCTCCCGCCAGCCACGCACCTACCCTCCGGACTCTGCCCCCTCATGGCCCCGCTTCTCTGCTCTTCACCCTCCCCATGACCCCCGGGTCAGGGCATCCGAGGGGCCACAGCCTCTTGGACGATGCCCTTGCTGTCCCACGGGGTCCCTGGGTGGGGCCTGGCCCAGGGGACCCCCCTCCCCCAGGGAGGAGAGCGTCCCTTCCCTTCCATGTGGGACTCCCGCCCGCTCAGGGGCCGGCGGGGGAGGGCCGAGGAGAGAAGACGCAGATCAAATAAAAGGTGTGAAACGGAAGGTGTCGGTGCGTTCCTGGGGTCTGAGGCCACCTCGAGGGTCGCGGGCCGCCGTGGGCCGTGGCGCAGCGCGGGGTTCGGGTGGGCGTGGAGTTGAGCTCCAGTGTTCCCGGAGCAGCACCGGTGGGGGGGGCTGCCCGGCGCGGCCTGGGAGTGGTTCTCGGCAGCCGCCTGTGCTGGCGTGTCTGGCCCTGGGTCAGCCGTCGGGCTGCCCGCCTGGCCCTCCTCCGGGTCGGCGAGGGACTCCGTGTTGCTGCTGCCTGTGCTGAGGACCCGGGAGGGCGCTGCTCCCGAAGTGGGGAGAGCGAGCTATGGCTTGGGCTAGGAGCTCAGGTGCCCCCATGGTGATGGGGGGTGTCCGTCCCGGGGAAGGACCTCGCTCGCGATGGAGCCAGACGGTCGCTAGAATCCGCAGCTTCTCATGCGGGGCAGGGCGTTCACGGTGCAAGGGCACCACGTTGGGGTCCAGCGTGGGTAGAGGCCAGACGACAGGCCGGCTACCTCAGGCCCTGGCACGGAGCTTGTCCACTTGGGTACAGATCACCCTTTTTAATCTGTGTGAGGGCACAGCCAGGGCTGGTGGTGACCTAGAAGGGGGCTGAGAGGGGCAGCGTGCCCCCAGGCGGGACGGGCAGAGTGTGCCCTCTGGGGCAGGAGCTGCCCATCAAGGGCCCCTGCAGGGCCTCCCTGGTGGTGCAAGAGATTAAGCACAGCACTGTGAAGCAACCCGCAGCCTCTGCAGCATGAGTTCGATCCCCGGCCGGCTGGAGAGAAACCCACAGGGTGCAGCAGACCTCTCCTGTCTCGCCCGCTGCTCCCCTCAGCAGTGTACTTCAGTCAGTCTGCCTGTTCTGCTCCCCGCTCTGCCTCTGGTGAATCCTCTCACCCCCGCACCTCTGGCCTGTACCCCAGTTCTCGTATGCGTAAATAAATCTTTAAAAAAAAAAAAAAAGATGCTGGTTTGAGGGCAGAAGGTGGTGGCACATTCCATGTGGGCCTACGGGGAGCAGAGGACCCGCTCAGGCTATTCATTGGGGCCGCAGCTTGGTGGTGGATTAAGTATGGCCCCTTGAGAGGTGAAGCCACGTCCCCACTCTCTTAAGCTGACTGGCCTGGTGACTGACTTTGACTGACGCGGTGGAGACCAGGCTGCCCGGCCTCCCAGGCTGGCAGCTGAATCTCTCGGGACTGGGGGACACCCCGCCAGCTCCGCAGACTGGACCCCGGAAGGCAGCTTCTGACTCATGGTTCACGGCCCCAGACGAGCACCTGGGAGCTCTGGCCGCCTCCCAACCGGGGCCTCCAGGGAATGTTCTGGAGGTGGCAGGCCCCTGAATTTTTTTCGAGTTTCATCTTCCCTCAAATGTCACACACGCTGCCGTCTGTTCTCCGGGGCCTGTGAGTGTGAAGTCATCACTGAGGTGGCCCAGGGTATACTGGAAAGGCCAAGGGAGACCAGGTGTCCAACCCAAAACTGGACACATCCTTGAATGAGGCCTGGGAAGGAGCGTTGCTGCCCTGCTGGGTGAAGGCAGAGGCCTCCGGGAGTCAGATCCGACAGAAGCAAGACAAACAGGCTGACCAGACTGATCACCGCACCCCGGGCCAGGGCTGTGCTGGCCCTGCTCCGAGGAGTGTGTGTCCAGAGTGTCCACTGAGACCCAGATGGGCGCGTTCTCCGTAACCCCGCTCATACTCCAGAGGACAGACCCATCTTTCTTCTCTCTGTTGTTCTGAAAACTGACGAAACGAAACTGAACAAGATGAAAACACTGACTTTTCCTAGGAGAGTTTCCACGCCAGCGTCAGGAGAGCAGGGTGTGTTCTAAAAGACACCCCCAGAGTGTTATAAAAGATGGCGTTTATGCAAAGATTATTCAATAAAGATCAAGTTCAGCCGTCTAAAACTTTCTGAAAGGAAGAGGTGATGACTTAAAAATTGAAACAGCGAGGGCATTTGTGAAGCGAGGCAGCACGGTACCCCTCCCACACGGCCGGATTGAGATCAGCTGGCAGGAAAGAACCTCAAGGGCCCCCAAGACCGGGGTGGGGGGGTGGGGGGGCGAGGGGTCCTGGGGAAGAGAAGGCAGATACAGTTTCAGAACCAGGGTCCAGATGGTTCCTGGATGGAGACCAAAGCAGGAAACCCCTCCTGGTCCAGCACCCCCTGCCCCCGCCCCGGCTGTGACAGTGCGTGTCCTCCAGTCACATGGCGCCCTGGCGGGGGTGACCGGTGTGAGGCAGCAGCACCTGAGTAGAGGCTCCCCAGCTCACAGGTCCGTGACACACAGGGCGGGCAGCCCCCATGCAGCCATCCCTCCCATAATAAGCCAGCGATAAACAGACCGCGCCCCCCGTCCTGCCAGGACCCGCTGCAGGACCTGCTCGCTGCAGCTGTGGGGCCTTTCACCAACCTCAACCTCTTCCTGGTCCCCAAGTGCGGTTGGCAGAACAGAGGCCCCAGCTGTACCCCTGTCCTCGTCCCTAGGACTCGGGAGCATGCCGGCTCACCTGTGAAAAGGGACTTCACAGATGTGGTTGGGGTGAAGGATGTCGATGTGGGGAGGTCACTGTCCTGACACGTTCAGGTGGGGCACCCATTTCAGCCAGTGACCACTGAGAGGAGAGCGCCCTTGGGCCTGGCGAGACAGCAGACCACGGCCTGCAGCCAGCAACAGGAGCTGTGGAGGTCAGCGCTCCTTTCTCCTGCAGCCTTGGAATTCTTTCCAAGGGAACTTGGACCCTCCCTCGTGTGCCAGGTCCAGGCTGCAGAGAACCCACGAGGGAGCTGCATTAGAGCAAGAAAATCCAGCTGCCCCCTGGCATCCAGGACAGTCCATCTATCAAGGCGGATAGAGTTGCTTTCTGCTGCCTGGTAGCGCACCCCAAAATCCAGATTTGCATCATCGTCAGGGTTTCCATCACCACCCTGAATGATGTGGTCTCCCCAGCCTGATTTCACATGCCGCCCACAGGTCCACCTCGTTTTCAGTTTCTGTCCATGGGCAAACTCGGCAATGGACTGGGGAAAGTTTATAGCACCCCCAACTCTGCACCCCCTTTCCAGTTCTCCTAAGAGTCCTCTCTCAGGATCCTTGATGTTGGATCCTGTGCACTGCCGCAAACTCACAGCAACACCAGGATACAGTTTCAAGCCATTAGCAATGCCCGTGGTTATTTAAGAATCAAATGAAATACCATGCCTGTGTGGGTGTTATTTTTCATGTGTATGCAATGCGTGGCTATTATTTTTGCTATTATTTTGCAAGTACTTATAATGTTATTTGGACCTATTTCTTGAATGGAATAGTTGCATGTTTTGGGGTGGTTTTTTTTTAGCCAAACGGCCCTCTGAAAAAGCAACTGAGACACTCAGGGCTGGGTGTGGTGACAGGGTTTGGGGGCCTCTACCACAAGCCCATGGTAGGTTGGAGATGTCAGTTCCTACCCAGTCAACTGGGCCAGTTAAAGCAGCTGGCGCCGGTAGTGGGTTCACACAGCCACCCTGAAGGTCCTTGGTGACTTCCAGCAGGAAACCTTGACTGTCCTCACCGCGTCCGTTCTCCCCCACAGCGGACTGTCATGGACAACTGGAGCACCTCAGGGGCCCGTGTTTCAAACAAGGGAGCAAACACAGCCATCTGGGAACTTGCAGAAGCTCCTGGAGCTCAAGCAGAGGAGCTGTGTGCAGAGTGCTTGCTCCTACCACTAGGGCTGGCCTCCGGGTGGAATCCCTAAACTCACCCAACCACAGGGAAGCCTGGCAGTTGCCAGAGGCCCCAAAGCTACCCTGGGGTCCTGTCTGGATCCTGTTAGGTCACAGGCAACGCACCACTCACTAGCATCATCCACCAAAACCACAAACCACTGAGGAAAGCTTCACTGGCCCCTCCATTACAGTGTGATCAGCCCAGGGGTTCACACGTTGCAGCCTCACCCAAGAGCAAGTGCTGGGAGGTGGGCCCTAGTCAGGAAGCAGGCCCTACTCTCAGGTGAAGCTGTAGGCCCTACAGTCAGGACTGGCCCTACTCTCGGGTGAAGCTCCCGGGACCCACCTGGTCCAAACCTCACCAAAGCAGGCGCTGAATCCAGGCGCTCCGGTGAATGCCTTCAGCTTCCTGGTCTGGAAAAGGTGTTATGAAAGGTGCGCACTTCACGGACGGGCGCTGCCAGGGATCCTGGATGGGTTAGCACGCGCACTCTGTGCACTGGAGGAGCGCACAACACACCCTGTGAGCACTCGCAGTTATTTTCACCAAACCCCACCCCGTCTGTGGCGGGGCGCCCGAGCCACGAAAGTGTCCGAAGGGAGTCCCTCTCCGCGGGCCTGAGCTCCTGTGCCAGGCCCAGCTGGTGCCGGCACCCAGGTGAGCTCAGGAGGTGTTAGTTCTGTCCCTCGACCTTGGCTCCCCAGTCTGTCCCAGCAACATTAACGACCATTTTTTTTCTTGAGCTCCTAGCGCTGGACTCCAGAGGGTCCTGGGACCAGGCGTTTCCAATGTGGTGAGGCGCACGCTGGGCCTGCAGGGAGGACCTGCCGGGGAGGCTGTGACTCAGCCACCAGCCCTGGCTCTGCAGGCTCTCCCGCCGAGCCGCACCGCAGGGGATGGGGTCAGGTGGAGGGAGAGGAGGACCCGGACCCCTAGGCGCGAGGCTGTGCTGCAGCCCCTGGAGCATGGTGCCTGGGACAGGCCAGCAGCTGCCCCCCAGCCTCGCAACCAGGGCCGGGGGCCTGAGCTCAGGGCGGCTGAGGGCTGGTGTGACGCCCCCTTGGGGGATTCCAAAACGGCGAGGGCCCCTGCGAGCGGGTCTGCCCTTTTGCTGGTATGGGGGACAGTTGGCAAATATTTTAATGACACCGACATTTAATAAATTAAGCAGCTGTTTACTGAGCAAGCCACGTGCTCTGGGAGAGGGGCCAGGCCGAGGTCCCCGGCGGCGGCAAAGCCCGACACCGGCGGCAGGTGGCGCCAAAGGCCCGTCAGCGACGCCGACGGGGGCCGCGGGCCGCCGAGTCTGTCCGCGCTCCCGGCGGAGACCTCGCGCTCTGGACGGACGGAGCCCGAAGGCAGAGAGAAGGCCAAGGCCGCCCTCCACGCATCCTGATCGGCGACTGGGGGCGCGGGACACGTGAGTCTGAGTAAACCCGTCAGAACGGGAGAGACTTCGAGAAGCCCAGGCCGGGGTGGGCGGGGCTTGCGAGGCAAGAAGGTGGGGCTGGCGGGCGTGGCTCTGCGTCGCAGGGGCGGGGCCTGAGGGAAGGGCTGGATGACGTCCGCTGAGGGGGCGGTACTTGTGCGCCAAGTCCCGCGCGACGGGCCCTCTCGGAGGGTGGGACGTCAGGCCCGTCAGGGGCGGGGCTCGCGGCACCCTCGGTGGGCGGGGCTGGGCCCTGTGGAGGGCCGCTACGTCAGCGAGAAGGCGCAGTGTCAGCCGTAAGTAGGGGCTCCGGTGAGGGGGCGGGGCTCGAAGTTGGGGGCGGAGCCTTCCGAGGCCCTTGAGGGCAACGCTTTAACTCGTGAGGGGGCGCGTGTGTCTCTCCCGGAGAGTTTGTGTCGCCGCAGGAGCCCCGGCGCGCGCGCCGCGCGAAGGGCGGGGCTTGTAGTTCGGGGGAGGCGGGGCGCGTAGCGCTGCGGAGAGCGTGTGAACTCTGGGCGGAGCGCCTGCCCTCGGGACGGCGGGCCGCGCGCGGAGGCGGCGCTTGCGGCCCGGGTGGGCGGGCCGACCGTGCGGCCTCAGCGCGCAGGGGGCGGGGCAAGTGACCGCGGTGGGCGGGGCCTCTGAAGAGCGCGCAAGGGGTGCGTGACCGCGGTGGGTGGGCGTGGCTCGCAGCTTCAAGGGGCGGGACTGACGGTGCCGCTTCCGGGTGCTGCCTGGATGGGGCGGGGCCTGACAGTCGGTGGGCGGGGCCCGCGGCCAACTCCGGGGCTGGGCGGAGCCCCGCTCGCGGGGCGGGGGCTCTGCCCTGGGAGGCCGGGTGTTTAGGGCCGCACGCTGCTCCGCATCTGGTGCTCATTACCCGATGACAAAGAGCCGGCTCCGGGCCCCCTTCCCTGTCCCATCCCCTCCCTCCACTGCGGTGCATTTAACCCCTTCCTGCCCTCGGGGCGCTCCGGATCCCCTGCCCACGGTCAGAGGACAGAGCTCCAGCCCTGCCCGGACTGACTCGCTTTGTCACCTGCGCTCACCTTCTCAGACCCAGGTGTTTGGGCCGCTTCGTGACCCCTGCTCCCACCCAGCGAACCTCTCCAGAGGCGTCTCCGAGGTTAAAAAACTGCAGGATCTGGCAGGAGGGTCTGGTTTGAGTTAGGGGACCGTGAGGGGGGGCGAGGGGGCGGCACGTGGCATTCCCTCCGCCCCTTCTGCGCCACCCCCCACCCCGTAGTCCCCAGCGCCGACCCCCTGTCCCCTGGGGCCGCGCCCTGTCTGCCAACCCTCACCCAGTGCCCGGAGGCAAAGGGTGGCATAGGATACGGGTAGGGAAGGGGGCCCCGGCCACCCGTTTTCGCCTGACCGGGTGGTCGTGGTGACTCTGTCCTGGCCTAATTAGAGGTCCCTTAGAGGCTGCAACTGAAAAATTACAGAGGCGGTGGGAACCGGCGCCTCCCAGCCCAGGTCCTGTCTCTCCTCCTCCCCAAAGCAGGGAGCCCAGGATGAAGGAGGTTGCCACTATCAGGAGACACCTCAAACTTGACCGGCCTGACTGCCCACTCCAGCTGGGGCCCCCTGGGTTCTCTCTGTCCAGGCACCCCTATAAGGAGAGGGGCCAAGTGTGACCCCAAGTGGGAAGACCTTGTTCTGGTAGCTACCCAGGGAGCATTGGATGTGGGATTACTCTCTTGGGTTCCCTGCTTTCCTGACCCTAGTGCTAGACTGGGGCTCACACCTCTCCCCCAGCGCTGAGTGGAGGAAAACCTCCAGAGTACCTACAACCCAGGGGGGGACAGTACCCTTGAGTGACTCTCAGCCCTAGCCACCACCTTCTGTGCAGCCTGGGGCAGGGGTGGGAGGCGGGCAAGGGAGACGCCAGAAGAAGTCAGCAGCTCACCGGCTAGACCCCTTCACCAAGCCCAGGACTTACCTTTCATCTCTAAGCCCATTTGGCTCCCATTCAGGAGAAACCCACATTGTAGAACCCTCCCTCAGATTCAGCCCCACCTCCTTGGAGTTTTGGCAAAAAGAGAAACAAATATGGAATTCTCCCCACGCCAAACCCCCTGCTCCTGGGCTTGCTGTGTGACCCTGAGCAAGGCTCTGCCCTCTCTGGGCTCCAGCGAGATTCCTGGGAATCTGGATAATACCCTCGCTTAAGAGTCTTACCTTATTTCCTTTGGGGCCCAGACAAGCTCTTTTGTTTCCGAGTCCTCCCAGACCCTCCCTTCGGGCACCAACAAGGTCAGGAGCATTGGGTGAGGTTAGCATCCCATTTATTGGAGAAGACCCCAGCACCCCGCCCCTAAGGTCCTGGGGGCTTCGGTGTCTCCTCTGTTGGGCTGGGGAGCAGTTTCCAAGAGTTTACTGACAGAGCAGCCCGGCTGGGCCCCGGGAGTGGGGGGACAGGCAGGAAGTCCTGTGTCCAAAGGAGCAGCCCCCATGGGTCCCTGGTGCAGCCTGGGCCCTGTGTCCAATGCATGCCCCTTCCCCCTGCACACCCTGCAGAGGGCGGCGTGGCACCCCATCATCACACGCTGGTTCTGCAGGTCTGCACCCCTGTGAGGCTGCCCCTGTGGGGCACAGGTTCCGTGGAGCCCTTGCTCCCTGTGTGGGTGACCCAGCGATAGCAGTCAGTGACGCGTTTGTTGGGTGCGTGGGGGCCACAGCGGGTGCAGTACACAATGCCCAGTGCGAGCAGGACCACCAAGAAGACGCATGTTGGCACCAGGAGTGCCACCAACAGCCACCGGTCATCCCTTCGGCTGCGACCTGCTGGACTGGCCTCCCCGAGGGCCGTTGGGGCTGCCGTGGGGCCCGCCGCTGGGGCCAGGTGTGGGGCCAGTGTGGGCTCAGGAGCGCCTTCCCTCGGGGCCTGTGGGACTTTGGGAGGGGCGTGTGTCGGGCTGGTGGGTGAGGCCTGATGAGTCGGGCTGTGCGAGGACAGGAGAGTGTGGAGGACTTGGGGCTGGGTGACAGCTGGCAAGGGGACTTGATGGACAGGGAATCTGGGGGGCCTGGAAGGAGTGGCCAGGGGCTGCTGAACAGTGGAGGCAATGGGAAAGGGGCTGGCCCAGGCTTTGAGGTCTGGCGTCCCCGGGGGCTGGCGGGCAGGATAGGTGCTGGCAAGAGGGGTGTGGTTAGCTGGGGGGGGAGACAAATGAGTGGCGGTCTGGGTGTCAGCGGCCTGGGTGTCTGGGAACATTGGGGAGGGGCGGGCAGGGGACATTTCAGGATGTCTGGTTGAGGTCACAGGGCGCGGGCGGGCCGCAGGCAGGTATGGAGCGCTGGTCGGGGACATGGAGCGCCGGCGGTCGGCGGGCAAAGCCGCGTCCCTGGCACGGGCCGGGAATGGGAGCAGGGCGGACGGCCATGTGGGCCGGGTGGCAGAGAGCACTGCGGAGCGGTAGGGGTCCCTGGGGGCACTGAGCAGGGGTGGCCCTGTGGGGTGCAGGAAGGACATCAGCTGCTCTCTGGTCTCTGGGCTGCCGGGGCCGTAGGCCAGGCCGTAGTCAGGCGAATGCTCCTCGTCCTCCTCGTCCCGCTCGTCCTCCTCGTCCCCCTCGTCCTCCTCGTCCCGCTCGTCCTCTTCGTTCTCCTCACCCTCCTCGTCCTCCAGCTGGTGTCCGAGACCCCGGGAGGCCGGGGCGCCCACGGCCCCAGCGGGCCTGCAGTTGACGCCGTCCGCCTCCAGCTCGTGGCCCTCGCTGCAGTAGCACTCGAAGCCGCCGATGTAGTTCACGCACATCTGCTGGCACACGCCGGGGATCTGGCACTCGTCCGTGTCCACGCAGCGGTGTGGCTCGTCCTCCGAGGGCCGGAAGCCCAGGCGACAGTGGCAGCTGTAGCCCTGCGGCCCGCCGGGCTCGCACTGCTGCTCGCAGGGGGCGTGCGTGCAGGCGTCCTCGCAGCCGCGCCCGTCCTCGGCCAGCCAGAAGCCCTCGGCGCAGCGGCAGGACGCGCGCCCGTCCCACGCGGCCGCACACTCCTGCTCGCAGGACCCGTTGTCCAGGTCGCAGGCGCTGGGGCACAGGGGCCCGGCTTGGGACCAGACCGCACCCCCCTCGGGCTGTTTCATGCAGAGCAGAGAGGCTTCTCCCCCCGCCTGGCACTTCACGGCCCCCATGGAGCCCAGGGGCAGCCACTGCAGCTCGGTGGAGACCAGATGGAAGGGCGTGGTATAGACGGCCGGGCCTGTCTGGCTCGCCTCACCTGGCAGCGCTGGGCAGGCGCCCTCGAAGCTGAACTGGCACAGGTAGCCGTCCACGGGCAGCGTGCACGAGCCCTCCAGCCAGCGGTGCTCCCCGCTCGCCTCCAGGGCTGCGCAGCGCTGGGCCGGGCAGGGCCCGGCCGTGGCTGGCTGGGCCCAGTTGGTGAAGGCTGTGTCCTGGTCGCCCGTGGTCCACATGAAGCCCCGCAGTGGGCGCTGCGGCTGGCATTGCCGGGGCTGCCGCTGCAGGCCGATCCACAGCAAGCCGCTGGCCGAGCTGGTCTCCACCAGGCTGTCCACGCGCTGGGCCTCCTCTGGCGTCCGCGGTGTGGCTAAATCCCCCCCCAGCTCTCGGCAGGCCCTCCAGGCTTCCAGAAAGGTGTTGCGCCGCAGGAAGAGTGCGTAGCAGCTCGCTGGGCCGCAGGTGGCATGGGGCTCCGAGGCCCAGGGGCCCTGGCCCAGTGTGGGCACCGCGGCCGCCCAGGCCAGCAGCAGGCGCAGCAGCATCGCGACGCCCCCCGACTGGCCGGGGCCTGGTCTGCAGTCGCTCTTGACAGGGGGAGGGGCCGGGGCCTCCGCGGGCGTGCCGGGGGCGGGCCGGCCGGGGCGCAGGCCTTGTAAGGAGTGGGCTGGGGCCCCTGCCAGCTCCCTGCTCTGGCTCCCCTGGGGCCGCCAGAGCAGGAAGCAGCGGTGGGGGGGCAGGAGTGGGGGGTCTGGGGGAGAGGAGGAGGAGGCGCAGCAAACAGCGGCCAGAGTATAGGAGAGGGGAGGCAGGACCGACCCTCACCCTCGGAATCCGAAGTCCGGGGCGGCCGGGGTTCTTGGCGTGGGGTGAGGTCTCTTCCCAAAGTCTGAGCCCAAATCTGGACCCGCGACCTCATCACACCCTTCAGCGGCGTCAGCACCCGAGCTCGTCATCCCTGTGCAGACGCCTGACTCATGGGCTTCACACGCACACGTGTGGAGGCTGCTGTCCCCGCGCAGCCTCTCCTGACTCCCTTCCTCCTAGAGCGGCCGGCCGAGGCCAACCTGTCCTCCGTCCCCCACCCCCGAGCCCCGCCCGGCCGCAACCCTTCCCGCTGCACGTGGGCTCACTCGCTTGGCCACGCACAGAAGCCCCTCGCACCCCTGTGTGGCCACCGATCGGACACCGCCTTGACCTGAGGGCAGGGACACCCTCAGCCCCTGGTGTGCACACTGCGCTCCTGCCTCGACCTCCCGCACTGCTTCCCGGCTCCAGCTGGACCCAGTGTGTGGACCCCAGAGGGGGTGGGGCTGCCCTCCCTTCACCTCTGCTCAGCCTGGGGCCCTGGGAACCTGGGCTCGGAGGGAGAGGAGGCAGAGGAGGCGGCCCCCAAACAGGAAATGCTTCTCAGAGCTCCTGCTGCAGGAGGGCAGGGTGCATGGGGGAGGGGCTGGCCTGCGCTCAGGACGAGCTGGGCTGGCTGGGAGGACGCTAGTGAGAGGCCCTTACTCGGGCTGGCTCCCTAGGGACCATCAGGTGTGTGCGGGGCACGGGCACCGCATGGTGCCACCCTCTGTGTCCCGGAGGCCCGCCGGGGCCCCCTGCCTCCGTTGCCGGAGCCCACCGTCCGGCAGCCCTGGGGAGTGGGTGGGCAGACCCGGTGCACACCCACGGGGCTGTTTGTAAAGTGTGAGCGGGATGGGGTGGGTGCAGGCCTGGAGGACCAGAGTTGGGGGCGGGGGGGGGGGGCGGGGAGAGGTTCTGCCCCTTGGCGCCCTGCCCTGGTCCAGCTTCTCGTTCTGCCACCGGTCTTCCGTGCCATGGTGGGGAAGTCTCCGACCCTCTCTGAGTCTCCATTTTTCTTATCTACAAGATGGGGCAACGCGTCAGGGCTCTTCAGCTCAGCAGGGCGATTGGATCACCACACTCAGTGCTTGCAAATGTGCTTTGTCAGCTGCAGAGCATGAGGCAAACGTTCCTTAGTCTTCTGAGCAAATCGGGGAGGGGATGGGGACCAGTGCCAGGCCAGGCCTGCAGACACTGCCAGTCCCCTGAACAGCAGCACTTTGAAGGACTCTGTGCCCAGAAGTTCGCTCTTTCAAGGTGTCCATCTGTGAAGCACATCGAATTCTCCCCCTGCATGAGAGGAAGGTCGGTCCTGCCGCTGGCCCAGGGCCAAAGCCTTGAGATCATCCTTGACGCCTCCTTCTCCCACACCCATGGCCTGTCTCTCGGCAAGTCCTGTTGGCTTCGCTTTCAAAACAGGCCCAGAATCCGATCGCTTCCACCACCGTCTTTGGACCCCCTTGGGCTGTGCCTCTGTCTCTTGCCCTCTGTGTCCTGCTGGAGGGATCCTTTTGAAACCTAAGTCAGATCCAGTGACGCCTCTGCCCAGAAGCCCCAGGGCCCCATGCCTCTCAGAAGACAGGCCAGAGTCTCTTCCACGGCCTCCCAGCCTGTGTGATCTGCCCCCCACTCTCTCTCACACCCCTGCTTCAGCCAGCCTGGCCGCAGGCTGTGCCCTGAACTCACCAGGCGTGTCCTCCTCAGCATCGGCTGTTCTCCTGCCTGGACACATTCTTCCTGCAAGGCCCCAGCGCCTCTTCCCTTTCTGTGTCTCAACTCAAGTACCAACTCAAGTGTCCACCCCACCCCCAGGGTTCCCTGACCCCTTGGTCTTAGTCCGTATTTCTCCTTGTGCTGATCACTATCTGACAAGGCAGGTGTTTCTCAAATCCTGCATAGCCAGGGTGTCTCCGCCTCTGCGTTACTGACATCCAGGGCTGGATGATGATTCCTGAGGAGCCCGTGCCTGCGCGGGGAGAGGTGAGGCACCATCCCTGGCTTCTGCCCGGGGGCCCATAGCATCCCTTAGGATAGTCAGGAATGCCTCTGACATGGCCAATGTCATTGTCCCTTAGGGGCATCATCACCCCCCGGGACTCCTGCCTAGGAGACCAGGAGCTCTGCGATTGCAGGGTCATTGGCCCACTCCCTCCTGGATCCACAGGGCCTGGAAGGCCCCTGGTTCAGAGATTCCGCTCAAGAGGGGCTTGTAAAATGAATGAATGAATGAATGAACGAATCTCCAGTGACGAGGGGTCCTGGCTCAGGTGGACATAGCAGAAAGCTATGCAACCCAGCCCACCTGCTCCCACACTCATCTGGCCATCCCCAGAAGTCCGAGCACCTGAGAGATCCCTGGGCCTCAGTGAGCCTTTGGGCACATGGGGTCTCTGCAGCCCGGAGGCCTGAGAGCTGGTGGGTGGCGGGACAGGAGCTAGAACCGGGTCTCCTGCCCCTTATTCCAGCTCGCCCTGCACTGCTGGCCCTGAGGAGTCATGTGGTGCCCTGAAGAGTCATGTGGTACCCTGAGGAGGCTGAGCATTGGGCATGATGTGAGGAAGTGAGGGTGAGAGGAAAGCATCAGGAGGAAGACAGGGGCTGGACAAAGGTACTGAGTGTGGAGTCGGGGTGCCTTTGGGGAACAGCCCCTGGGCCTGCAATGAGGGACATCCAGAGGATCAGAGAGGAGTGGACAGAGACAGTCACAGAGAGGGGGAGCCCTGGCTTGGAAGGCAGTGAAGCTGCTCCGAAAGGCTGGGCCTGCATGGTGGGGCCAGAGGGGAGAGGCTGGATGGGAAATCCCTGCTGCTGGTAGGTGGTGGGTGGTAGGCGGAGGGAGGCCCGGAGGCCAGGGACCAGCTAGGAGGTTGTTGCAGTTGTCTGGGGGAGGGGAGAGAGCTGGCAGGAGAGCAGGGCAGCAGGGCGGGCCGGGCTGGGGGAGGCAGCCTCTGGAGGTTCCTTAGGGGCTGGCGGGAGACTGGTCCAAGGGTGTGGTGAACCCAGTCATGATTCGGGCAATGGCCTGTGCTGGGGCGTCTAAGGGGAGGCTGCTGGCCGTCTGGTGAGTGGGTGGGTCAGGTCAGAGGTCAGGATTTCAGCCACAGTCTGGGTGAGGGGTAGGGGGCCAGGCAAGGGAAGTAGGAGGAAGGTCAGAGGCCAAATTCCAGATGGGAACTGGGTCTGCTTGCAAGAGGAGGGGCGTCCGAGCCCGGACAGGGCATGCCAGGGGGCTGTGTAGGGGGGAGTAGGGCCCCTCTGACCCAACAAGGCCGCTGGCTTGGTAGGTAGAGGATGAGACTTGGAGATGCATCTGGGCACCCAGTATGCGTGCCTAGGACTCACCTGGCCCCCGTTCAGGTGGGCAGAGGTGGGACTGAAGCTGGCTAGGAACTTCCGGCCTTAGTCGGGATGGGGATGCCATGGGCCCAGCTCAGGGCTCAGGGATGGGGTGAGGGGACAGAGAGGGGCTGGTGTTACTCTTTCTACTCGCCCCATTCAGCCTGACTCATCTTGGCTTCTCCAAAGCACAGAGAAGATGCTAATTGATGCAATAAATACTTGGAGGATGTGTGGGTGGAGACGTGAGTGGATGGGTGCAGGAATGCGCGGTGGATGGACACATGGGTGCACGGACGCCAGGATGGGTGCATGGGTGGATGATTTACAGGTGCATGCACACAGGGACGGGTGGATGCATGGACGTGTGGGTGAATGGGTGGTGGGTGCGTGGCTGTTCATATGGATGCAGCGCTGCTGCACGTGTGATGCATGCAGATCTCGGTGGCTGGTGCATGCCCGGGTGCGTGGGTAGATGCATGCATGGCTGGAGGATGGTGAGGTAGGAGGATGCGGGTGATGGGTAGGTGGATGGGCAGTTGGGTGGGTGGAGGAATGAGTGAGTGGGTGGGTGGATAAACGGCTTAAGTGGCTGGGTGCGTGGATGAGCAGTGCGGACATGCGTGCCTGGATCCGGGCATTTGGGCAGAAGTGGGAACCCTAAGTCATAACTGGCAGCCACCGTGGCAAACGGCATGCTCAGAATGTACCTCTAGGGGTCTGCGGGGTGCAGCGCAGGAGGGAGGATGGCCTGGGCTGCAGGCAGGGGGCCTGCGGGGTGCTTGTCCTGGAGGCACACAGCCTCTTCTTCCTCTGGGGTCTGAGGCTAATGTGTGTCCCCGGCTGGGGTGGGGACAGCTCACATCAGGGGTCAGGAGGTTGGGGTCCCCTGCTGTGATCATGGCCTGGATGGGGCAGACTCACCTTGCTAGCGGCTTGAAAACAGAAGCGTGCTTCTGGCGCAGCCTTGTCTTCCAGCCGCTCAGACAAGCCAGAGAAGCCAGGGGTTTTGGATGCACTGCGTGGGCCCCAGGGGCTGGGGGTGAAGGCTGCTGGCAGAAGGCCTGGCCCAAAGAGGAACTAGTAGAACAGCCAGGATGGGGGGGTCGAGTATGATTGGGGGGCGCCCCCTGGGCAGGCCAGGCCGCTGAGCCAGCACATTGCTTTGTGCACAAGTCACCTCCTTTCTCTTCTGTCCCCATCCCCCCACCTTCCTCCATTTCTCAATTCTTCCCAGACCACCCCAGCCTTGGGTTGTTGGGAGGAAGGGCCGGGTGGGCGGGAGGTGCAGGGTCCTGGGTGGGAGGGGACAGGTCCCTGGGGCAGGAGCGGGGCGGGAGTGGAGCCACCGTGGTCTCCTCCCCTCCCCACAAGCTGCCGCCGCACCCTGCGAGCTGCTGGGTGGGAGAGCCCCACAGGAAGGGAGGTGGTGCTGGGGACAGGACCGGGTGGGAGGGATCCAGGAAGAAGAGGTACTGTCCAGGCCTGGCCCTGGGGATAAAGGATTCTGACAGCTGGGGGCGGGGCTCAGGGTGGGGCAGGGTCCGGCTGCAGAGAGTGCAAGCGGCGCACGCGCGGGGGAGGCTGGTCTAGTGTACCTGCTGCCGGCGTGACCATGTGCTCCCGTGCATATGTGTATGGGTGTGTCCGTGCGCATGCATGCCCAGCCTCGCGGCAGGTGTGCACAGCTGGGTGATGTGTGGGTGTCCCCGCGGGCCTACACCTGTCCCCACAGCTGCAAGGGGAGAAGCATATGGCTGTCCCTGGATTGCCCAACCTGGGCCCAGCTGGGGCCCAGTCTCTCTTCTGGCAGCCGCCTGACCTGAACATCTGGCCACATCTGGCCACAAGGGAGAGCGTCCTGGAGCCCACATCAGAGCTTCCCCTCATGGGGCACAGAGACACACGGGGGGTGGAGGCACAGCTGGGACCTGTACCGGCTGGGGACCCCAGGCCCCCACGGGTCTGCCCTCCCTCTGGCGCCCTTCAGCTGTGAGGCTCCAGGAGAAGCGGGCACCCCGCCTGGCCTGGCTGTGGGCTCTGGGAAGTCCTGCAAGGCCTTCTTGGCGCCCCCCAGCCCCTGCCCACAAGGGAGGTCTAGTCTGTCGCCAGAGACCTCTCTCCGCTTCCCACCTCTCTCCGCCAACCCAGCCTCAGCCTGCCCTCTGCCCCCGCCCCCGGAGCTTTCCCTGCCTCCTGGCCAGCACCTCTCCTTCCTGTCCCCTCTGCCTCCTGGGTGTCCCTCCCTCCCCCTGCAGGGGCTCTTCCTCCCTCCGCCCTGCTTCAGGGGTCTCCAGCGCCCACTGACCCCGGGAGCGCCCCCTCCGTGTCTGTGCCTCCACTCTCGTCCTCTGTCCACTTTGTGTCCCCTGCTCTGTGCTGTCTCCCCTGTTCCCCTGGCCCAAGGAAGGCGCTCCACCTTCCCTGGGTGGTCCAGGCCCCCCGCCCCCTGCACACCCACCCGCAGGGCCGGCTGGGGTGGGAGCCAGGTCTGAGGGCTGTGACTGGCCGGGAAGTGGAACCCAAGCAGACATGATATTTATGTTAGGACTTCAAAGTGCAGCAGCGCCCGCCGAGGCAGGGGCGGTGGGGGTGGCGGTGGGGGGTGGGGGTGGGAGGCCAGCTCATGCCCCTCCCTGGTGGGGATCTCCTTGGCGACACCCCTCCCCCCCCCCCCCCCCCCCCGTGGGACACTGACCTAGAGCAGGGGCAGAGGGCTATTTTGGTGCGGAGCGGCCAAGAAAGGCACTTCCTGCGCCCCTGCCTGCCCCCAGCCCGGGCCTGTCTTCCTGTCACCCCCAGGGGCAGCTGGGTCCTCTGAGCTTCAGGCTGGCCGGGGGCAGGGGCTCGGGGCGGCAGGCGCAGAGGGCCCGTCTCAGCAGGAACACATCCCTGGCACTGGGACAACGTGTGTGCTGGGCTCTGGCGAGGCTGCGCCTGGCAGGGCAGTGAGGGTCTGTAACCCTGTCGTCCCCGACCAGCCAGGAGGTCTGAGTGTCTCTGGGGCTGCCAGGGTTGCCCCCAGGGGCTGAGAGGCCAAGGTGACCCGTGAAGGTCACCCCACCCGGCCCCCCACCCTTGGTGGGGGCCCCTCACCCCTGCTAAAGACACCCAGCTGCTAGGGCTGGGAAGGCGTGGGGTCAGGGGCCCAGGACGGGGTGGGGTGGCGGGAGGGACCGATTGTCTCATCCTGTGCTCAGCTCAGTTTAAACCCCTCCCAGGAGCCAGGCCCAGCAGAGACCCCTTCCGACTGCGTCACCCCCTCAGGAGGTCCCCTCCCCCACTAAAGCCTTGCTCCGGACCCAAGTTCTTCTCTGTTCTGAAGCCCACCAGGCCCCGAAACCCCTGGCTCCTGGGCCAGTGCCACCCCCTCCCCACCACCACCCCAGATCTTCCACAGGCGCTTGTAGTGAGTCACTGCCCTGGGGTGTGATGACCTCAGGCCTCCTGCCCAGGGCTGCTGCCTCAGCCTCCTGCTTGGTGAGCGAGTGGGGCTGCCATACTCCCCTCGGGGGCTTCTTAGCCACTCACCATCCCCGCCAGGGTCCAGGTGGGCTGGGGGGCGGGGCTGAGCAGTGGCAGGGATAGGCCATGGCTGGGGAGGGTTCCTCAGGGCAAGGGCTTGAACCTCTTCTGCCGGGTCAGAAGCATGAAAGTATCACCTGCACGGGAAGGTGTGTGCCGTGGAGGCCCAGGGAGCGGGTCTTGCGTCAGCCTGTCCCCAAGTGTGTGTGTGTGTGTGTGTGTGTGTGCGTGGGAGTCTCCATGAAAGCAGACCCAGGGACAGCTGTGTCAGGGTGTGGCTCAGAGGAGGGGCCTGTCCCTGTCACTGTCCCATCCGGCAGGGCGTGCGTGGCTGACACTGGATGTTCCTGGTAAGGTGGGGGATGCCGGTTGTTACCGAGCATCACTGTGGTGGCAGAAAAGGTGTCACACACTGTGTGCAAAGGTGAGCTGAGTGTGTCTGTGCTACATGGGAGGTGTGAGTGAGGATCACAAGGTTCCAGCCGGGTGTTAACACTGCACTGAAGGTGAGTCGGGGTCTCAGTGGCTGCTTTCCTCCCCACCCCAGGGTCCTCACTCAGTCACCTCACTGACCTTGGCCTTCTGGGTGGGTAGCCCCTATCTCACCCCCTTCTTCACTGCTGTTCCCAGAACCCTCCGTTCACAGGATAGTCCCAGGACCCTGCCGGGGCTTCTTGCCTCCTGGCACCAGGCAGGGCGCGGGTCCTCTGAGTGCCCTGGTCCCAGGGCGACCTCAGGCTGCAGGGGACCCTGTGAGTAACTGGGGACGGTACGCGTGCGCCCCCTGGCGGCGGCGGTGGAGACTGCGCCGCCCCCGGCCGGGACCTCGGGGGCGCTGTGTTGGCGGGGTCTTCCCGAGCCCGCCTCTCCACCTATAATCACCGAGTGCCAGTTCCGGGCCAGGCATTGTTCGCGGCCCCTGAGATTTAGCCGGGAACCAAGCCAACTTGGCCCTGGCCTTTTAGTGGGGAAGACAGACAGTAAACAAACTCGCCCTAGAACTCCGGTGAATCTCGAGGTGATAAGTGCATGTCCACGGCAGGAGATGACTTGGCTGCTCCTAGAGATGCAAATGTGGGGGTTTCAGACCTGCCCTGCGGCAGGACTCTGGTGGCCTTGCCTTCTTCCAGAGGCCAAGAGGGGGCAGGTAGGCAGCCGGGTCGGGTGGGAGAGGGATTCTGCTCCTGCTCACACCACACCTGTCTGCCTCTGGCTGGATCTGTGGGTGCTTGGTCCATAGGGACACTCAGACGGTCACTGCTGAATGGACAAGGGATGAGTCCCTGTTTCGTGGGACCTCAGAACCTGGCGTCTGAGGCCCTGTTGCAAGCCACTTGCCTTAAGCAGCTTCTGTTTCCTCATCTGTAAAGTGCGGATGTAACCAGCCTGCCTGCCTGGAGCCCCAGCCTTGTTTCTCCACGCCTGTCAAGCTACTTTACCTGTCCTGGACCCAGACCCATCAGAATCTCTTAAGAGAAACCGAAGAAGCTCAGGGAGCAGGCAGGGCCAGGCCAGGGCTCCAGCCAGGGAGCCACTGCCAGGGGTGGCCGGATTCCCAGGGCCAGGAATTAGGCCTGAGCACCGGACAGGCGTGGGCGGGGTCGCAGAGGCCCGCAAGGCAGGGGCCCAGCCGATTCAGCCAGCCCTAGTTCCCGTGAGACAGCTCCGCATCCGGCCCTGGGGTTCTGGGAGCACCCCCCTATCAGCTACTCCAGGTTCTTCCTCTGGGACTGAACTGCAGACATCCTGTTTGGTTCCCAGAACCCTGCCCTCCCTAGGCCTCCCTGCTTCCCACCTCGCTGCCAGTGGCTTATTATCAGACTCCAATCAGCAGATAACATTTATTGAGCGCCCATGGAGTGTCCAGCACTGTGCCAGGCGCTGGGGGTAGTCATGGGGGAGGGAAGGCAAACAAAAGAGCCGGGGGATCCCTGCCGGCGAGAAATGGAGAGGTAAGGGCTGCCAGTGGCCTCTGGGGAAATCTGGGAGCCCTGCACCTGGGCTGTGTCTGGATGGTCTGACTCGAAGGTCTGGGCTTGGACCTTGCGTGTGTCCGACATGCGGGCTGGTATCCCTTTGTGATCAGTGTCTGACCCCCAGGATCCCCTGACTCCAGGGGAGCTGGGGCCTGCAGCCTCGGCCTCCATTCCAGGATGCCTGTCATAACCTGTGACCACTGGGTTGCTGGGGCCCTGGAGTCACAGCACCCCCCCCCCACACTTCTTCCGCAGCTTCTCGAGCCACGCGCGCCACCTAGTGGTCGTCTCTGGCTTGTTCTTTGCTGGGGTTTGCTGATGCTCTGGGCACCTAGGGCTGCCTTTGGGGCTGCTGGGCCTGGAGGGTTAATTTACAGGTGTCTTAGAATAGAGGATGTAGTTGGGACCTGAGCCCAGGTTTGGGTGGGGGAGCCCAGGAAAGTGCTGGGTCACTTTCCTGAGCTTCGGTGGGTAATATGCCCCGCCCTGCCTCCCATAAAGCTCTTCTGCAATCCCAGTATGTTAAGTGCAGAGAAATGCTTTTAAAGTCCCCCGCCTCCACTTGGAGAGAGGGAAGCCTCTCTCCCTGCCAGTGGTGGTATCTCTCCTGTCCGGGTCCCTTGGGATGCCAGCCTGCCTGGCAGGACTTCCCACCTGGGCGGAAGATTGGGACTTGGTGCTTCCTCGCTGGGAGCTGCCCTCCCGGGTTCCCCTGGATGAACATACCCTCGGGTCATTGCAAGAACAGGCGCTTGGAGGGTGGGGGCGCTGCTCCCATCCCACCCCTTCCCTCCCTACCCCCTGGTCTGAGCTCAGTTTGGCCTGAGCTCCAGCCCTGGTGGACTTCTGGGTGGGGGGGCAGGTCAGCAGCTTCACAGGTGAGTATACAGGCTTGGAGGTGCTCCTGATCCAGGTGGGCTGGGGGCCCCAAACCCTTGCTGCCTCCCTGAGTCCCCCAGAGAGGGTGGAACTCTTCAGAGCGTTGAAGCCCCAGCCTGGAGTGGGCTTTTTGGGCAGTAGCCCTACTCTAGGCTGTACCCCTCTCTAAGGGGGTGGGGGCATTGCAGAAAGAGCCTGACAGAGGCCCTCCGCAGCTCCAGAGGTCGGGCACTCTCCGCTGCTGGCCAGCCGACCTCCAGCAGGGGAGAAGGACAAGAGGCAAGGGGCCTTGGCCCTTGCCGTGAGGTCCTCCAAGCCCCCTGAGTTTTTACTCCAGTGTCCTAGATGTGCCCAACCCAAGTGCTCGCCCAGCAGGTGTGATCACAGAGATAAACAGGTGGTGGCAGACACCGGAAAGGCCCTGGGGTGAGGACGGTGAAGGGCGAGTGTGGCTGGTGGCTCTAAAAGGCCTTCCCTGCAGGCTGAGCCTCCTGCCCCAAGACACTCTGGCCACTTCCAGCTATTCCTCTGCCACCCCACTTCCCTCTGCCTCTGGCCCCCCTGGCTGAGCAGGAGTTCCCCTGGCCTGGCCCTCACCCTCCTTGGCCCCCTCCACAGTTGCCTCAGACTCTCCCCTGCTGTCCCTGGGGCTGGCTTTGACTTCGATATCACTACCTCCCCTGCCCCTTTTTTCCCCCTCCTTGCCCCCTACCTCTGGCTCCCCACTGGCCGTCTCTGTCGCTGCCCCAGGGGAGGCCTCTGGGGCCTCAGGCCACTCTGCCCTGCGGTAGACGAGGTAGCCGGTGGTGGGGAGCCTGTGGACCAGGACCCCGGGGGGCAGGCGCTGGTAGCCCTGCTCCTTGTACAGGTAGAGGCCGAACATGCCAGGCTGGGGAACCCGGAACTTGGTGCCACAGAGCTGGCTCAGGGTGGCGATCGAGGCCCCTGGGGGCACGGCCAGGGTCTTGGAGGTGCAGCCACTGCTGGGGTCCTGATAGGCCACTCGGAGGAGGTGCTGTGTGGAAAGAGAATCAAAACAGGACCTCAGCCCTGCCTGGGGGGCACCTGGCTCTCTGGCCTGAGGTGCCAGCATAGGCCCCAGGGCTGCTGGGGGTGGGGGCGGGAGGAGTGGAGCAAAAGCAATTGGCAAAGACCGTTGGGACAGCTGAGTTCCCAGGGGGCTCCCTCAAGCCTCACTTCAAGCCCAGGGGGTGGCTGCTATCACCCCATTTTATAGATGAGAAAATTGGGGCACAGAAGTGTTACCTCCCCTCCCCAAGCTTCCCCAACCAGAAAGTGGCAGTTAGGATTTGAATCTGGCTGCGAAGTCTGCGCTGTCGCCCAAGTCTGGGAAGGGCCCCTGACTGGCTTGGATGGAGGGCACGGTGGGGGCAGGGCAGGGGCCGCCCTGAGGACCGCAGGCCTGAGCCCAGACAGGGTGGGGAGGGGGACAGAGCTCCAGCTGGGGCAGAGGCCTGGGTCTGGGCCGGAATCCTTGTCTGTCCCCCTCCAGGCCAGGTCTCAGTGTCCTCATGGGCCCTGTGCCAGCTCGGGGCTGAGGCCCCAGAGGGTAGAATGAACTGTCTTGTGAAAGGCTACCTTTGGCCCGTGCCCCTGACTGCTGTGTCTGCTACGCGGAGTGGCCTCTCCCTGCTGCCCCCTGGGTAAAGGAGGGGCTGCCCCAGATGCCCCCCTGCCCTGGGCCGGGAGGGCGTGTGGGCTTTTACCTGGGAGCTGTGGGTGGCAGGCAGGCGGCGCTGCTCCCAGAGGCGGAGGGAGCGCTGCAGCTCCTGTGAGGGGGTCAGGGGGAGGCTGTGGGCCTCGTCCAGGCCGCTCAGCAGGGCCAGGCTGGCCGAGAGGCTGGTCAGGTAGTAGCCACCTGGGACCGGGGGTGGGTAGGAGGCCACTCAGGCGGGGGTGGGGGCTGGCTCCCACTGCCCTTCCCTGTGGCCTCAGGGTGCTCTCCCCGGCGGGCAGGGAGGCGCGGGCGTCCCTCACCCTCTCCAGTGAGCAGGGCAGGCTCCAGCAGCTCCGACATGTACTCGGCCTCCAGAAGCAGCTCAGGAAGGTCGCACTGGGCCAGGACCAGGCTCAGCAGCGGGAGGAACTCATCAGCCCCCGCGCCCTCCCCTGTGGGGTGGTGGAGGAGGAAGCTTCAGGCTCCTCTGGGAAGCCGGGGGCAGCGTTCAGTCCTGGTCTCGGACTGGGAAGGGCACCCCTCGCCTCTCCCTGCTGGGCCCTGGGCAGTGCAGGCTCTGTGGCAGGCAAGGGGGGGGGGTACCAGGGAGAGGACAGTGCTCTCCAGGCCTCAGTTTCACCATCTGTGAGATGGGGTGGTTGGACCCATAGCCCCCCTGCTGGAGCCTCTGCCTGTGGGGGCCTGCCTCTGACCGCGGGGGGGGCCTGCCTGGGGGCCGTGGAGGCGCACCAGCCTGGGTTCTCAGTGCCACGTAGAGCAGCTGGCAGGCCTGCAGGAGCCGCTTGACCTGGGCACTGGGCGAGTAGGAGCGGAGCAGCTGCAGCAGCTTCTGGCGCACCTGCTCCACCTCCACCGAGGAGGGCAGGCTCAGGTGGGAGCCAAAGGCCGCGGGGCCCTGGGTCCGGGCCAGGCGGAGGCCTTCCGCCAGGCGGCTCAGGGAGCCGTCCGCAGAGAGCCGGCGCCGCAGGCGGGCCGCCAGGATGGGCCTGAGAGGCTTGAGCACAGAGCGATGCAGAGACTTCTCCAGGACGCGTTCTGGGGAGAACAGGCAGGGGTCAGGGTCCCCAGGGGCAGAGTCCTGAAGGGGTGGGGGGGAGGGGGGGAGAAGAGGAGGAGGAGGATCTTGGCAAGCTGGGAACCCCTTGCTCGGCGCTGAGACAAGGTGGTTCGTGCGGTGGCAGAACAGACTCAGGCCAGCATGGCGGAGGAAGGAGAGCGTGGACCGGCCTGGCCCGGGCTGGGGTCTCACCCAGCCTCTCCGGTGGCAGCAGCTTCTCAGGGCCTAGCTCCGCGCTCAGCATGGCCCGGGCCCGGCTCAGCGCCTCGCGGACGCCCTGCAGCTCCCGGGGCTCGGGGCGCGCCCGCACCTGGGTGAGCAGGTCCTGCACCAGCTGGCCCACGGCCGTGTGCCGATCCTGCATCAGCGAGGCCGCAGCGCGGCCCACCTGCCGCTCGGGCGCCAGCAGCGAGCAGAAGGCGGCGCTCATGGAGCGAAGCAGAGGCCGGCGGCGGCCCAGATGGGGTGAGGTGGCTGGGCTTCCCCCAGACACTCCCGGGGCCCCTTCCTCCTCTGAGCTGCTGGGGGAGCCGCAGTCCACCTCCTGCAGGGAGGGGAGGGGAGGGAGACCAGGGCTGGCCCCGCCGCTGCCGCCGCTGCTGGGTACTCGGTACCCCACTGAGCTCTCCCTCCGCAGCAGCTGGTGAGGAGGCAGCCGTTCTGTCTGGTGGGGGGCTGCCCCTGGCAGCACGGGGACCGGGGGAGGAGGCACGGCCGGAGGAGACAGGGGGCTAGAGGTCTCCGTGGACACCCGCACTTTGAAGCTCCTCTTGAATTTCTCCCGCTTGGTGGGGCCCAAGTCCCCTGGGAACAGGGGGTTGAAGAAGCACAGGGCGGCTCCGGTGCCCTGGTCCAGCTCCTGCGGGGACCGGGGCTTCAGCCGGGGCAGCAACGGGCCTTCGGAGGGGCCAGGCTGAGCCTTGGTGTTGAGGGAGGAGCTCCAGAACTCTAGGGGAGAGGCACTAATTGGAGCCTGGAGGAAGTTTGGGGAGGGCACTGACCCGGGGAAAGGCACAGGCCCCGGGCGGTGTGCCTCCCTGCCCTCGGCTGGCCCATCTGGGCAGTGGTAGCAGGGGAGACCTTACCAATGCCTAGATGGGAGATGGCTTCCAGCTCCTTGTGGGTGGCTGCGTGGCGGATGGCTCTGGGGAGCTGGAGTGGGAGGAGAAGGATGTCCCTGAGGCCAGAGAGGGGAGCAGAAAGTCAGGGGCAAGGGGTGCTCCTGACTGCCGGGGCAGAGAGCAGCGGGTGCCCGGGGAGCGGGCGGCTCACCGGGCATAGCAGTAGGTGCAGATGAGCTGGACCAGGTCCGGGAACGCAAGCGCGGAGCCCTCCAAGGAGACCCCTGAGAGATGGGAAGTGAGGGAGTTCCCTGCGGAACCCCCATGCCGGCCTCTAGCCCCCTCCTGCCGGGCCTGCCCCTCTCACCCCTGGGGCTCTCCTGGATGCAGTGGCTGGAGACGAAGGAGGGGCCGCTGGCCTCGGGGAGTCGCACGCACAGGACTTGGCACTGGCGAGTGTGAGATTTCCGCACCAGGAACGTCTGCGAGTGGCCGGAGACTCAGGGCTCCGAGCCGCCGCCTCGCCCACCCAACCTCTGCCAGCGGCCCCAGGTCGGGCGACTCACCCCCGGGGGCTCGGTCCTCAGCGTGTGCAGAGCGGCCGCCGCGTTGGCCCGCAGCTGCAGCCACACGGGCCGGGTGAGCAGCAGGCGCTCCCGCAGGCTCACGGCGCGCCCGGGCCGCTGGGGCCCACCTGCCTGCGCCCCGCCGGCCTGGGGCACGTCGTACAGCGGGTCCTGGGCGGGCCTGGGGGCGGGCACCAGAGCTGGGCCGGGGCCGGGGCCGGCGCGCCCGCCCGGCCGCCCCCCGCCCCTGCCCGAGGCGGCGCTGCCCCGCGTCCCTCCCGGCCCCCGCGCCGCCGGCCTCCGACTCCACTAACTTTTCCCTCTGCAGGTGGCCGGGAGCGGAGCTGGACGGGCTGGGGGCTCGGAAGGCGCCCCGCCCGGGCTGCCCCGGGGCTTCCATGGCCGGGCGCTCCGGTGCCGTCTCGCGGGGCGCAGGAAGAGAATCACCCCCGGCGGGCGCGCGCGCATTCCCGGCGGTGAGTAACACTTCCTGCGGGCGGCGCGCCCCGTCGCGCCCGCGGTTCACTCTCGGCGGCCGCTCGGGCCGCGCGCCGGCCACGCCCTCTCCGCGCCGGGCCCCGCCTGCGGGCCGGGACCCCTCCGTGCGGCGCTCGGAGCGCCCAGCTGCGGGGCCGCCGCCTCCACGCAGAGCTCCGCGGCCGCGCCCGCCTGCTCCCCCCGCGCGGGCGGCCGGGAAGGGGTTAAAAGCGGGGCTCGGCCCCGGCCCCTCGGCCTCGCCCTTGAAGCACCTTTCCGCGCGGCCCGTGGCTCCCGAGTCCCGCGCTCGGGGTCAGCCTGGCGGGCGAGCGCCCCCTGTCGGCCACGGGTGACTCATCCCTGAGCCTAAGTTGGTGTTGGGTTTTCGGGTTGCCATGGAGAAAGGATGCGCTGTCTCCATGGGAACGAACCCCTTTGCTTAACTGAGGTTCTGGGGGTGGTTCTAACACTCGAAACGGGGGAGTCTGGCTGTGAGGTCGTCAGCACATGGCGCTGCTGCCGGCTGCCTCCCACGCACGCAGGCCCTCCCGGCCCGCCTTGCCAATCTGCCCAGCCGCTGGGGCAGGTGCAGACCTGACCCGCTCTCCCAGCGCCCAGCCCCCGCCCCACCCAGGCCACGTGTTGCTTCAGAGTCTGCTCCCCAGCGCCAGGCAGTCCAGGGCCCAGCTCCCTCCCCCAGCCCGTGCTCCCTGGGTGGTGAGAAGTGGAGTCATACAGCAGAGACCCCAGAAGAGACGACCTGTCTCCGGTGTTCCCACTGGGGGCTCTGATCCCCTTGCGAGATAAATCAGACACGAGTGTCACACCGAAGTCCCAGGAGAGGCTTTAATCCAGTCCCCGAAAGCTGGGAGGCAGACACCAAGAACCGCCCCGAGAAGACCTGGGGAGCCTGGCTGAGCGGCGATGGCCAGGCCCCCATCATTTCTGGATCAAAGTCCCCACACAGCTCACTGGCTCAGGGGCGGGAGCCAGGTGCGAGGTGAGCAGGAAGGATGCGGCTTTGGCTCAAGAAACGCACATGTTTTGGGTGGGCACAGGGAAGGACCATGGGGCTGGCTGAGACAGTCTTTCCTGCCCAGGGCAGCTGCAGGCCCCAGTGTCCAGGGCCCAGAGGAGGAGCAGAGGAGTCGAGCCCAGTGCTGGCTGGAGGGGGCCCAGCAGAACACTGGAGCCAACAGCCAAGCCTGAGCTTGTTGCCATCAGACTTTCTGCAGCAGGATAATGCACATCCTGGGTTGGGTGCCAGTTGCTCCGGGGGTCCCTTGGCTGTGAAATGCAGGGTCAAGGTCCTGGGGGCACATGGGAAGAAAAAAGTCATTGTGGGCGGTGGAAGCTGAGCCAGGAGGGAGGCAGCTGCTTCATTTGGGGGCCCACCGTGCAGGCCTTGCCTCGGCCTTCAGCCAGGGGCTCAGCGTTCCAGCCCTCCGGGACTAAGCCCAGCAGGGGCTCTATCTCCTGGCCCCATCAACCTAGAGCTTCCCCGCCCTACCCTGGTTCCTACTCCCCAGTCCCTCACCGTGCTCTCAAGCCCAGATCACCCCAAAGCTAGCAGGCCACTGATCAGACACGGCCTCTCTCTGGGCGCTCTCCCTGGAGGCTGGGCCGGGGAGGTTGAGCAGCCCCTGTGGTTCTTACCTTCTGACTTCCTCTTCTGTGGGGACACGGCGGCCCTGGCCTGGTGGGAGGAGAAAAGCACCAAGAGCCTGTGTGAGCTGGGCAAGGTGCTCCCACACCAGCCTCTCTGGGGAGGCAGGGGGGGTGCTCCACCCAGAGGGATGGGGAGCGTAAGACCTTTTATAGGTGAAGCTCTGCTGTGGTCTCTTGGCCCAGCTACTTCTCAGCACCCCCCTCCCACCCCCCAAAAACCTGCCCTGGAATACGAAGGGCTGACATTGACTAGAAATCCCCTCCTCTGGGGAGGGCAGGGCACCTGGGAGCTGCCAGCAGTGCTAGGTGCCTGGGCCGAGGCCGGGGAGTCAAGGGCTGAACAGAGCTCCCAGACCCCCAGAAAGCCCACGCAGGCTGGTGTCGGGTGGGGGAGCCACACTGGCAGTCCCGCCCCCAGGCAGGGTGGGGGAAGCAGACAGCAGGGTCCCACCTTTTTGATGGCCGTCCAGTCCTCCAGGATGTCGATCTCCTGCAGCATGTACACGATGTAGGGGCCTGTGGCCAGGTCAAGGAAGCAGGAAGCGCAGGGGAGGGGGCAGGGAGTGGGCACCCCAGTACTCGTAGAGGTGGTGCAGGGGATGTTGGGGAGGGGAGCTGGGGGCTTATGCCCTCCCTCCTTCCTCTAAGCCCCAGGACCTTAGGAACCCACAGCCTATTTCACTGCGTTCACGGGGGGTGGGGGGGTGGGGGGCAGGGAGCCCCAAGCCCCAGGCCTGCCTCCCCTCCCCTCCCCTCCAGCCCCAAGGGTCATCCCACCCTCTCGGGGACCTGGCTGCTCCTCCCACCCCGCCCCCTCCCTTTCCTCCACTTCATCCTGAAAACCTTCCTCGGGTGTCAGGTCCCCACCCCCCAGGGGACCACTGCTGTGACGGATGTCTCCTCCCCTTCACCCACAAGTCGCTGTCAGCCAGATTCCCTGTGCCCTGCCAGAACCTGAAACCTGGCTGCTGCGGCTGTACTGGGGGTGGACGGGACGGGGATCCGTTCAGCTCGTCTGTGTGTGAGCAGGGGTGAAGCACTGCAGGCCTGGACTCCAGGCTCAGGCCTCGGGCAGGACAGAGGCAACTATCCCACAGCACGCCAGAAACCACAGCCACCGGGAGAGACGGGAGAGGCTTCGTGGAGGAGGCAACATGTGGGATGAGCACCTTACTGGCACCGCAGGCCGAGAGGAGGGAGGGAGTGAGCAGAGGCTGGCAGTGAGGGGTATCTTGGGGGCCTTCTGAGGGAACCTCACTCAGGAAGTCAGGGGAAGTCTGTGTGTCTATTTCTTGGGTGCAGAGCCCAGAAGCCCACAACTGGCCCTGCGAGCCGGCTTCCTCTGGGCAGGGTGCTGGCAAACAGGTCTGGTCTGACTCTGCCTGCCGTGCCCCCGCCCCAGGTCTGGCTCCGACCCTGCCGTCCTGCCTGGCGCAGGTGCCGTGGGCAGAAGGATACCAGAAACGAGGGGCGCCTTCTTCCTCTTGCTGGGCGGCAGGGCGTCCCAGGTCTTGGAGCTGCCTCTGGCTTGCAGTTTGTCGCCCCACCACTCTGTGCCCCCACACCCGAGTCAGGACCAAGCGTGAACCCTGCTCCCAGGTGCCCTCCTCTGGGCCAGGCCAGCCCTTCCCCGGCACCACCTCCCCCGAGAAAGTGGAGGGAAGCTTGGGCTGGGGCGGGAAGCTGGGGCCCCGGGAAAGGGGTCACGGCACTTTGGGAAGCCTCGGCTTTTCCACTGGTCTAGTGGGTGGTGGGGTGATGACCACTGCTGCCCCCCAGGGCCCCATATGAACGTGGGCACCGGGGAGGGCCCTGTGGCTGCCTTGTGTCAGAGTGACACCTCCCTCCGGAAAGCAGGGGCAGAGGACAGCCACCCACGTTCCCTGCGCCCCCACTGTCCACAGTGACCCACGAGGCAGGTCCTCTTGCCACTCCCTTGGGCATGCAGGGTTGGGCGAGGGCACTGGGTGAGGCAGGGGTGCCCAAGTCCTCACCAGAGCTGAGGTCCAGGCTCTGGCGGTCCTCCTCCAGCCTCTGGATGCGCTCCTGCAGCTCCCCCTGCAGGCTGTCGTACAGCAGCAGCTTCTCACTCTGGGAGGGGTGGGGAGCAGGTGAGCTGAGGGGAGGGGAGGCCTCAGCCCCCCACCTGCGCACCCATCCCTGCCAGTCACCTCCAGGTGCTGTTTGGCCCCCTGAAGTTCACACTCGTATTTATTCCTGATCACGTCCAGACAGAAGCCCTTGTAGATCCCTGCGGAGGGAGGGAAAGGGAGGCCCTGCACGGCTGGGGGGGGCGGGGGGGCGGGGAGAGCACCATGGCCTCCGCAAGGGGAACAGGGTGGGGGCAGACCGGGCCGGGCGCACAGGACAACCCACAGACCTGCCACCTGAATGCGAATCTTGAGGCTCCTCTGCAGCCCCCCCAGAGGCTCTGTGTATTCGGGTGCTCTCTCAGCCCCCACTTCCTCCAGCCGCACCCGCAGCTGACTCAGTCGCTCCCTGAACAACCTGGGAGGTAACACCCATTTGCTCATCCCTCAAACATGCAGAGCGCTTGCTCGCTGGGGCACCCCGCCGGCCTCCCTGCCGGCCTCCCCACCGGCCTCCCCGCGTGCCAGCCCAGCCGCGCTCACTTCTCCTTCAGCTCCGAGAACTGCTTCTCCAGGTCCAGCATCTCGCTCACGCACTCGCTGCGGCGCCGCTCATAGTCCTCGTCGTCCATCTCTGGGGCGAGAGGCCCGTCAGGGGGCGGGGGCGGGGGTGCAGGGAGGTGCGGGGGCAGGGTGGGCGCAGGGGCTCACCCACCAGAGCTCTCCTCCTCAGACTCCGTCTGGCTGCCGCTGCGCTCCTCCTCGCTCTCCTCCTCCTCGCCATTCATCTCGGCAGCGGAATCGCCCTCGGCCTCCATCTCTTCAGCGTCTTTACTCGGGGGCTGGATGGGCATCTGGGTGCTGGGGGGGCGGGGGGAGCCGTCACTCACCATGGCCCGCGGCTCCGGGCGTGAAAGTGGCGGGGTGGCCGGGCCTGACCCGCGGCCAGGGAAGGGCCGGGCGGCCACACCCAAGCGCGCTCTGGGCGGGCAGGTGCGTCTCCCAGAACAGGAGCCCCGAGGTGCTGTGCCCTTGGACACAGCGGTGCCGCCCATCCTAGCCCGCCCTCAAGCAAGGGGAAGGTGGATCCCACTGCTGACAGGAGGAGCCAAACTTCTGACAGGGCTCCCAGGGCGCCTGGCGTGGTCCAGTTCCCTTCTGAGGGCCAGTGCTCACAGGCCACACCGCGCACCCCTGCTGTTCCTTCTGCCGGGGACGGGTGCTCTGCACCCAGCTCCACCATCCTCGGCTTCTCACTGCGCTCCGGGTCAAATCCCTTCTCCTGCCTCCTCTGGCACCCGGGGTCACCCGCGGTCCACCCCCATCTGCATCTTCCACTGTTTCTTGGTGGCTGCTTCCTGTGAGACTTCACGCCTGCCCGGGCAGCTGCCGCCATTCGGAAACAGCAGCAGCAAAAACCTCACCCCATTCCACTTAACCGCTCTCCGTTTCCCGCCTCCCAGCCACACTTTCAAAGTTCTGGGCGCAGACGTGCTCCGCGCCCATCTCCACCTCCCACTCGTCTCAGTCTGTTTCCCTATCATCGCGCTCAGCTGACAGGGATCCTGGAGTTAACCCACTACAGGATCCCTTGTGGCCGCTGCTGTCCTTGCGGCCACTGCTGTCTCTCAGCGCGTCTCTTACTGACTTCTCGGCAACACAGAACACTGGTAACATTCCCTCCCGAACTCACGCATCTAACGCTCCAGGAAAACCTAAGCTACGCTTGGTCCCGGGCAGTGTGGCAGGCTCTGGCCTCAAGGAGCCTGCAAGTTCCTGGGAGAGAGAGGCAAAGAAGCTCCGTTACTAGGGTGTGATAAGAGTTAAGAGCGGGGGTGAATGGGAGAGGCAAACACCTGGGACCCGGAGCTCCTTGCAGCCGCGAGGGTGTCCAAAGGAAGACGGCCAGATGAGCCGAGCAGGCCAGAAGAGACATTCCAAGCAGAGTGAGTAGCATGTGCAAAGACCCTGAGGTGAGCCACGAGGCGGGGTGGGGTCACAGGGGCCTAAGTCTCAGAAGCTGCTCGCTGGCATAGAGTGAGTTCCTCAGACCTCGGGAGAGGATGCTGCTAGCAAGGCAGAATGTGTGGAGACACCCGGGTCGCCAGAGGGGCAGAGGATGACACTGAGGCACAGGAGAAGGAAATCAAGGAAAGGTGGAGGAAGAAAGACCCTAAGTCACAGGAAGAATTTCAGAAAAGTGATGACAGGCACGAGTCACCCAAGAGGAGACTAAACAGTTGTCTCCATCAACGTGATCTCTCTGCCCACTGGGGAAAGACCAGGAAGTGTCTGTGGCCACAGTGAGGTTCTTCGGCTGTTCTGGCCACCGCCGCCCTGCCCAAGCCCTCATCAAATGCTTAGCTCTCCTTATCCCTTCTCTCCATTGGCCTCTTCTCAAGTCTCTGCAGCCCAGGCAGGGGCTACACAAATGCCTTATCCGCCCAGCACAGTCCTGGCCCATGTGATGACTAGAAGATTTCACAAATACAAATTCAACACAAGAAACTTTCCTGGGGCAGGGATGGCTTTTACTTTGTGGTTGTCCCACTAACCCCCAAAGTGTTAACTTCCTCCACACCCATCTGAGTTGTGTCCAACTGGCCTGGCGGACACTTTAGTCAGCTTCCTCGAAGATTTCACAAATGATTTGACTCTGACTCGGTTCTCTACACCAGTCACATCTTTCCCATTCTCAATCCTCAGCTCCCGAAGTTCCCAGTTTGCAATTCCTCTTCACTGTTAAATACATGTATATTTACTTGGCGTGATTCAACATAAATCCTACTTTTCCGAACCAGAAAGGGCGGCAGTGAAGGGGAAGAGGGGGGAGTCTGTCCGCCAGCTGTCTCTGATTCTGCGGAACGAGCTAAATTAAGTCAGGTCCACCCCTCCTCACCCGGTGCAAGAAGCGAGGCCAGCCGTGGCCGCTGAGTGCTGAAGACTGCACGGGCCAGGCAGGGACAAGCAAATTGTCAGGCGCCGTGCACAAGCAATGCCTCCCCCCAGGCTCAGCGTCCCCGGGGTAGGCCTCCATGAAAGGCAGCCCCTTCCCCGCCCTCGAAGAGGCCAACCCGGCCCCTCCGCGGCGCGCCGGGGGCCTCACGCCCCGCTCCACCCTCCTCGGCGCCGGCGCGGGCGGCGGGAATCACCGGCGGCGCGGCCAGTGGCGCCCAGCGGCCCCGCACGCGTGCGGCCGGTTACAGAGCCGCTTTGGGCCGGCTCCGATCGACGGGCCGGCGAGGCCGAACTGGGCGCCGGGGGTGGCGATACGCACCGCGGGGAGTGGGGCCTCGGCCTCGCGTCCGCGACTCCTGGAGGGGGACCGGGGACTACGGGCCGCCGGCGGTTCCCGGAAGCGCCGCGCCGGTCCTGCCCCCCGGGGGCGGGGCCTGCTCGCACTTCCGCGTACGTCACCAGGAGGCGCCGGCCCCGGAGTTCGCCATTGGCCGAGGGTGGGCGAGGGCCGCCGGCGCGCCGCGGGCCGGTCGCCATAGCAACGGACGGGATTCTCCCGGGCCCGGGACGGCGGGAGCCCGCGCCCGGCTGCCGCCGTCGCCTCCCCGCGGCGTGCCTGGGGAGAAGGGGCGGCACCTCCCCGCCCCCCGCCTCGGAGAGTAACGGAGTCAGCTGCAGGTGTGAACACGTATTTATTTACACATTGTCGGCGGTAGGCAGAGAACCCAGCCCAGCCTGTTGGGGTGGGGGGGCTCGACCTCGGACCCTCCCCTTCGCCAGCGTCTCCGCGGGCGGAGGCCCGAGAGAACCGAGGTGAAGGACGGAATTCAACGCCGTCCTGTGACTTCTTTCCGAAAAGCTTATTTTGTTGGGTACTCAGACTTCTCAGCTCTGCCCCATTCATACTTTGCACTCTGCTGCTGCCCACCCCCCCCCATTGTTAATAACAACAACAATAATAATACTGTAATAATATTAATAATACTTCACATTTGTACGAAGCTTACAGAATGTTTTCACATGTAGCATCTCACCTGAGCCTCCCAACAGTTCTGTGAGGTAGGTATTCTCACCTCCCTTTTTACAGACCGGGTAACTGAGGCTCAGAGAGGGAATGGGATTTGCTCAAGGCCACACAGCTAGTTAGTGGTAAAGCTAGGACTTGGTCCCAGCACCCCAAGTCCAGTGTTCCAACACCACAGCTACCACGGAAAGTGGGGTGACATTTCTTACCCCAGTCAGGCCTGAAGGGTGGCCTAAGGAGGCTGAGACTTCTCAGACTAGGGTAGGAGAGCTCAGCAGTGACGGGGGGAGTTGGGGTACTTGGCCTTCAACTCCTGTTTGAACTGGCGGTAAAGGATCTTATTGTGCTGATTTTCAGCCTCCTTTTGGGGATGAAACTTCAAGGCTTCTTTGAAACCCTTATGAATCAAAAAACCTTCGTTCAGCACCTCGAAATCAAATCCTGCCATATGCAGCTCGCAGGCCTGTGGGGGGAAAGACAGGTCAGCTAAGTTTGATGACATTCCTAGGACCTAGACTTATATCCCCGAAGTCATGCTCCAGCATCCACACTACTCCCTCTGGAGGCATCCTGGATCTTCCACAGGTGTCATCCGACCGCCCCCTGAACTATGATCCTCCCTTTCCACCCAGGGCCATTCAGCTCCCTGAACCCACCACCCCACCTTCCCTGGCCTTCTCCCCTAAGGGTACCTGGCTGATGCGATTGAAGCCATACTGCCGAAAGCGCTCATCGAAAGTGGGCACCTTGCCTCCAGCCACGTAGAATGGTTCCCAGGGGTCCTGCCAGGGCACCACGTAGGAAGGCCTCAGTAAGGTCTCTTCTGGCAGGTTGACCCAGCGGGAGTAGTTGGTGGGCGCCTGGCAGGGTGTGCACAGCCCATAATAGAAGGGCCGAACCTCGCCCACCTGGTAAAGCTGCAGCAGTTCGTTTTTGTTCATGGGCATGCGGCGGGCACGACGGATCTCGAAGGCAGGCACTACCAGTGCGGTGCCGCCCCACTGCTTGCTCTGATCCAGCATTTCCCGCAGGCCTCTCCACAGCCCCTCGCTGGGCACCATGTCCACGTCGATTACCAGGGCATAGTTGGCCCCCTCACGAGCCAGGTTCCTCAGCAGGTTATTGGGGTAGGAGACATTGGTGCCCAGCGCGTAATTGATCCCGGGCTGGGCCACCCTAGCTAGCTTGTCAAAGACCTCCTGGCAGGACCGCAGCAGGGCGAACTCCCCGGGCTCCCGGGGGTCGGGCACTGCGGCCTCGTAGCGCGAGGGGCACACGAGGTGCATGGCGACCCGGGCGCGCATATCGGGGCAGTGGCTGCTCAGCGCGTAGGTCAGCACCGTGGCCAGCTGCGCCTCCTCCTTGGTGGCCGCGAACACCGACACGGACAGCGGGCCCTCCCAGCGCTCCAGCAGGCCCGAGAGGTGCAGCAGGTTGTCCACGCTGGCGTGCGTGGCCAGGATCACGTCGTTGGGGTCCATGGTGGTCTTCAGCAGGCCCCTGTAGACGCGGTAGTCGCCGCTGGCGTCCAGGACGCCTCCGGAGGCCAGCGCGGTGCGCAGCTGCGCCTTGACCTGGTCCACGGACCGCGGGGACGGGGGAAAGAACTCGAAATACTGCTCTTGCTCCTCCTGCCCGTGCAGCCCGGACAGCAGCGACAGGTAGAGCAGCTGCAGCATCGCCACCAGCATCAGCGCGGCCAGCAGCAGCTGGTAGAAGGCGCACCGGATGGCGTAGGACATCTGCATGGCTCCGGGCTCGGGGCGCGCAGCAGGGACCACCGGGCCGCAGCCTCCGCCAGCCGCGGCGAGCCCGGATTTACCGCAGCCTGCCGAGCGCCGCCGAAGGCAGCCGAGGCCAGCCGAGCCCCGCGCCGGCCCCGCCCCCTGCGCGCGCCCGCGCGCCCCCTGCGCGCCGGGAGGAGCAACTGCAGCCGCCCGCCGCCGCCCGCCCGCCCGCCCGCGCCCCGCCCGGCCGCGCGCCCCTCCGGCGAGCTGGGGGCGCGACCCCCGGCCCAGCGCGTCCTGCAGCCCGCGCGCGCCCGTCCCGGGGTCGGGGACCCGGGGCAGAACCCAGCTGCTGCCGGCGGAGGACGGCTGCGGCGGGCGGCGGGCACGCAGGAGCCGCTTCCCCGCGCGACTCCCCGCGGGGCGCCCGGGAGCGGGTCGAGGCGGCCGGGAGCCGCGGCGCGCGGCGGGGATAGGGGCGCGCGCAAGGGGCGCGCCCGGCGGGACGAGGTGGCCGAGTGGTTAAGGCGATGGACTGCTAATCCATTGTGCTTTGCACGCGTGGGTTCGAATCCCATCCTCGTCGGCCGTGTTTTACGCGGGGAGTGAGACTTCCTTTTCCAGTCCCCCCGGCCGGGAGCTGCGGGGTGGGGGAGCCGGGCCGCGCTCGCCTTCGCTCGCGGTCGCCTGAGCCCGCTGGGCGGGGTGCGAGGTGCGCTGGTGCGTCTCCCTGGAGAGAGGCCTTGGAGCCGGTGCAGCCGCCATTCTGGCCGCTGCTGAATTGGGGGCGGGTGTCTGTTATCTGCAGCAAGTGGAGGGGCTCGTGCCACCCCCTGTTCTAAAGTGGTGGGACCTGGGCTGGTGGTGGTGGAGTGTTTGATTACTGTGTTCACCCCGCTGGTTCCCCTCCCCAGAACTTCTCCCAGGGCGCGAACTTGTATTTCCCCCCTCCCCACTACACACCGCAAATATTTTAACACCTGCCAAGGTGCAGAAGGTGCTTTATTTATTTTTTAAAAATAAATTTTATTTTTATATTCCCCATATAATTGCAACCCCTTTATTTTGACCCCAATCCCTCCCCTCCCCGCCCCCACCCCCATAATGTGTCTCTGGTTCATAGTTTTTTGTTGATTTTGATTTTCACTTTTTTATAGTTATTCATTTTCCTGGTCCCTTATTTAAGTTTTCTAGATTCCTGCTATGAGTGAGACCATCCGGTATTTTTCTTTTTCTTTCTGGCTTATTTCGCTGAGCATGATCCCTTCCAGCGCCATCCATGTTGCTGCAAATGGCATGTGTTTATCTTTTTTGAAGGCTGAGTAATATTCCATGGTGTGTATGGACCACATCTTCTTGATCCAGTCATCTATTTTTGGGCATTTGGGTTGTTTCCAAAGCTTAGCTATTGTAAACAGTGCTGCTATAAACATAGGGGTGCAGGTGCTCTTTGGAATGGATGTTTCTGTGTCCTTTGGATAAATACCTAGGAGTGGAATTGCTGGATCCTATGGAAGCTCTATGTTTAGTAGGTCCAGAAATCTCCACACAGCTCTCCATAGTGGTTGGACCAGTGTGCACTCCCACCAGCAGTGCAGGAGAGTTCCTTCTTCTCCACACCCTCACCAACATTTGTTGTTGCTAGTTTTTTTAATATGTGCCATTCTCACTGGTGTAAGATGGTATCTCATGGTAGTTTTGATTTGCATTTCCCTGATGACAAGTGATGTTGAACATTTTTTCATATGACTGTTGGCCATTTTCATTTCCTCTTTAGAGAAGTTTCTTTTTAGCACTTCTGCCCATTGTTTGACAGGATTATTTTCTTTGTTTGTGTTGAGTCTCATCAGCTCTTTGCAGATTTTTGTGATCATCCTTTATCATTAGTGTTGTGTGCAAAAATGTTCTCCCAGTTGGTGGGGTTTCTCTTTGTTTTGGTTATTGTCTCTTTTGCTGTGCAGAAGCTCTTTAATTTGATGGAGTCCCAGCTGTTGATCTTTGCCTTCACTATCACTGCTCTGGGTGATGTGTCTGTAAAGATGTCTTTGATGTGCAAATCACGTAGTGTTTCGCCTATATTTCCCAGAAGGTGCTTTAATGAGAGTGGAATAATTGATCCAGGGAACTCTTCAGAAGGCGAGGCACTGTGGGGAGGCAGGTACTTCCACCACATAGTCAATAA